TTTGGGAAGATGTTTGGAAGTGTTTATTGGTGAAAAAGGAATTGTTTCTATCAATGTTGTATTAGATGGAGATGGGATAATAGACTGGTTTATATATTACTTTTGGCAATGGAAAATGCATTGCTTTGATATCGCCTTAAAGATCATTCACGGAAATCCGTAGCAAGATCCTCGTCTTGCAACACACACAGCCGCAATATATCAGCATCTCGGACAATTTGGTACAGGTCAATTATTTGATATGAAGAAGTGTACAAAGACGCAAGCGATGTTCACAAGGGGCATCTCGCCTAACCCCATGTAGTAGTAATTCTGGCCCGGGCTACCCTGATTATCAATGTACCACGGAACTCCGCCGTCCTCACCATCCTTCCTGCTTATCAACACACTTCAACGCTCCAACCCATTCTTAACATACGGTATATGAAACGACCAAAGTTCTCCGACGCTTTATAATCTGCCGCACATCATTTAATTCTAGCCTATAAACCAACCTTCTCAGCATGGAACCAAATCACCCCGCCGGCGAAAAGTTCATGTGCAGCATTTGTGCAAAGGATTGCGGAAATACGGTAGTAAGTTAAACTTTCCTCAACAAGTTTGCAAAATTTATTGATTTGATACAGAGAAATCACGACTCCGTCACATAACATACTGTCGAAGACTCAAGTCTCGCGGTGGTATAAGATCGAGAAAGCGGGCTTGTGTGGCTTGTACCAAGGCTAAAACACATTGTGATTTGGTACACCCGAGCTGCTCAAGATGTATAGGTAGGAACTTTACTTGTGATAATGAAGGGACACAATCGTCGAAAGCGGAAGTATCAATGTCGGTGTCTGTAACACTTTTACAGAATAATGCAAATCAGACCTCGGAAGTGCTTGCAACCTCTTCTTTGTCACAGAATGCTGCTATACCGGCATTGATGGATATATATGAAGCTCATAGCCCGAGCTTTAGGTCTGAAGAATTCGTATCCTCAGAGTTGGCGGACGAAAGGTGGAACTTTGGAGCTGTAGATTTGATTTCCGAATCTATGCAAAATGCAACTGCTCTATCTACTCTCCAGTTGACTCGGTCTTCTCCACGACTATGTGATGAAGAATCGGTCTCATTATTTATCAACTTCCATGTCCGACACACAGGACCATACGATAGATTATACAACCAACCCGCACCCAATGCCCCCAAAGCATTCGCACCACGCAGGATATCCAAAAACCATTTCTCGCTAAGCATGAATTACATACTCTGAACTCTACCAACCTACCCCTCAATGATGCTCCCCCGCAATGGAGATACTCTCCCTCCATTCATACATTCCCATTTCAACAATCGCAAGGCGCTTCCAGGGCCACTAGCTACATGTGCCGCCCTTGTACGTTGGCTGTCTACGAAGAATGAAGAGAACGTGCTCTACATCTAGGGATGTATTAGAATGGAGATTGATAGGATATGCGCACAGGTTTGATGATCAATTATCTTGACTTATGAAAAAGAATGACGATTAAAGTAGTATCCAACATATAACGAAGAGAATGATGTAGCTGCTCTGCAAGCAACAACTATCTATTTCCTTCTTCGTATTGCGGAAGATAATGAGGAGGCGATGAGTTTTGATATTCCTTTGATTTTTTATACGATGATTGTACGTAAGCTCCCTTTGCGATTTCCATATCTTCGGGGAGTCTGCACTGTGAAACTTACGGGATGATAGAAAGTGTCAACTCAAGTATTTTCCTTAGCGGAGAAGACTGTCGAGGATAATATACCTTCATGGAAACAATGGGCCTTAAACGAGTCAGCACGCCGGTAAGCTCAAATCCAAGTTCAATCTCCCATTTCCCATGGACACATCAACTACCAATCCACCCCAAGCCCTAAACCCCAAACCCTCAACTAGTCCCACCCCACTACACCCAGCACAATAATAATCCTCTTCTTCATCGACCTATTCTACGACGTATCATCCGCACTCCCCACCTATCGATGCGACGGAAGCCGACTCGCAACCATGGCACTCCCATGTTCGCGCCCACTATGGAAAGCTACCACACGAAGCTTGGGAAAGGGACTTCACGAGTACGGTGAAAGATAAGCAGCAGACGTATGGAGATTTGATCAATTCGAGGTTCAGACCGGCTAAACATGTGCTGGATGGGTGGTCATCGCAGTTGGATGATTTGGGGATGCTGGTTTTGGCTGCGGCGAGTTTGGCTTCGTGAGTGGGGGGGGTTAGGGGATAAGAGATGGTGTGTTATTCGTACTCGAGTAATTCAATAGGAAACTATGTGTTGTTGGATTTTGAAATATCCTGTCCTTTGCTGATAGGCTTCCGAATATATGGAGGTCTAGCTTCTTATTTTGTGACCTTATGTTTCTTTGAATTAGACATTTAGTTATTACATTCTCTCTCGTTTGGCTAATCTAATTTAGTTAGGTGCATAGTGAGAAGAGAAGGTTCTGTATAACCTGAAGCCAGACTGCGATGGCTGGGGGGGTTATCTGCTTGAGACTGTAACGAGAACGGTTGCCAGTTGGGGGAGCCGTGGATTAGCTGACGAGTATTCGAGTAATTGTTGGGTACTTTTTGTTTTAGAAATTGGTTTGAGGTGGCTTTTTCCAAGTGATTATTCTTGTGGTGGTTCTCGAAAATCGAAGAAGTTATTGAAAGATTTCTTGGAAGCTCTCCGGCACAATTTTTATGTTTGTAGGAAAGAGGCACAATGAGGCTGAAATCTCAACGTAGGCAATCGTTATTATATGAGCCAGATATACAACCCTCATAGCAAAGATGATGTAGCTATACGATGCTGTACCACTACTATGGTATATGCTGGGCTCGCTGCAACCGATTTTTAGAATTCATTTTGAAATAGTTAGATGATGCAACATCGAATGGACAATGTAACTTTGAAATGAATTGTGTAGCAGAACTAGTAAATAACAGGAGTGCAAGCGAACGGTGATACAGTAGAAGCTGTTGAAGAATCGTCCAACCTTGTAGTGCAAACTTCATCATCGACAATATTCTCTCCCACAATCCTTCTCGACCTCGATATTCACATCTTGGTATGTATGAGATTAGATAAAGATGCTCTCAACGGCGTCAAGTTTTCCCACAAAATGAATCATCTTTTGATAAACACACTAGCGTACCAGGCAGCTCCCCTAAGGCCTATTATTGCTTTCTTTACCGTGGACAGTTAGAATGCGAGAAGAAGTAGGTTCAAGATTGGTGAAATGTATGCAGTGGGCTCTACATAAACACGACAATGTAGAAGTTGATGTAAATCTACTGTTAGCAGGGGCTAGTGTACCCCGCACTACATGCCGTGCCCTTCTTCCGTGCGACTCCTTCCTCAAACCAGAATTGTTACTGAGACAAATCACCGCCTTGTATTGTTAACTTCCAATCGAGTCCCACAGATAGACAATGTTATATTGGTACAAATGACATTGACCTACTACCCTTCATTCATTGGCAAATTATACCAAATGACAGCTTTGAAATATGCAAAGCTTCATATATCTGTAACAATTGGTGCAGAGAACTGCAAAGACTGAAATGTCATTTCAATAATGAGTTATTGCACTCCAAGAGTCAAGGTTCATCGGCGAAGATATGTTCTGTTAAGGTTAGAGATTGTTGTTGTTGGTGAAAAGGAGGAGGAACAGAGGTGAAGAAGCAAACAACAACCCCTGTGAGGTACGGCCGCTAGCGTCGAGCTAAAGCTAATGGTCTAAGCTCCTTGAATACAAATACCTCAACCGTTTGTTTTACCACTTTTCTTCAATGTACACTACATTGAGGTAGTAAACTCCGAGGAGATTTATCTGTCTGCTACAAATGGGATGACTCCTGGCTCCCATGAGTCCCATCAAAGCTGAGTTTGAAGTCAATCTAGTCATTTGGTGTGGAGTTGATCTGAAGTTCTGAATATATCAGTAGGTTGTGGATTATGGAGTCGTCGCATCCATTGATCCAAACTTTCAAATGAATGTTTTACATATCGTCTTGCCTCGAATTCTTCGTCTCCAGTTTCATGTTTCTGGTAATGAAGTTGGCGGTCAGACCTCCCGTCGCATGTTTGGCCGCTATCGCATGTTTCGCTTTACATGGCAAGCTTTTACGTGACTCCCCACAAGCAAAGCATAAGTGCCACGTTGAGATTTACATGCTTGTGATAACGTCTTTCGTTGTGTTTGATTTGCAAACAGCGCGGGTAGATTTTAAGGTTGGTTAAACTGTCAAGCTTTATAGTCATCACTGCTCTCTTCGTAGTGACGATAGGAGCGAGGTAGTCTGGAAAATAGGAGTGCAAGATGCGATTTGATCCTTTTCTCGTCGGCTTTGCAAAGACTGAATTTCTTATATTTCGGCCGTTTCTTCCGTCTTGAGTCAATGCAGGATCAAAATGCATGACAAAATGCATGGCATTCGCTTCAGTTTAGTCATCTGAAAGTTTTACCCGATGAAACAACTAGTACATCTCAAATTCGCAATGATACCTCAATCAGATCAATCTAAAGATTCGGACTGACGTTGGAGAAGCATTCCCGTCAAATAGATAGTATCTGAAGCAAAACTTAAGCCAAATGCTCTAAGGGAAGCCAATCAGATATCGCGCTACAGATTCGACCCGGGAAGCTTAAGAGCTTTCCAAGCAAGTTCAGATGTAAACACGGCCGGAAACTGTTCCGTATGCTCTACCAGATGGCACAGCGGCTGCTCCTCATTAACATATATATCTAAGCTGCGGGGAAAGTTCTTGCTTTTAAAAATCACTTTCTCTAATCACTTTACATCTGGTCATAACTCTGATCGCTTTCTTCAAGTCGACAACACGTTCATTTTATACTTTAATCATTCTGTCCACGTTGATCGTGCATTGTTCCTTTCTTTTAAGCGCAGCATTAGTAGCAAATTCTACTATCCTCCAACCACTCATCAAATTCCATTCAATCAATCAATCAATCATCATTCGTTTATAAACACCATGAAGTTCACAGTAACCCCAACTTTCTTTCTTGCAGCTCTTGCATTTTCAGACGGAGCATTTGGGTATGCATCACGCCATGTACATCGTCATGCACTTGTACCACGTGCGAGCAATATTGCTCGATCTCCGTAAGTCAAGACTGAAAATTTCGTAAATCACATAAACGATACCCGAGCTGACCAATACCCAGAGAGGTAATCAACCTAAACCAAATCCCCGCACCCGCACCCACACACCCCGCACTTCTCCCCCGCCAAAACAACACCAACCACGACACCAACGCCCCCAAAATCGACAAACAACTCACTCTAACCGCTGTACCCGCCAACACAACCACAGTCTTCGTACCCTCAACCTCCACCGGTCCCGCACCCACCGGGACAGCCGCCTCCATAGGGGGTATCGCACCTCCCAATATTGAAACGACCAGTGATCCCGATAGGCCATTCTCGGTAAAGGGAAATACTTTTACCGATCGGGAAGATGCGGTTGATAGGGCATGTGCGATTCAGCATAATGCGTGTGCGGATGCGGTTAATAATGGGGGGTTGTCGGATGCGGATGTCGGCGATTGTGATGGTCAGCAGCAGACTTGTGTTGCGGCTGGGTGATGTTAAATTGGAGGGCGGAATGTGAAGTTGAGGGGTGGGGGGTGAAGCTGGGGTTCTGTAATAGTTGATGGCTATAGTTCTGTAGTTATTTAACATGATTTGATGATTTTTACGATATTTATATGAAGGTCGTTGTGAAAATATATTTTGCTGATGTGCTGGTGATACTTCAGCTTTTGTTGGCTCAAAGTAATTTTCCAAAGTCGAGGTTTAGTGACCTCGCAAACTTGACTTCCAAAAACTTAGTATCAGAGTTATCGACATCTTCGATATTTTGGTTGAACTGTTGCCAAGACTATATATGTACAGCAAGAGATACACGTCAGAAAGCGAAGCTGGGATAGATAGAGTCAGGTTTGGTTTCTGTGTGGAGAAGGAAGGCAAGGAAGAAAAAGGTATGCTATTGACTACACCTGTGCACTTGTTCTGCATGCGATTGGGACGTATTTATTTCTTCGTGTTAGTTTGAGCGGAAAGAATGTTTAGGGTGTATTTTGAAATTGTCGAAGAGGTAGCGAGGAAGTAATGATATCTTTTATCCAGGATCTATGAGTCAACTTGACCGAAATCACTGTAAAAGTTCATTTCACAATCGGTTCAGAAAGTGAGCGCTGAATATTGATACACCATTTTATTAAATTGCATTTTTCTTTCTCAAGTATGTTACTGATGAGAATGACCCCATTTTTAGTTAGATAATTAGATACCAAAAAATCACGCATATTTCCACCTAACGCCTAAAACCATCCTGCTTTGCTGTACCATTGATTCCTCTCATGTTATGAAAAAATCCTCTCGCTCAGTCTCCCCTTCTCTATCACCAAAATTCCAAAACCTTCAACCCTTTATTGTGGCTGCCCAGACAGATAACTCTGCACAAAAGGAGATTCGGCCCCTTTCAATACATATTTCGATATTTGTCGAGATGTCTGCAGCAGTCTCTAAGGCTCGCTTATCCAATCAGACAATTCCCGACGCGGCCAACGAACCCGATCCCAATCGTAATTATCTTTAAGTCTGAAAACGTCAAGGGACAGTTCTTCTCGGAGAAATTGTACGAAGCTTGAACACGACTTATCATCAAGATCCATGAACGATACGGATGTAATCTCCAAAGACCTGAGGCTATCTCTATGATTCAAGAGAAAAGTCTCGAGATCTCTTCGCTCGACGAAAAGAGATTCCAAAATCAACGATCCTAAAAATTTCCATCGATTGTTACGAACGAAGATATGGTTAAACCAAGCTATGCCTGAAACGTTCACATATTTGATGGAAGTTAAAGACCCAAGAATAGAACCGAGAGCATGTACCCCGGCGACTTTATATTGTGTCGATGCGACCACAGGCTCTGCTTTGCTTTCGTACTTGGAAACTGTAAGATGCTGTATATTGTACAAAAGTTCCCTTCGCTGCTCCTCAGATCCTGAGTATTCAAGATCCCAATCATCTTCGTAATCTATACTCGCATATATTTCTAGTGGCCGTCTGAGATTTGTTAAAGCAGAAATGAGGAAGGCTCCAAGACTAGCATCGGATCGATAATGAAACAATCCCGGGCAAATATCGGGCCCGCACTCGGTCTTCTTTCCATTTGCTATTATTCTCAGTCCGTTAAGATTCGTGAAATTTTTGAAGGCTTCAGTTAAAAAGTCGCTTGCGATAAACCCGGCTTGATTCATGTATTTTCGGTCACCGTCTGCCAGCTGTGCGTCTCTAGTTTGTAGCGAGAAGTTATGGCTGTATACCATGCAGTTGTATTCGATAACTTTGACATATCTGTGCAGATTCTTGTGTCTGGATATGGCAAGCAAACGATTAAAGCTTTGCGGTCGCGTCGTAAGATAGAGGGTTTCAAAAAGGAAGCTCGAAGCTGCCGCGTTAAATCCAGGCGACACAAGTCGAAGATTGCGAAGATCTTGCCGTTGAGAGGAAACGTGGCAAGCGATCTTGGTCCATATTTCCAAAGGTATGTGGAGAGATGTCATGTTGAAAAGTGCTTTTGTTTGCTGCAGTACTGGAGTCTTGCGGAGATAGTTCTTGTGCTTTTTGATGATGCCGGTGGATCCGAATCGTTTCAAGACTCTGTGGTGAAGAGTCACGGAACAAAAGAACATTTCTGTGACTGGGTTTGGTTTGTGCCAAAGGAAGTGGGGTGACAAATAGGCAGGTGACAAATTCACTTCGGTATCCTTTTCCTATTCTTTCCATTCGTCAGACTCAAATGGGTTTGAAAGTTCTTTTATTAGTCGGGGTATGTCCTGCTGCAGGTCACAGCTGGTAAGACATCCTGGTGCGAGGGAGCTTGAAAGATATCGAATCTCTTGTAGAATGAACTATTGGGGCGCCTTGAAAGGTGCGGGAATATGAATATGAGTTCAAAGCTCTCATCCGACACGTACTCAAAGTCAATATCAGAGTAGTCAATATCCAGCATATTGCCATCTACCGTCATTTCTTTTAGTATTAGAGTACGTAGAGTAGGCGAATCGAAAGTGGAGATTTTTGGAAATGATTCTCTTCGATTAATAAGTCTTCAAGCGAGAGAGAAGTCAAGGATGGAAGCCGCCCATAGAAGTGAATAGGGGAAAATGAATGGTTGACACAATACGAGTCATAAAGTTTTATAGCAAGTGACTTCAACCCTGGAGCATAATCCAGAAGGGGAGAAAATGTTTCGCCAAACTCTGCACGAATCTCGAGGTCCGGGTGATTTACTGAGTAGGTTCTTTAGGCCTTGTCTCTCTCTGTATCTGTGAAGCTCTGAAGACGTTGCAATAAATTCCAACTTTTATGTCCACCTATCTTCAATGAGTTGAGACTTGGCACGTTGACAAGAACAGCTGTAACAAAGTTTCAGCAAGAATCGTCACTTCCTTTTCCAAATGTAGTTTGTGCAAGTTCACGGTGCATCCTGCCTAATAGTCTATCTCTTTTCATTGCTCTAACCGGATCAACAGTGATATACAAAACATCTCTCAAATTCTCATATCTGGCAAGCTTTCCACAGAGATCACATATTCACCAGAGAGATGGATATTCTGAACCAAAAACATCCTTCTCAATTGGAGCCATACCGGTATAAACAACCTGCCGAGCATGCTTGCGAAGCTCATCGCTATCAGCGACGTCCATGAAGTGGCGAATGGATATTGTACTGCGCAGTACAATTGACCCTGAATAGGAATGACGCGGCCGGGGCAGTGAAGTTGCGAGATGCCAGTCGAACACCATTGAGGCCAGAAGCCCGACGCGGAACGTCGCAGTTATAATCGAGTAGGAAAGATCGTCTCATCTGAGCGAATTCGGCGAGTTCGGTAAGGACGGTGTACATCCTCACGTGTGCCTTCAAGTTCCTGCTCAATGGGAATTCGATCATTCGAGAGATGAATGGTACTTGAGTGTTTTTGAAGTGTGTGCGAGGTTGAGCAATCCTTATCTTGGCTTTCGTCTTCATCTGTCTTCCCACCACAGATTTCCGGTGATGGTTGGAAACTGGATACCGGTATGTGACGGAAAACAGCTATGCCCATTAGAATGGAAATGGCCGTCCACACAAGAAGTTTCGGGGCCCATATCAAAAGATAGATGTACAAGATGATTGGAGCGCAGTAGCACATGATTGAAAAGCCAAGTAGCTGTTTATATTTCGCTACTCTGTCTGTCAATTTTGATAATCTAAATAATTGATAGATGATGTGTTCTAAATGTTGTTAAGTAGAAGGAAGAAAGGTATTGTATATTGTTTTGAGAACATATATGAAAAATAAGGTTGTGTGTTTTTGTACTGATAGTCTGAAAGCTATCCATAGGCGATTCGGGGTAACCTTACCTATAGCGGGATAGATTATTGGGAAGTGCGATACTAAAAACACTAAAAATTGCCTCTCATCTCAGTACACATAACCCTAAAATCACTGCTGTAACACCCTGAAGTTCCAATCACATCTCAATTCATCACAATCACAAACTTTCCAGCCTTTCTCTGCGTTGCCTTCTCATATGCTTCCACTCCATTCTCCAGCTTGATTTCCGTCCATGAACCTTCGTCTGCTCCCTTCAAAGATCCTTTCTCGAATTCTGCTGTCATTTCCTTCAACCGAACTGCGAATTCCTCAACTCCATGTGCCAAAGTATTGCAACCTACCAACGACTTTTCTCCTCGATAGAAACTCAACATACCAACCATCAACCCTGCATCTCCACCCCTCGGCGATGCTATGAGTGATAATCTACCCCCTCTTGCGAGCTTATTGATAGCAGCTTGTACTAAAGCTGGTTGGCCTACAGTGTCCACCACAACATCCACACCTTTTCCGTCCGTCAAACTGTCGACAGCTTTAAGTTCTGGATCGGTAGCAGTATTGACATCATCGTCATCACTTCTCGTGGCAGATATAACTCGACATCCCATGCTCTTCGCTAATTGCACAACTGCCGATCCCACAGCACCATTTGCGCCTGTCACCAATACCGTCTCGCCCTTCTTCGCATGCACACGTGAAAGTACAAGACTTGCCGTCGTAAAAGGAACCCCAATACAAGCTGCTTGGGTGAATGTGAGGCATGCAGGTTTTGGCGCGACAGCATTTTCAGGAACGAGACAATACTTGGCTTGAGAACCATCCTCGGTGAAGGCAATTGTGTGACCACTAGTACCGTAAACTTCTTGTCCAATCCTATCAGATGGACCTTCCACTATAATTCCTGAAAAATCGCGACCTGGAGTCCGAGGAAATGTTGTATAGGGGAAACCACCTTTGAAATTGAGGAGATCACTTGGATGGATTGCTGAAGCGTGGACTTTGATGATGAGATGGTCTGGTATCAAGGTAGGTTTTGGAACGTTCTCTAGGATCAGCATAGGTGCTGCTCCTGGACCATCGCGGATAAGACGAAGTGCTTTCATTGTGGTATTCATGACTTGTTGTAATTTGATCTGGTTTGATTTGCAAATGATGTTGAATTGAAGATACAAACAAAGCAAGTGCCCTTGAGATCCTTTGTATGCAGTCTCTGTATTTCTGCAGCTTGATTAATAAGAACCGACTAATCGTCCGACGTGACCCATTCACTGTCATGCGATTTATCATGGCACATTAGACAACTTATTAGTTAACTGTTACAGTGGCTCTGATATCAGATACATATATTAGACACGCGTTAATTGCTACCTCCTTCATCGGGAATTGCGGGGCAGAGTTCACGTAACCTTTACCCTCCTCCGCAATATCCGCAAATGGGCTGGGAGGTTTATAGAACTTGACAATGAGCACAATGAATAGTTTAGCAGGTAGATAATAGTCACACTTGTCTTCATCTCATGTTTCTGTATGATATTTTTAAATATTGGAATTATGCTCTTAGCTAATGAATATAGTCATGCAATCCCGTAGACTTCCTCCCATACAATTTTGCACCAGTATTAACCGGTATGCAGGGTACCAGACATGCAAATAATCTTCGCGAAGACTCCATTTATTTGATCGAATATCAATGACTTCCGGTGCAGTCCCTCACGCCCCGACTCCCAATCCCAACCCCATCCCAGCACACAGCACTCAAAATATACCCATGAAAAGACAAATCGCAGGAAAGCCAGCGCGAACAATACCATCATCCCTCTCCCTAACCCGAATGGCTTCCTCGTCACTTCTTGCCATCTCCTCATGCTCTGCCATATCATCGCTAGCATCTCGCAATCCAGTAATGCCGAGTCCCTTAAAACCAAGATTCTGATTCGTCTGAGTAGATGTATCGATATTTGGTTTAGTATCCAAAAACTCCTGGTTCATCGTCTTTTCAAGAGAAAGAGACGGGATGTAGGTTGTGACGACTGAGAGGACCTTGATTTTGCTGATCTCAAGGCTCACATTTGTGGGGTTCTTAGAGGAGTCCGGGGATGTTGGAGTTGTAGTTTGGATGGGATGGAAGCCGGCGATGCTATAGTTCTTGTAGTAACTATGGTCATATGGCTCATCATCGATATCATCGATGTCCTCTCCCTGAGACTCAATGGTGGTGGTAGGACCCTTCTTGGTGATTTTGATGGGCGTTAGAAGGTGATTGATGGGATGGAAGCCGGCGATGCTGTACTTCTGGTAATACGCATGATTGCATGTTGTAATATGACAATTGTCCTCTACCGCAATCTTCTTTGCCTCGATGCTCGCTGTAGAGACTTGTTTGTTGGATTTAGATTGTGTTGGAAGAGTATAGACAATAGGATTGAAGCCAGCGATGCTATACTTTTCGTAGCAAGTATGATTACATGTATTGATATGGGAGTTATCGAACTTCTGAGCCCCAACGTTCAATGTGGATACCTTCTCAACACTCTTTGGAAATGTTGATCCTTGCTGAATAGATCTGGAGGCGATGGTGCTGTAATCCTGAAAGTAGAATTGCCAGAAACTTCTTCCTTTATTGTTGAGTGAGTTGGACAAAGTGCGAGCCATAATCGAGCGTTGAGCGAACATGTTGGGTGTTTGTATCTTGAGGAGATCGTTGCCCTGAGCTAAATGACTAAGGGAAGTGTGTAGCTTGATATTTTGATATGTTTTATTGATAAGGTGGGGAGAAATGCGATTCATCATGAATGACATCGCTACTAGACTTGATAGATGTCTTGCTTGTCAAATGGAAAGATGTAAAAATTGCTTTATACCAAAAGGCTGAGTGGTTGAGTGGTCTTTGTATTGTACCAAAGAGTAGATCTTAGTAGATAAGTAGTTGTAGTCAAGAGTTTTCAGAAAGATTCAGTTGAAAGGAAGAAAGACGGTTAATATAATGACTTTCGATATTTGGTACGGCCAACGTTCTACGGCTCAACCCAAAAAGAGAAATGACGAGAGGATCACAAGATCATAACAGAGGGGGTATACTACTGTACCATAAGCAATAGTACAGCACACAGCTCGACAAGTTGGTTCCCTGATTGCCTTAATAAAAAGGCATGAAAGAGAGAAGGGGGCCCCAGTCTTTCACTATGTCTATTATTATAAAGAATGAATTCACTGTGATCCTAGACCGAAGCTTTTCAATACATGTCTCTATATTGATTAAGAGAAAAGCAGTTTAGACTTGATTATTAAAAAAGAGAAAAGGGTAATAGAATAATACAAATTTCGCTAGTGAATCATACATGGTGAATAAAGGTGGCATAAGAAATTAGCAGTAAATCATATCTTTCTATCAACTAGTTGATTTGGAAAACTGGTTCACATTCGATAATCGAAGTTCGACAAGAGTTAGTATCACCAACATGGATGTGAAATAAACAGATTTTAATATTTTGAGTGATCCAACACAGTTTTATATACAAAGGTACAGAATAATTGCAAAAACAACAGGTAAACATCAGCAAATGAGAACATAAATGAGAACATAAACGCTACGCTCCGCCAGTACAAATATTCGTATCCAGAATGATTGAAAAAAACAGGTAAAATAGCAAGCAAACAAAACGAGAACATGAACGCTCCGCAAGTACAAATATTCGCATCCAGATAGACCATCCTGTCTATGGTATTCGTTCCATCCCGAGATATACCCCAAGCATAAATTGTAAGTTCCATGTCGAAATCGTTGTAAGTCGTGTGTGTAGATGAAAAAAAGGTATCCAATGAAGGGATATTAAATTGACAAGGTGCCGTATAGAGTGTGGTAGAAGAGTGTGTCGCACAGTGGTCTTTCGATGTGGAGGATGTGGGTGTTGTTCTGAGCCGTGAAAAGCCATTGTTGGAGAAGATTGACGTTGCTGGACTTGTGATTTGATATCCTCGTTCCGGATTGGCCAAGGAAGTAGTATTATCGTATCCTCTACTCCATTCCAAGTCGTTTAGTTCCCGGGGGCCTTTCCTCATTTTCGATTCGGCTACATGGATCTTTGATTGGACGTTTTGAGCGCACAAGTTCGTCTTTTCGGTAGATCAAAGTTGGTATCTTCCATTCTTCGTCAAAGTCTATCTGGGCGTATTTCAAAAATAAATTGCTCACAAATCTCTTCGTCTTTTCCATAGGACTCTTGTCATATCTATTCGGTCGAAGTATGTAGTGAGATGTGGAAATTTCGACATGTGCTTTTCGTTTGGTAGTGACCACCGAGATAGTTTCCAATTCAGTCATTCCTACAAGCATCCGTAGGAAACCATTACGGCTAGTATCCTCTTCCCTCGACTTCATGAATGGCCAAAATCTTATGTTTTTGAGCCAATCGCTTTCACTGAGCACAAGGTGCTTGATTCTTAGAGAATATATCTGCTCGCGGAGTTCAGGCGTAAGCTTTCGCGGCCAGCCATAAGTTGGACAACAACAAGTGAGATATAAAGAGTCTTGATTTCTGTTGAAGAGGAAGGTGTCTCCGGGACGTGCGTAATGCCTTAATGCTTCCATTCTTGCTTCCCAATTGACTAAAAGTGTGGGGATGGCGGAAGCGGAAAAAGTGTTGGAGTAGCTGATGATCTTTCCATTGATGGAAGGCCTGGCAGCAACAGTCCTCTGTTGGTGAAGGAAGCTAAACTTCCATATTTTGTTTCTAATTTCGGCAGGAAAAGCCGAAAAACAATGAAATTCGGTGAGGGGCGGATAAGTTTGTATCGCAGATGAAGAAGAGGTTGCAGCGTTCGAATTTCGCTCATCCGCAGCGAGGTGATAGGGTGCGGTAGAATCGATGGAGAGGGCTTGGATAGCCGCAGTCCAGGAAGCGTAGATAGTGGACTCAGAGCTTGCGAGGTTTGCATCTTTCTTTCCTTTTGCTGAAGGTCCCATCTCGAGAGACTCGTCGGAAATCATTGATAGTTTTCGCTTCATTTCTCTTGGTCTTTTAATGCGTTCCATGTTGACAGATTTGTCGGATGATATTGGCGCGTTCTGATCAATTGTATTTTCTGGATTCGATATGTAAGATTTTGGGTATTCTGATCTCAGAAGTATCGAAATTATTCGGAATAATATGAATAAATTGTAACAGTATGAAGATTTGGTGTTTAAACAGTATAAGATTTGATGTTAAACAGAAGATGAGAACTGATGGGAAGAAACAATAGAAGAAATTTGTGGTGTTATCTATGTGTGCGAGGAAAATAGTAGACCAGTACTAATTTAGTCCATTAGGGCATCTCATAGTTTGTACTAGTAGTCCAGACTTGGAAACTAGCTTAAAGCTCATGAAAAGTTAGACCAGCAAGTCCACCAATCGAAGAGCTGTATCAACTAGATTATATTCTAGTTTGCACAAAAATCGGCTCAGTAGTCTGTATAATCCAATGATATAATAGACTAGTACTGTACGAATACCATTCCTATAATTCCCTTTCCTAAGTTTAACTTTCCTTTGGGTGGGGAGTAAGTATTAAGGGATGGCATACATACTCGTCATATAGACTGCCGTCCGGACTACCGTATACTTTTGGTAAATTCGGTGACGGTATGACCTGTCAAGTTAACCTTAAATCTCCACCCTGCTTAGCGTCACCGAATTTACCAAAAGTATACGGTATAGTCTACAAGACTATTGGATACACCGGAGTCAACAAGATGCATATTACTAGGGACCGACCAGGCCAAAAGAATGTTGAGTCGGTAGTACTCCCTTTGCAGGCCTCAAGAAAACTCATTATATCCTTCCATTCTTAAGTCCATAAATGGTCCTTTTGCCCAATCAATGGTATCCAACCAATCCAGGTCATCCATAACTATGTGTTCAAAATTCATGTCTGAAATTGGGACTGTTGTGGCACTAGATGTTCGCGGAGTATTTGTGATCTTAGGTGGGTCAAGAATCTTATCCAATGTCCTCTTGACGATTTGTTGCATTCGTCCACATAAGTCATGATTCGCAGCTGTCGGCCGTACCCAATCCAGAAATCCGACTAGTAGACTAAGGTTTTGAATGACTTCAGACCGTGGCAAGTAATAGGCAGGCTCGATTGCCGGGTTTCCCATCTCTTTGATAAGTTCGACACAAATGACACCTGCCGATGGAATTCCGTAACACATGATCTAAATTGTTTGTTAGCCTCCACTCAACCGTATGGCCAATCAGGAGATTTCGACTTACGATCCAATCATACTCGGAATAATACGTTAGAAATCGATCTCTGGAAGTCCACATTGAGACAGTCAATGCCAAAAGTTGTCTTGAAGTATCAAGAAGAGGTTGCCGATCACCATCAACTTTTTTGACGAAAACTTGTTCTAAAATAAAGGTGCACTGAAGACAATTGAATTTGAGTGTAGTCTGAATCCAGTGAGTTGTCGTAGAAAAATTGGTCGGGGTAGAAGCTGAAAGGCGAAGCCACGGTGGAAGTTGATCCTGAAGCTCTTCGTTACGTTTTCGTAGTTCCCTGATAAAGTCAGACATTGAAACATTTTTCTGGGGAGTTTACTTACAATATACGGCCTTCAGAGAATTGGTTGACATTGCCAAGGGATATTTCGAGTATTTCATCTATAATCGAACCATATATCATCGAGGCTCGAATTCTGGAGCATGAATATACGTTACCCTCTTTGTTCCAACCATTTTCATCAAGCTTGCTAGCTGCTTCTTGAATGGCCTCCTTATCAGCAAGGAGAACTTCGTCCTCCAGATCAAGGGGAAGAGGACAAGAATTATAGCGATGGCTTAATCCAGGAGGTCTGCCAGTGAAAATTGATAATGTTTTATCATTGACAAATACAGCAGAGAATATACGCCTTTTGATCTCTAGAGACGTTGTAACGCCAGCATCGGGACGAGCATCACAATGATGAAGACCAAGAGCTGTAGCAAGATGAATTGTTTCACCTTGTCGTCTCCATAATTTGACGGCTGTATCATGATTAGCAAGAACGTTGACATTATCATCGTCCAAGAACGAATAAGACTTACACGTATCTCCGATGATCTTGCTCTCCAATGTGTTCGTTTTCCATAAAAGACTCAACATTAGGATATTACCAACATCCATCTTGCTGCAAATTTGCAGGCAGTCTTCAGCACAGTCGTGCAGTTCTGTAGCAAACACAAGTCTGTTCTTTCGTCTGCCTGATTGTGTATCAAAAAAAGATTCTTGCTCCTTGTTTCTCATCACAGCGGCCTGTTGTCCTAGTACACAAAACAGTATCCCCAATGTCTCCCATCTAAAATTCATACCCGACAATGAAGATAACCAAGCCTTTCCATCTTCAGAATCGGGGAAATCTGTGCTGGTATTTCTACTCAACAAGTTTACTATATCTCGGAGCTTCTCTACTTTCCTCGGACGTCGTAGGCTTTGACCAAAAGTGGTCCACAGAGATTGCATGCAATATAAGATGGTGGGCTTATGAAAGGCATACTCCATTGACTTTACAGTATAATAACGAGCCATAAGAAACTCACAGGTCACTTGATCTGGAAGTTGACTAAGAATTCTGATGCCCGAAGACATTTGGGCGTTTTGTTGATCATTCGCGAGTATCGGTAAAGTGGGGGACGTTGAAGTCGAAATTGGGTCAAGCGGACTTTCTCCTCCTTCATCAACATCCGACACGAAGTCATTCTCATTTTCGAGAAATGGTGCCGAAAAGCTCGTGGGACCATAAAACCCGAGCACCTTCCTCGATGGCGCAGCACCATCTACGCGTAGATCCGTAGACTCGGAGATTTTGGGCGTGGGTTGAGGGTCGTTTATAACATCTTCGACGCGATGAGTAAAGCCAGATATCGAGCTGTTGGAGGAATGGCCATGATTAGAGGGATGCGAAGGGACGTATATACAATTTGTAGCGGCACCTTTTCGTTGACACCTCAAACAAATCGGTATCGTATGATCGCATCGTGTTTTCGCCTTCCGACAAGGTTCACAAGCTTGATCTTTACGTTTTCTAGGCCGAGGGCGTGGAGAGTTCAAAGGAATTGAAGTTGTTGTCATTGACATTATATTTAGGTTGAGCTAAAGTGGTGGCATGAAAATGGAAGGAGGTGCATGATATAAACGTGACGAGAAAGATATCATGGATGACAAGAGCGACCTCGGTGCTTACACTGAAATTGTCTGACAGCAAGTAGGCACAGATCCGAGTAGCTAGAAAAGGATCGTGAGATGTTAATGTTGCAGGTTGCATCAAATCAATACACGTGACACGGCGAGCGCAAGCCGAGGATTCTTCACAGGGTGCAGGTCAGCCCACCTTGATTTCTGTTATTACCTGGAATCTAAAGAAACGGGCGTTCTAAAAAGATCCATACTACTCATTTAGTTTCCTCATAAGCGCAAGTAACGATTCCCTTCAATATAGTCCGCAGATACGATACATCGATGTTCTATGAACTTTGCGCAAAACTATGCATATGAGACCGGATCTGAGCCAGCACATCGGCTCCCACTTTCAACTGCAAAGGTCGAACCTCAATCGTCACCTCACGATGAGAAGACAGACATCGTGGAGTACTCGCGATTCACTATGTTCCAGGAGTATATGGGATAAGTAACGAGTTCACACAAGTGTTGTGTTCCACTCTTCAAACTTTCCCTATAGGTATTGGCGATCCTGCAAACGCTCTCTCGGCGGCTAATATATGGCTCGCGGCTCTTCACATTTATCATAACTACGTTTTTCTTCTCTTGGTTTGACGTCGAATATTCGAGTACACTATTTTTGCGACTCAAGGCCACGTTCAACGGACCATCACAAGAAGGTGATGACCATGCTAGAAGAACAACCCAATTTTATACCTACACTATTGCGATATCTTTTTTACATATATGTAAGAACACTGCCAATGATTGAAAGAGACTTCTTGATCATTTCTTGTTCATAGTTGAATGTGATGCTAGAAGGTTTCGTTCCAGTTCCCAGTAATGCCACTGCGCCTCTATCTCCACAATCCAACTTTCTATCTCGTACATTTCTTCATCTCTTTCTCCACGTGCGAATCCTTGACGCTTCATAAATAGAAATCCGGGGTAAACGTAACCACGACTTACACGGGCGGCAAAACAATGATCTACAGCCAGATCCCGAGGGAAACAGTGCTACGTTGCGAATCTTTTGAAATTTCATATTATTTAAAGACTCGGAAGCGCAGATTTCCTACAAAACCATCCAATCTCCTCTTTCTTTTCGTTCTCTAGCCTCACAATGAATCCTCCCGAATTTTCCGGGTTGATAGAATGCCCAGATGGCCAAAGACAACGGGTGCGTAACGCCTCCGGGTCGACTCCGAGGCCTTTTCTATCGTCTTAGTATTTCCATCTATAATATTAAAGGTACGTCCCTCACAAATCACTGCCCATGGGATAACATCCAACTATTCATTCCCGTCTATTTGTCTGCACTCATGTCCATCTATTCTTCCCAATCACGTCCTGTTCGCCAGTTCTTCTCTGATTGTTATTGGAAAGTTATCTTCCTGGTCATCGCTATCATTGCTGAGAAATATCGATAATGTCGAATGAGATCCAGCCTGTTGATAAAATTGTTGTTTAATGGAACTGGAAAGATGCCCTCTATATATTCAGAACAATATCCCAAAACGTAAGCTTAGCTTAGGGAAAAGAAGCCCTACTCTACGAGTATAACATCCGAAATAAACCATACCTGACATGAATCCTAGAACTATCCCAAATACAAACATTAAACAAACCATACCCCACTCCAAAACACTTCCTCACCCTCGAGAATTCTACTCGTAAGCCCGAGATTGCCATCACCTGCATACAAAACCTCAACACAAACCCATCTATTTCCCCAACAACTACAACTACAATCAACCATCAAACCATCACAAATACTAGTCATCACATCACATCACATCACATCACATCACATGACTCGAGATATGGATATAGCAACTCAGCAAGTCAGATTGCGGATTTTATCTTGTACAGTATTGGGAGTCTGTTTGAGGGGTTGGTGTTGATGTATACTCTTTCTTTCTTTCTTTCTTTTTTCCTTATTTTTTTCTATTTTCCTTCTGTTTTGGGGTTTGGGGAGGCAAGCGGGGGTTAGTTTAGTAATTTTTTGTTGTGGAGGGTCGGCTTGAGATTTGAGGTTTGAGGTTGGTTTTGTGGGATGTTCTCTTTCTTTGTTTTTATGTTTGGAGATGGATATTAGTTGAGGGGAGGGAGGACTTTCATCTGGGTTCGAGTGTGGGTGGATTTATTCTTTGGGGGTTGAGGTTGATGGAGAGGATGAAGAGGATTATGTGAGGGACAATGGGATAGTGATTGACAACCACCAAAGATCACAAATACTGATCGAATTAGTTGAGCGATCTTTCATCCGAATATACTTCTAAGAGGTCTTTGGGGGTTGATGAAGAGGGTATAGAAGATTATGTGAGGAGACAATGGGATAGTACTATTCACCATTTGACAGATTGCACAATATACAATATATATAAAACTTGCTCACAAGCAAGCAATCTAAGATTTATCACACACAACCACAAACGGCGCAGTAATAGCACCAAAGAACAAACGACCCGTTTTCGGATCATGAGCCACCGAAGTAGAAGCCGATAAAACCTTAGCCTCAATATCCTCCAAGATCTTCGTCACCACATATTTCCACCCTCCATCCGCTGCATCAAATTTTCTTATCCTGAAAGCTGTAGATGGAACATTGACTGTGGGTTCAGTAACAGACTTGATAAGTTTCAAAATGTCTGGAAAGCCGGCGGCTAGGATGTCGCCATTGGCATCTACGGATAGATTGTCTAATGGCATGTGGAGGTCGATTTCGTCGACTTGGGTAAGTGTGTGGTTGGTTTCTAGAGAGTACACTGTCACTTTTCCCCGGATGGATGAGGCGACGTAGTAAAGACCATCTTGGCCTTGAACTATGCCATTGGGAAATCGATTGGAAGGCCCGGAATAACATTGATTGTCGAATCCACACATGGCAATGTTCCCGCCTCCAATGACCATGTCCAATGAGCGAATCTGTGCATACGTGAGAAAGAGTATTCTAGGATATTGATGTTTAGATTTTACTTGCAAGTCCGGTTTTAGTTGAATGATCATTGGTGAAGACAAACCCACCATCGCGAGTCGCAGCTATACCGTTTGGCGTTTGGATAATCGGGTCAGCGATAGTCTTGACATACTCCAGTTTGGTAGATCCAGGAGCCAAATCGAAGACTTCCACGGTTGAATTTGCGCCTAATGTTGCGGCATCAAGAAAGTTGCCCGACTCGTCAACTGGGGGTCTATGATTGATCATCCAAAATCTCAATCGAGAATCAGGCATGTATTCGACATCAAACCCGTGAACATCGAGAGAGTTGTGACTATCCACGCCTTTATATCCTCCGGTGATTTCTAGCTGGTAAAGACCATACAGTCCATCATCTTCCGGCTCATCAATGTTGAGTACTGACACGTGGTCTTTCAAGGTTCTTTTGGATACATTGTACAGATCGCCCCTGATTATTTAGTGAGTATTTCCTTGAGTTGTGTAGAAGATCATTTTACTCACCCAGGACTCCAGCCGCGACGGCTTTCGACGGTTGAACACGCAGCATACAACGTACGATCCTCATGATCAAGAAAAAGATCTTCGCAGGAAGATAAGAGAGGATGTTCGAGTCGTCGACATGTATATGGAAAGTCTTCGATGCGATTATGAACTCGTCCGATTCCGAAATTGAGATATAACCAATCCTTCAGGATTGTTTGATAGAAGACGCCGAAAAGGACAGTCAAAGACCCTAAAATTAATGTTTTGGAAACCATCATTCATCAGACAGATAGAGGGTAAAAGATGATCGTCAACTAATCAATCTTCTTGAGGGACAATATATATATAAGGTTTGCTTTGTAAAAGGAGGTTGTGTCAGAATGTCTTGACACACATTCGAAAAGCGCCATGATTTCCCCATGTTTGATGGGGTGACATTCTTCAAGCATGGCAATCCTGAAAGGCTGACTGAGACCCATATTTTTATCAGTGAGATTGCAAGGACGTGAAGTAGTGGTATCCATCTTCAGGCAGAGCGAGGAATGTGAAAGTGTGATGAAGCTCAACTACCTAGCAAGAATCACGACTTAATGAAGAATTGAAACTTTTGAAGAGCCACTTCCCATCGATTGAAGCCTCACGAGTCAAAGATTCAACCAACGGGTGCACTTCAGCATTCGCATCACGTGACTGTATGAGCATTTCCGAGCGAACCCGCCTTGAGCTTGGCATTAAGCTCAAGCGAGCGGGAACATCGAAATGGCCCAAGTACCCCTTCATCAATAAAGGCATCAATTCTTCTGCCATCCTGTGGAACTTCATATTGTAAGCACCATGACCAAGGAACCTTTACCAAAGATGCCTCCAACTGTACTGAAGCTCATTCACCAGAATTCCTCATGAATAACCTGTCTTCGATAATGCAATAAACCTGATTGCGCCCAATATATTCACTTCCAAGAATCGGCAGAGAAACGTCATATGCGGGAACAAAGAATAACAGGACAGGTAGGTTGATGGAAGGGTAGGTTTTCCAATACATAAGAGATTGCGAAATCCAGTTTCTATTTCCTATTTTCTTCACCCAAGCAACACATTCCTCCTTACGCACAGGAATTGATTACTTTCATCAAAATCTCCATCCAAAAACGATAACTTTCATACAACTTCCAATAACTCAACATGGCCAACACAGTTCTCATCGTCCTTGCGACTATCACTACCATCGTCGTTCTTATTGGCGGCGCATATGCTATGGGAGTTCTCGATGACTACATTGAGGATTTGGGCGTTTTCGCATTTAAATTCAAGGCCAAGGCTGAAGCAAAGAAGATGGGTCTTCAAGGTCTTCAAGAAGGAACCGATTTCCTCGCAAGTAAGTATCCGACATGTCCTTAACCTTCCAGACAATTGCAACGAGTGTTGTCTATATCTAGAACATTCCGTGGCCTTTACCAATCGGTCATTGCTAATAACATGTTTCTTTAGGTGACTTGAAGGGTAACCAACAGGCACAGAATGTTCGAGAGGGTAAAGGACCTATCGGCGGCTTGAAAACAAATGGAGAGGGTGTAGCAAATGGAATTCTGGGAGGTGCCAATTCAGCCGGAGAAGGAATAGTTGGAGGATTGAAATCCGGTGGAGAGGGATTGACTGGAAAGATTTTTTAAAGCAGAAATAATTCACCAGAATCTCATAGAGCGACGACACAACGAATTATGATTACGAATATCAAGAAATTTACGAAAAGAAAAAGTGGTTATGAATTACGAATGCAGGGTTCGGTCGGTCGGCTTGGTTAGTTAGTTTCATTAACAAGCAAGTCGGCTACGAATAAGACTTGAGTCGGTAAGGTTAAGGAAGGGCCTGTGATCAGTGTGATGTGATGGGTTCTAGGATGTAACGATGGGATGAACATTGAATGGTATTAATAGAGAGCGAGCATGATTTTCATGATATTAATAAGGCAAATGCGGGGCGGGACGGCGTTACAATACCGGTGCATGAATGAGATGAGAATCACAAAATGCAGCAGTTTCTTTACAGTAAACCTTCGGACCCCATCACATTACCAGTTACAGACAGTATTAATGCATGGCCCCCCATAGACCCCATCATCTATCTCACTTGTGACCCAATTCTCCTCCGGTATAGTATCGGTATAGTTATCGTATAATACAAAATCCACATGAAGGCAGTGAATTAGTACGGTAGAATATCCAACACCTCCCTCACCTAGACAATTCTCCCCAAAGGAGTTCTGATAAGTTCTATTTCGAATCTAGATCAATCATCTACTTGGCCAGTAGTAACCTTTCAAGTTTCCTTGTGGATCTTCTCGGGATTTGTTTGTAAACCTTGTGATGAAGTCACCTTCATTCAAGGAATCCCTTGTCTATGATGATTCCGAATATACTGAGTGCTATGCATGAACTTGATCTTCCCGAGGATGAGGAGATTTGGAAAAAAAAAAAAGTTAGATTTCTTTCTGTAACGAAAAATAAATGAAATAGAGTTAATAAGTGTATTAAGTATTTTAATTTGCTTAGATGAATTACAAGATACAGTAGATACAGTACGAGTAGGTTACTTTACTTTTCTTCTTTTTGCCGAGAATCTTCATCTCCCCTTCGTACTGCTACTATATCTAGAATTAGACCTTTCTGATCTCTCCGAATAAATAACATCTAAATGACATCAAGTCTACCCATTTGCGTTTGCATCCCTTGCAACAATTCGTATAGTACGGGTATGTTCTAAATCCCGGTCGGATAACCTCTTCTCTCTCTCTCTCTACTTGGAACCCCGCCCGCCCCTTCCGCAAATCAATCGAAATACATGAAAATTGATTGGTGATAATCCTAGAAAGTCCTAGAAAGCAGCAACAAGGAAGTAAAATCTAAAAGGCTTGCCACCAAAGAGAGATTTGTACCTATCAACCCGTGCATCTATTCCGTAGATACCGTTGGACAACACCGATTACGACCTTTGACCCTGGGCAGTATTTCATTTTTCTGCATGAGGAGGGCAAAGTCATAGATTCAAAACCCCTCAATTTCCTCCTGAATCTTCTTTTGTTTTTTGGGGACGATGATGAGAAGGGTTCTTCTCTTTTTAAACTTGGAATCATTAATTATTGAGAATGCGACGATATATTAGAAATAAATCAATTTGTTGACTCTTTGTTCTTCCTTTAGCATAAAGAAAGCACCCGGCACCGGTACAATACATACTACACTCTACCAACATCAATCAACACTTTTTACCCATCCCATCCCACTTCGAATATTACCTATAGCCTAAACGGGGAACTTTCGTACGACATTAATTGCGAAATCAATCAGACGAAAATTCAAAATGCAAAGAGCTACTTCATGGCTGCCATCATGGGATAGGACGAAAACTACCAGTAAGAAAGGTTTTGATAAGTCTTGGGCATGGGCAGATAAATTGGGTGCTCCGGTCAATCGATTGACAAACAAAATTGGTTCCGAAGCCTTTTGGCCAGTAAGTCCTCCTTCACTCTTTAAATTCTGGGTTTTGGTTTTGGAAACTTATAATATGAATAGACTTCTTTAGACAAGGAATGCGACAAAGCTGCTCGCATTTTGAAAACATTTTGCAGTAAGCCGTTCTGATCTACTTCAATCAAATCCTTTTGATCTTTCTCTCGCTGACATGACTACGCCGCAGAGGATGGATTTTATACTGAAGAAGACCGACCATCGATTCAAGATGGTCCGAATGCGAATATTAAACAAAGAGTTATGAAAAAGATACCACAAAAAGTTATTGAAAATGCGATCGGTTTGGCTATATTCACAACTATGCGAACTGGTTTATGGATATCGGGAGCTGGAGGATCGGGAATTTTAATCGCAAGGAAAGAGGATGGTACTTGGTCGCCCCCTTCTGGAATCTTATTACATACTGCAGGTCTGGGATTTTTGGTCGGTGTCGATATTTATGATTGTGTCGTCGTCATCAACAATCGCAAAACTCTCGAATCATTCACGAAAATAAGAGCGACTATAGGAGGCGAGATCAGTGCCGTGGCGGGTCCTGTCGGAGTAGGAGGAGTTTTAGAGAATGATGGAAAGTGGAAACAAGCTAATAAGCCTGTATTCACTTACTTGAAATCTCGTGGCTTTTACGCAGGTGTGCAAGTGGATGGGACGGTCATTATTGAAAGATCAGACGAGAATGAGCGATTTTATGGAGAAAGAATTGGAGTTGCGGATATTTTGGCTGGAAAAACTCGATCTGTACCATTCGAAACGAAATTACTCATGGAAACAGTCAAGGCTGCAGAGGGTAGGGCAGATGTGGATACAACGATATTGAATCAACTTGTAGATGAACCCGCACCCGGTGATGTAGATCTACAAGCCCCTACCTCAATGATACCAATATTTGGTATACCTGAACCCGATGACCCGGATCCTTTCGGAGTTTTGGCATTAGAAGATGCGGGACTTGAGATTCGCGAAGCAGGAACCAAAGCTCGACCAGTTAGCTCACAGTTTGAATATAATCCGGCCCCATCGAGTCCGGTATGGACCAGATACAACAGGCGGAGTTTCGATACTCAAGGTGGGAGGAGTAATAGAGAAAGTTACATGTCAGGGAAAAGAAGGACAAGTACAGATCGAGCAACACAAACTGAAATGGGCACGCAAACGGACGATTCATTATCGATCAGATCACCTCGGAACTTATCACCCAGTATGAGTCCGAGTCACAGCGAAGATAATGACAAGATTTTAGAAGAAGAAGAAAAGGCAATCGTGTTAGAACCGGAAGAAGTCGACTATACGAAAATCGACCTAGGACCATATCAAAGCTTGAATCATAGTCAAGAATTCGACGGCACGACAGTGAACGGCAGTCTCCCCAATAGCGATGCAATCGATGAGAAACGACAAGATTCGTTCAATTCGATGGACGAAATCTCGGACGATGAAGACTTTGAGGAAGAAGAACCTGTAGTTTTCGAGGCTGCTTCGGCACAAGCTACAGTCTTTACACAACAAACGATCAAGGCGAGGGGCGGAGTTGTAAATATCCCAAAGAGAGGTCCACCACCACCATTACCTCCAAGAAATTCAATGAGAAACAGCAAATTTTCTATTGCTACTTTAAGCCCTAATAGAAGCCCATCAAAGGAAGGGTTTGAAGAGGTCGATGTACATGGTGTTGAGAGTAGTAATATTAAGAGAAGTAGCTTGGAACAAGCTAGCATGACACCACTTCCTTCCAGCCCGAATAGGCAGAGCTTCGAGCAATCTCAAGCCAGCATGGTCTCACTTCCATTTAGCCCAAAACAGAAGAGTTTTGAGCAAACTCCTATAGTTGTGGAGGATTTGGGCCAAGATGAGTTATTGTCTCATGAGTCAGTTGTTAAGGAGGAACATGAGAACATCAAATCTGCAGATGAACAGCCGGGCTTTGTCGAGAAAATCGAATTACTCGATGAAGAACATTCCGCGGAGAGACCTACCCTTACTAAAGAAAACGCTGAATCTTTTCACTCGGTTTCTGTGAATATTCCCGGGGGATGGAACTAATAGATGATTTAAGAGAGAAGGGGGGTATGTATAAAAGGATTGAATTTCTGGATTTCGGCAATTGGATTTAAATTTTGGATATGCGAGGATTAAGCACAATGGGGTTCAAGGCGTTTGTTATATATGGGTTCACATTTGGGTAGTTTTCATAGGGCTTGGGAAAGGTCTGGGGTAGGGCATTGTTTATGCATTGTATGGTTGGGCGAGAAATTCAGGATGGATGGATATTGGTTGGTTGGTCAATTGGGGGATGGTTAATGAATCTCTTATATCAATTATGATGATTGGGGGTGGGGTGGGATGCGATGGGGTAGTATATGGCTGAAGGCGGGGTGGAGTGGAGTGGACTGGATGAGAGTTGGTGGGGAAAAGGGAAAAGGAAAAAGGGCAGATGAAGTCTGGATGAAGGGGGATATCTATAATCTATAATCAGTAGATTCTTAAATCTTAATCCTGTGTTGTGGTATGGTTATGGGTGGGTATGGAAAAAGAAGAAAGAAGATGTAGCAGGGTGGACGCTCGGGATTCGGGAAGGAAAAGAAGGGGGAAAGAGGGGGGTCTTTTTATATATCTATTTATAATGATTATGATGATGGTAGGTATATATGATATGAGATGATATGGTTTATGATACTTGATATAGATAGTTTATATTCGAATCAATGCTATACTTGAGTAACTTATTATGATGTTGTTTTGGTTGTCTTGGATTTCTTGGAAGAATGATGGGGGATTGATGGATGAATGATGGAGAATAATGGGGGAATGATGTATGTATGTATGTATGTATGTATGTATGTATGTATGTATGTATGTATGTATATATATACTAAGTAACAGGCTAAGTAACAGGCTAAGTAGCACGATATATACTCATACTCATACTCGTATATACTCGTACTCGAGTACAACATGCATGTAATTTTGAATTCTAAGTTTTTAATGTGGAGGGGTGTAATGTGGAAGGGGGTATGGTGATTTGGTGATTGTTTTTGGTGATTTGGTACTCTACTCCAATGGGAATGGGATAATGTTATTATATGTAAGGTTACTAGAGTATAAGAAAAAGAATAAGAAGAGTATAAGAATAAGAAAATTAATTACGAGTAGAGTAATACTGGTGGGAATGGGAATGGGAATTGGGAAGGGGAATGGAGTGTTTGAAAAGAGAAGAGAGGGTTTGAAGAGAGAGGAGAGGGGATGAGAGAGGGGAGAGGGATAGAGACGAGAGGATCTTTGTTTTGGTATCGAATCGAACTACTGGAGTATATTTATACTAATTTGTACTGAGTGTACTGAGTGTATTTAGTGTACTGAGTAAGTCGTGTTGGTTTTTTGCTGGGGTTGGGGCTGCACGGGGTTGGAAAATGAGTGGATTTTGATGGGTGGGTGCGTGGGTGCGTGGATGGATGGATGGATGAAGGGGTGAAGGGGTGGATGGATGAAGGAGTGGATGTGGTGGATTGTGGATTTGAGGTGAAGAGGTGAAGGGGTGAAAGGAAAGGAAAGGAAAGACTACTGTAGCTTTTTGGGGGCTGGGGAAACGGTAACTATTGTGTGATATATGAGATGGTGTGTTAATAGTGCTATTGAGTTGAGTTGAATTGGCTGATTGGATTGGGTGAAGATAAAAGTTAGTTAACATGACGGTATTTGCAAGCAAGCTGCAAGTCTATCGATCTCACGATCACACGATCACACGAGATGAAATACTTGGTCAATGTAGCAGAAACAGAAATGGAAATGGAAATCCTACTGATGTATAATATAATGCTATTTAAATTTTATGATCTATGTGTTATGGTTATGGTTATGCTCGAAATCTGGGATGTGCAAGATGAGATGAGATGAGATGAGATGATAAAATGTAAGATTTATCTTTTCTTGAGAGGAGGTAGCAGCGAGATTTATATGAATAGATAGATAGATAGATAGATTGGTATTGCTGTATGTCTATTGTCTACCGAGTTGTATGTATATGTATGTAAAATGGGATTTCAGGCTTGGATTCTCTGTGATTTGTGAGTGCGAAATGGAATAGTGACAGGTCGTATTGAGCGCGTTGGAAACGTCTGGTCTATCGTTGAATGGAAAATGAAACAAGGTTTGTAAAATGCTCGGAAAGATTCGATGACTCGTAGATTGAGGGATTAGAGAAGAGATGTGCAAAGTTCATTAGCTTAATGAGAATACTGTATGTGCGACAGTTTGAATTCTTATAGATTAAGGGGAAAGAAAGAAAGAACTAAAGGGAAAGTCTATTATTGCCTCTTTATCAACTTATCTGATGTGCCTTTTCGTCTTCTTCCCTGGTACCCATCCTGAGTCCTTTGGTCCCCAAGTAGCCTCCGAAACTGTCACCTGTGAGTGACACAGGCATGAAGATGAAGCCAAACTTATCGACTAGTCCTGTCCAGCATACTACTGATAGTCCTTTCTCAATGAATGAAAAGTGAGTTTAGGGCAAGGCTATGGAAAAAAATAACAAGAAGAACTGAAAAGACAGTTCATTTGTTGCTTCTCACCCACTGACATGTCTCGAGCTCTCTTCCGTGACACTTAAGGTGCCGGTAAATCAATCCGACAATGTTCAATCGCACAAAATATACAAGAATCTTCACAATCTCAATACATCAATCAACACAGAACATTCATATAAATCCGCTCTCTAGGAAAACCCCATCAACTAGAAGAGGTTCTCCAAATAGCGCAGCTTTGCCCCCCAAAAAACCAGAAAACTCTGCGAATCTGTAAACGTGTGTAGAAGCACTTTTTATTACATGATATTCCCCAGAAAACCCATTTTCGTGAGATTTAACTGATTCCAAATCTGTCGGGAAATTTGAGGTGGCTGGATTTTTGGGTTTTCTAAAAGTCAGAATGAGATGTGCAACAAAAAAAGGTTTTGTAATATATATCACGTGATGGCACATGTGGCACGGGCTTTGTTCCGGCCTTTCCATTCTCAGACCAACTCGGTGATTACATAAGCATGAAATCTATAACTACTCAGCCTCAGCCTCAGGTAGGCTAACCAATCTAAGGCATGTGCGGTAGGGCGGAACTGTTGGCGAGAAGTTCTATGATGAGATGCTCAGATGAGTATATGAAATGAAGAAGTGGCTGGCAGCGGGACTGATCAAAGGTAGCAAACGGTCGCGTTGAAGGTATTGACCAAACAGCACCGACAACAATGTGACCAATCCGAAGATACCTTTCATTGTCATCTTGGAGATGATCATTGCAGTAATATCGATGTTGCTTTTACTGCTATCTGAAGGTAATGTTCCCGATTGAATAATTTCGAGATACCCGATATTCGTATCGGCTTTCTCTCTTCGAGTTCGATTGATCTTGATGCTTTCCGCACTTATCAAGCTTGTTGTTGCATGGGTTCTTGAGAAGAAGTCTTTAATACTCACCCTCGCGTATCATTTACTCAAGTCATGGTCATTTCCCCAAAATCCTTCGAGTGAATGGCATTTGCTTCAGACCCATATCCTTCGAGTTGGTAATGGCATTTGCTTCAGACCCATGTATTCAATCACCCTCAATTTCTGCCCTGGACTTCAAGCATTGGAACCTCAAAAAGGGTTCATATATCCACTCGATGTACTTCATTTATATCTTACTTGCTGCCTTTTCCAATCAAGCTGTTAGATTTCTATTTATTTGAAACACTCTCTGGATTGGCCAGTGTCACTTGAGTTTATTACTCCCTGCAAAACAATCTGTTGATCGATCGACCAGAAGGAGACCTCCCAATCAATATCATTTCAAACTCTTACTCCGTAGATTCGGATGTTTATCGTTCATATTTCATTTACTTCTGCCGCGCAACGCTTTCTGGTGAATTAAAACGGTTGCGGGGTATTGTAAATGAATGTTCCGAGTTAAATATCATCCATTCCCAACTTTGTGTAGAATGAGAGACTAGATTTTTGTTTCGTTTCGTTTACTTTTTTAGATCTCATCTTTACTTTCTTTTGCATTATGATGAATAACTGTGCCTTGTTGGCCCTGGTTGGCTCCACATTCGCTTCTCCCTTTCTAAGATGCTCATTTTAATACTAAGCGCAATAGTGGCGATTCATACTCCCAAACTGATTTCGATATTACCGGCACGAAGCCATCAGCCGACAATCCTATCGGTAACCCAGCATTTCCAGGTGATACTACCGATAATGGCATCAATTGGATTGGACATCTTGTAGAAACATACAACTCCTCCCTTGTCCTCTCCTACAATTTTGCATCTGGTGGTGCCGTCATCTTTTCTTGTATTAAATATTTCAAAACTTTTTGTGTATACTTTAAATATATAAATTCATATTGATTATCACTTGTACCATATTTTGGTCTCGAACACGAGTCAACTATGTCATCCATACGATAAGGTACATGTCACTACTCTACACGTCATTCATTCATGGTCTAGAACAGTTGTTCAGATGCAAGTATCAATGTTTTCATCAAAGTTAACTAAAAACGGCGACAATGGGTGACACTCATCCGAGTTAATACAAAAACACCATCCAAATCATCAACTCCCTAAACGACCCATCCAAACAAACCAGAAGAACCCATCCAATCCCATCCCAAACAACCCATCCAAACAAATCCGAAAAACCCATCCAGTCCCATCCCAAGCAACCGCACATCAAACATCAAACACCAGCCAAACAAAGTCTCCCCTATCCCATCTCACAACATTCCCCTCCACATCCCTTTCCTCCAAACTTCTTACACCTCCTAGACCACCTCCACCCCCACATCATCTGATTCAACCTCTCCCTCTCCCTTCTATACTCCTCCTCCGCCTCCGCCTTTCTCTCCGCCTTTTCCCTCGCTTCCTCCGCTTGGTATTCGAGCGATTCCAGTTTTCTCTTACTGGGTATCTTGGCTCGTGGACTCCTCCTTAGTTGTTGTTGAGGAGGAGGAGGAGGAGGAGGAGGAGGTGGTGGTGGGTTGTCAAGCGCCGCAGGAGCAAATATACGACCCTCGTTGGCTAGACGGGGAAGAGGAGTGATGGATTGGGGAGGGGTCTTGACTTCCTGGTTCGTGGAGGAAGAAGACGATGAGGAGTAGGATGAGGAGGAAGCTTGTTGTTGTTGTTGATTCATTTTTGTACCGTCTGTGCTTTGACGGTACTTTGATGGTCTGCTTTATTGTTCAATTTATTTTTATGAAGATATCGTGCAGCGTGTAGAATCTGATTTTATTCAATACAATCGTGAGTATCGCTGCACTTTAAATGGTAGGCAACGAATTATTGGATCACAGGCGTACTTGCCTCTAATACCAATAGGGAACCGGTACATGGGGGCTAGTAATCCTCCAATCATCACTAAGGAGAATTTATAATAATCAGTTTCTGAAATCTTCTAGTGAATTTATATCCTCTCCAAATGCCTGCCAGTTCTCAAGGAGTAATAACAAACTTCCCCATCCCGCCCTTTCCAGTAAAAACCTCCTGGCACCCTTTTCTCACCCCAACAATATCCTCAAGTTTAACTTCAGACCCAATGATCGGCGTCAAAATCCCTTCTTTAATCCACCCTGTTAGCTTGTCTAGGTCCTTCCTACTTGGCTCCATCATTAAATAACTATATGTTCTTCCATTCCAACTTGCCCACTTCCTCAAGCTCCAATCCAAGAAATCCATAATCTTGGCAATCCACCAACTCAATGTGACTTCAGCACCTCCGTCGGATACGCCGTCAATATGACGAATCATACGCTCAATGGTTGCGGTACCGCCGGGTACCATGGATATTGAGACGATGACTCCTCCTTTCTTGACGAGGGGACCAAGGGAGAGTGCACATGATGTGGTGTCAAAGAGGAAATCTACGGATCCATTCCCTATCATCTTTACAACATCCTCTTTGGTATAATCTACAACTTTAATCCCCTTACCAAACAGTTCCTCTGCTCTACCGATCTTCCCAGTACTTAAAGTAGTAATGACTCTCTCAGCCCCAAAAACATTCTTAGCGAGCTGGACAGCGATACTACCTGTTCCGCTCATCCCGGCAGGGATGAGTACTGTTTTACCTTTAAGTCCGCCAGGTAACTGACTATCTGCTCGAAGTGCGGATTGATAGGCCGTGAGCGCTGCTAGAGGAACAGCAGCAGCTTCGGAATGCGATAAAGAAGATGGTTTATGGGCAACGGCTGAGCACGTCGAGAGACAGTATTGTGCTTGAAAGAGAAAGTCAATTATCGACATAGCATCTTTAGGGAGTTTTAAGGTTCGGGGAGGAGGATAGGGACAGCGGATTTTGGGGTTGACGAATTCGTGGACCGAATGTGAAGACGAATTGGAAACGTGCTTACCAATGGTTCCGCGGTGACGTTCAGGCACGCGGGAGTAGACTTCGTCGCCGAGTTTGACATGAGTGACGGAAGAACCGACGGATACGACAGTGCCTGATACGTCGTAGCCCATCAAGTAAGGGAATCTGAAGGATGTTAGGGAAGAGTGTGGATGATGCGGAGAATTTTTGAGGTTTCATGAGATAATGTTTGTGACTGTAGCACAATACCATATCTATTTATTTGGATATCATAGAAATCCAAATATCCTGATGATATGGCGAAGGCTAATCGTTTTTGAGATCTAGATAACAAGCCCACGTCGCGTGGCTTGAGAATATACTTGACGCAATGTGGACTATGATCACTTGATATAGTCTCAACCTCTCATCCTCATCACTACATTCATATGCTTCCTTCATCAGCGTCACGACAAACGGTGTACATACTTAACGTCAAACATCATCTTTGCAAAACTAATCACGCTATTAGCTAACCATTTGATATCATCTTCTGCCCTCTCCTATTCAGGAAACATACCCACTCGCCATCTTGACATCAATAGGATTGACACTTGCGGCCTCCACTTTGATCAATACATCGTTTTGATCCGTGATCTTTGGGATTGGAATAGTTGCTATGTTGTACGTATCTGGTTTTCCGAATTTATAGAGAGCGAGTGCGAGCATCGTTGGCTGGGTTTCGGTGGCGACCTTGGTTTCCATCTTGAGCGAGGGATTGTAGAGGATAAGAAAAAGGAGAATCGAATAAAGATTAAGAAGAAAAAGGATGACCGCGAACATTCACCGATATATATACGAGAAAGGGAATTGAAGGGGCAATTTCTCAGGTGGAGACTGGAGGAAGGAGAAAAGTTCGCCCGACTCGGAGACTTTTGATATGAGGGATGAAATCTAATTGAGTGTGGTCGTTGAATAATAGAGAAAAGGAAGCAGGATTTGAAAATGAAGAGCAAATGAGAGAGAGCTGGGCTATGTGACTCTATTTTGCTCTGCTTTATGTTCTGCTTTACCTTGAAAATACTTCAATGGTGCTGTGGTGGTGCAAGTAAGGTTACTAGGTAAAAGTAGTAAATAGAACGGACTACTCGAGTACAACCGACTCCGAGGATGATAGCGCCAAGATACCAGTAGTAAAGACTTGAGAGAAAACAAATTGTTTGAGAGGAGTATTGATGCTATTCAAGTATAACTGAATGAAATCGAAAGTTTGGAAAGGATATCTACCTAGGTAGTTGCAGTACCCACACATCACGTGTAACCAAGGTTATAAGTACCCGCAGCGAGCACTAAGTACTTTTCAAAAAACCAGTAACACTTGCAGTCATTGTGCTCCTCTTGTCAACGAAAGATGAATGAAAGAGGATAAAATTAAAAGCCTACAGTAAACTATTTCAACTTCGACCCGTCAGTCATATCATTGCTTGATCTAGCGACCCCACTACAGTAAGGTTACAGGTTACACACTACACGTGCCAGTTTCAATCAACCCCTCCATTCCCCAAAATTCTACTCGCCGAGCCCGTCTACCAGCTTACCACAAATTAACCACGATCAAAATCATGGCCCTCGCCCTCACTCTCAAACCAGTAGATGTTCCATCTTTCTGCACAACCCAAGTCTACCTCCTAGCCCAAGAACTTCAATCTGAGCTGTCTGAAACTTCCACCCTTATAACAGGAACCTCACCTACTTCTTTACAGCGCGCTGGACTTGCTGTCACAAATCTTGTTCTGATATCCCAAAGAACGGGTTTGGGAGGAAAAACTGTCGTTGAGCTGGGCCCTGACCCGGCGACTTCTGGTTCCGGTTCTGGCTCCGGGGGAAAGAGTAAAGGTGGGAGTGGGGGATCAGGAGACGGTGAATTGCAGGAGCATGGGATACGAGTTGGTGATATTGTGGCGGTTGGTGAGCAACCTAGTGGAAGTGCGAAGAAGAGAGAGGTTAAGGAGTTAGAGGAGAAGGGTAGTAGAGGTGTGGTTACGAAGGTGGGGAGGAGTGCAGTATGGGTCGCGCTGGATGAGAATGGGAAGGGGGAGGAGAATGTTGGTGGGATGAAAAGGTGTTGGGTGGTTAAACTGGCAAATGATGTTACGTACAAGAGGTATTTCACCTTTGTCAATATCATGGTTAAGCCACGAGGGAGAAATCGTGGAGGAAATGCTGATGCTTGTATAGGATGAATGGTACGATGGGGAAGTTGGGAAAGATGCAAGAAGCAGAATATTCGAACTTTGTAAGAGTCTTGTTTGGGTTGTCGCCACCTTCGCCAGTGCCAGAGAATTTGGGAAATGAGGAAATGGAGTGGGTGGATCCTAGTTTGAATGATAGCCAAAAGCATGCTATTAAGTTTGCGCTGGCTTCAAGAGAGATGGCTTTGATTCATGGGCCACCTGGAGTGAGTATTCCTGAGTTTCTTTAGCATTCGGTCGGCCGTTCTGGAGCATTTGTGGAGTATATTGCTTGGAATGCAGTCTCTACTGTATTTTCAAATCAATTGGTGATGTATTTGGCACCACTGGAATTGTCTCTAGTCACTCAAACTAGACCCTAGTGACCTTGCGACAATTGCAAAGATGCCAAGGTAGACACGCGGAGGATTCACGTCTTATGATGAGCTTACTAATAATCGATAGACTGGGAAAACTCATACCTTGATTGAGCTGATTTTGCAGATGCTCAAACGAAATCTCAGAGTATTGGTGTGTGGGCCATCCAACATATCTGTGGATAATATTGTCGAGCGGCTTGCACCACATAGGGTGCCTATTGTACGATTAGGCCATCCGGCGAGACTTCTACCATCAGTTGTCAATCATTCCCTCGATTTCCTTACACAATCCTCAGAAGCGGCTGCAATTGTACAAGATGTGCGAAAGGAAATGGATTCAAAACAAGCCTCTATTAAAAAGACCAAAAGTGGCAGAGAACGAAAAGCCATATATGGAGATCTCAAGGAACTTCGTAAGGAGTTTCGAGAAAGGGAAAGGAAATGCGTCAATACTTTAGTAGGCGGCTCTAAAGTTGTACTTGCAACCTTACATGGGGCTGGAGGTTTTCAATTGAGAGATGAGAAATTTGATGTTGTGATCATCGATGAAGTTAGGTGAGAGCATAATCAGTTTTCAGATTTTACATTTCCCGATGCTAAATTCCTATCCCCTATTTCAACCTCTATATCATCTCTTCACTTTCCCATAGAGATTTTCGTTCCTTGTTTTCTTCCGATAGCCTTCCTTGATGATGATGATGATGATGATCAACTACTAACTCCTCGATGTTGTAGCCAGGCTTTAGAAGCTCAATGTTGGGTACCCCTGTTGTCAGCTAGCAAAGTTGTTCTGGCTGGAGATCATCTCCAATTACCCCCAACAATTAAATCACTGAATTCGAAGGCAAAGGCAAAGTCGAAAGACACAGAAGTAGAGGGCATCATTAGAGGAATGACTCTAGAGACAACTTTGTTTGACAGACTACTCAAGCTACATGGAACCGGCATCAAAGTCATGCTTAACACACAATATCGAATGCACGATAAGATCATGAGATTTCCTTCGGATGAGTTATACGAATCAAAACTCGTCGCAGCCGAAGCAGTCAAGACAAGACTTCTGACTGAACTCCCATACGATGTCGAGGAAACAGATGATACTATCGAACCCTTGATATTTTTCGATACACAAGGGGGCGATTTCCCCGAGAAGAGTGAGGAGGAAAGTGTCGACAAGAAAGCCGGAAAGGGGATGTTGGGTGAGAGTAAAAGTAACGAAATGGAAGCGGCTCTCGTGAGAAGACATGTCCAAAATCTAGTGGATGCTGGGTTGAAGCCAGAAGATATTGCGGTTGTGACGCCGTACAATGCTCAGGTAGGAAGTCACACTTTACTCGGTACCCATCTTTTCCTTTTACCGGAAGTAATGCTCACCTAATAAAGCTAGCTTTGATGTCTCGATCGATGAAGGAGGCTTTCCCTGGCATTGAGCTGGGTAGTGTCGATGGATTCCAAGGAAGAGAAAAAGAAGCCATTATTGTCTCTCTCGTCCGGAGTAATAGCGAACACGAAGTCGGATTTTTAGGAGAGAAACGCAGATTGAACGGTACGTGCAATCTTCTTTGGGCATGAAATTCTTCATCTGTTCTCTGCTTCCAGAATCGTGGAAACCCTTACCCTTCCGCATCCCATTATAATCGCTCCTGAAAGCAAATATTCCGCAAAACGAAGGAAGCTGTCAACTCCACCGAGAAGAAGTAAAGAAAGTTTTATCATGCAACTAATATAATTGCAAAACTCTAGTTGCTATGACCCGACCACGACGCTCGTTAACAATCATTGGTGATTCGGAAACTGTCTCGAGGTGAGTTCAGACCTTCTATTTTTATTGCTCTTGTTCATTTAACCAATAAACTAAGAGGCCGAGACAATGTGCTAACAATTCGTGTATGATCGATGCAGAGGTAGTAAATTTCTTAAACGATGGATGGAGTTTCTGGAAGAAAATGCCGACTTACGATACCCATCAATAGCGGAGTTGAACTCGTAATACTGGATTTAATTACCGGTAATAATAAATAAATAACAGTAAATTAGAATTTCGGTCATTTGTAGAAAGTACTGTATAATCAGATAAATTCTACAAAAAAAAACCCGTTATACAGTCATGAAGGTTTTTCTTCTGGGTCTTTGCTGATGGAGGTCCATAAAATACACTCACGAACACCATCGCTGTCGTGCCACGCGATTTTCTTTTTCGCAGAGAGGACTCAGAGGAGGTGGATGTGCATCGGACGAGAGAAATGATGAACCCCAATACCAAGGATCCCTTGTTGTTTCATGTAGAGGACGGAAACTACAAATCCACTTTTCACCTCAAAAGAACTTGATAATCCGTTGTTTTGGTTTATGCCATGAAAAGCCAATCGCGAATTAGAGAGAGATTGGTGAAATTATAGATGTGCTTTGACAGGTATGCCATGGTTATAAGTCCTTGGAATCGTTTTATGCCGCTGCCTAGGTAAGTAAATCTAGATAGGTAGGTAGATCTAATATATATGCTATCCATCATGGTACAGTATTTGCTACAAGTAGAAGCGAGGTTTGTTGTACTGTACTGTGAGGTGTGTATGAATTGATAAATTGATAGTTATTATAACTACACCCCCTTCCCACCTTCCCTTCCTCTCAACTCAACCCACCACTCAATCTCCAACACACCCTGCATGAATGAATCACCCACCACGACCACTACCACTACCACTATCATTTAAGTCAACAAGCATACCGGATTGCGGCACCAACTCAAAATAGGGATCCATATCCATCCTTCCTTTGCCGCTTACTCTTTTCGGTTGAAGTTCTTGAAAAGGAATTTCATCCGAAAATACTCTCTTCTTATTAAATCCACTTTCAATGATAGATTGTGTCTCACTTACTGAATTCCAATGGAACGCCGGACCTGATCCAACTAGAGTTGAGCTTTGTGGGGTAAGCTATTGATTATCAATACATACTGGCAGCTCATATCCATAGCCATATCAACTTCACGGGACATATTTCTATGTCTTGTCTATCTTCAGCCGCCTCAACAGGGATGAAATTATTCCACCTTACCGTTGTTGGTTTGGCTTTGGCCATTATTCACTTCTATTCTCGAATTGATCTCCCCATCCTTTCAATCTTCCCTCTTGTCATTTATCTTGTTTCATGGTCACTCCATGTCCGTAGCTTACTGGCGTCGCAGAATATATGATACGTGTGATGCGCCCTAGACCGATAAAGTTCCCTGGGTAAAGGGACCCATTCCATCGAACAGTGCGGAGTATTGCTTTAGCCTTTATGATCTATACATATATACATATATGGACGATTGTGAAAATAACATATAATCGGCGCAAGGAAACTGAGACTTTCCAATCTTCTCGTCGCCGGAAAACTTGCGAATATGTTTAGGAGTTGTTCATCGTCTATCAAACAATCCACTGTCATAAGAGCTTTATTCTTATCCTCGACCCACTTATGAATACAGGTAGAACGAAGGACCCATACTGATATCCCGCTCCGATTCTCAGTAAGATGAGTAAACTCCCAAAGGCTGGGACCTGGAAGTTGGAAGCTTCAGGTCGAACAAATACCGCTTCTACCATCCGTGGGAAGATTTCTGCTCCTATTCTGATACAGGACGACGACGAATTTCCAATTCGGTCTCCAGGAACTGGTATAGCAACTCCTCTTGAATCTCTTAATGCGGATGGAATCGACAAAGTTATGAGAGGGTCTACCATTTCCGGCCGAGATAGTGCTCTGGCACATGGAGATATTGGGATAGGTAGCTATATCGAACCACCCAGGCAGATGGGAACCTCCCCTTTACCATCCGACCGGTCATCCCAGAATCCCCCTACACGCAGGACAGAAAACTATAGCGTTCCCAGGAGCTTATCGCCTGTTGGCAGACCATCAGGGTCAATTCTCTCGAAGCCTGCGCGAAAGAAGTCGACCTTTAAAGGAGTGTTTGGCAAGATATTTGGAAAGAAACGAAAAGATGCGCCAAACAAGAAGCAGGGCGTTGACCCTCTGCAAAGTGAACAACATCACCGTAGTGTAAGTAGAGACATATTGCGTTACGTTACTATTGTCTAAAAATTTGTAGGACCCAACTGCGCTCAGCCGAATTCCAATGAATACCGCAACCTCACCCAAACGTTCTACCTCCATGCCAATCAATGAGTTTAATCGAGCCCTTGGATCGCATTCTCCTTTCGTAGACAACAGCCTAAAGGCACAAAGTAATACCGAGCGGGACCCAAATCGCATATCTACACAAACACGAAGTACAACAACAAGAACAAAGGTCACGACGGGTAGGTTGTATACGCCAAATAAAACACCAGGCTATGTGGATTGGACAGGACTTTCACCGCGGCCTGCTAGCGCTCAGGCTAAAGGCAGTAAAGCTCCCTCTGACGAGAAGGGTTCGGGGTCAATTGGGATGGCAATCACAAGTGGCAGTCATCCGAACAGACGTTCGAGGTCTCTCGGACAATTGCGAGAAGCTGCAAGAGTTGCGGGAGGCATGAGTAGACGTCGCAGCGATGAGATTCGCTATTGGAGAGCAAGCTACGATCCGGGACCATCATCTCCCTTATTCTCGAATAAGGCGGAAGCGGAAGAATCTATATTAATGAACGATCCCGAAAGTCCACGGCCGGTAGAGTCTCGGGATAAACCACAACCGTTCAACTTTGGCCAATTAAGTGGATTGGCTGGCATGAAGATTACCCAGGCCGCTGATCTAGCAACAAGAGTTGATCGTATCGAGTCTAGACTAGTTGAGATGGAGAAAACAGTATATCAGATCCTTCGGCGCCTAAATGGAAATGGAGATCATGTCACTCTCCAAGATCCTCCAAGTGGAGCCAAAAGAATTCGCAGTTCCTCTGCAACTCGTCCTCCAACCGATAACTCAGAAACGACCTTGCCGGTCTTACCTCGACATCGATATTGGCACGGATTTGGCACTCCAAATTTGCTTTCCTCAAATAACAACACTCATCGTCCCACATCCTCGTCTTATAATTCTTACCATCCTGACTTTGATGATACACACCCAACTCCATACGTCACAACAACAGATGATCGTGTTCATCTCAAAAGTTCCCACACCACCGGTCGTCCTCTTTCAACTTCAACTACTATCCGTGGTCTTCCATCAAACTCTCCTACAATACCAAAAGATGCCCCTTTGACAATTGAGCATTATACCAACTTGACAAATATGTTCCTAGCGGAGCAATCTGCTCGCCAGCATCTTGAAAATATTGTTCTCGCACTACAACGTCAACTCGCCTCCTATCCTTCAATAGCATCCACCTCATACCCAATCCCCGATTCTGTCACTGGAAGCGGTCCTATTCTCGATACTCCATCGTCGACTAAGAGCACATTCGAAGGATTTGGCGTCGATAGTGATGATGATGCATATGCAGCAACTCCCGAAGTCTTTCAGACTCCCAATGAGGAATTCGGCGGCCCAGACTTCGGGGATGAGGTTTTCGGAACTGGAAAGGGAAACGCCAATGGAAATGTAAGACTGAGCGTTGACACTGGGAATAGTGATGTAAGGACGTTGAGTTTGAGTCAAATCACGCTAGGGAAGGGTGTTCAGCCTAGTTTGAACTTCTAGATTCCCTCGAACCACCAAAGACGAACTGCAGGAAGAACTCGAGACTTCCGATCTCACATTTTTATAACATGGCGTATGGAGCTCTACATTTATTTGCCTCGATACATTTTTAATCCCAGGACGATACCATGAATATTTACCTCTATTCGTTTCTTCTTCCTCTGTTCAACTACATTTGCATCTGTATTACACGTACCTTGATTTCGATTATGAATTTGCCTTTGCCTTTTAATCGCATATCAACCCCTCGGCTATCACAGCATGGAATCTTTCGGTTTTTTTTTTGTCAAGTCTCGTTTGTTAGCTTCTCCCAAATGTATTCATAGAGGGTCTTGGATGGAGTTGGTGTTTGGGTTTGGATGACTGAATGGAATTGGTGTTTCCTACCGTTGTGTGTAGAAGGAGGTGAGCGGGTGACGCGATTAATACGATGCCGGCTTTGCCTTGTTGTATTCGTGAAATTGTATTATTTATTGGGAGGCAGACCCGAGGGAAAGGGTGAAAATTGTGGAAAGAGGCGTAGAGGTCTGGGCTTGAGCATTTACAATTACATAGCGAGAGAGCAAGGAGTCTGTCGACTTCTGGATGGGAAGAAATATGTATATAATAACACAAGTACATGTATGAATTGTTTTATCCTGAGCTACTCAAATACTGTAGTTCTCATATTGGTTGATGGATGGACGATAACGAGAACGGATCAATATGTGAGACAGGTAGTTAAAGATATGAGAGTATTGACTATTATTGGCTATTTATTGATTGTTGGATTACTGACTATTGACTTATTGACCATGACTATGACTATCTATTATCCCAAATGACTCGAGTAGCGTAGCCTTATCCTTTCCCCGCCTCCGCCTCCACCGGGGTCTAGCGTCTCTTCAAACCCCTGTTGAACCGAGGCCGAGGCACACTCTTGTCCAACCGACCTCACTCCTCACTCATAAATACAACTTCACCCTCACAACAATGTCCCAAGCTAAATCCTTTTACACTTCTCACTTAGTACCTACCATATATTCACCATGGCCGGTCCCGTAAGACAACCTATTGACCTCCAAGCTTTGGAAAAATATATAGAGAAGCATGTACCTGAAATCAAGATTCCCATCAGTATCAAACAAGTTTGTTTTCATTCCCCCAATACAAATTCCTAAATTAATTGAACGAGTAGTTTGGATTCGGTCAATCCAATCCAACATATCAACTCCTTGCATCCAACGGCCAAAAGTACGTATTGCGCAAGAAACCTCCCGGAAAACTTGTCTCGAAAACCGCACATCAAGTCGAGCGCGAATACCGCGTTATCCATGCGTTGGAGAAAACGGATGTACCGGTCCCCAAAGCATATTGTTTGTGTGAGGATGAGGAGGTGATTGGCACGCCGTTTTACATAATGGAATTCTTGGATGGGAGGATTATTGAAAATCCTGGAATTCCGGAGGTGGATGCCGAGGAAAGGAGAGAGATGTATGTTCTTGGCTGGCTGGCTTGTGATGTTGTATTTTGGGTTATGATAAGAGGACAACATACTGATAAGGTGTGAAAATAGGTGGCACGATGCGATTCGCACTCTAGCTAAACTTCATCGTGTTAATTTGTCGGATGTAGGCCTTACCAGCTTTGGTAAACCGGCGGGATTTTACGATCGTCAAATCAAAACTTTTGGTATAATAAGTGCGGCACAGGCTTCAACGGTTGATATTGAGACGAAGGAATCAGTGGGCCAGATACCACATATTGAGGAGATTTTGGAGTTTTTTAGAGATAAAAAATACCAGCCAGAGGATAGAGGGACATTGGTTCATGGGGATTATAAGATTGATAACTTGGTGTTTCACAAAACGGAACCCAGGGTTATTGGGATCTTAGAGTATGTTTTTCTCTTTCCTCGACCTTCAATTATTTCAAAAAGAAAACCCAAACTAACATCCTCCTCCCCAGCTGGGAAATGTCTACCATCGGGCACCCCCTCTCGGATATAATCAACATCCTCTCCCCTTATACGGTCCGGCACGAAAAAAAATTCGCGTCCCTCCCGCAATTTCAAGACGACGACTTACCTGGTCTTCCATCCGAATCGGAATTAATATCCTGGTATCGAGAAACAGCAAATTGGAACCCAGAACCGGATTTGCCGTGGGGAGTAGCGTTTGGGTTCTTTAGAAATACGTGTATTTATCAGGGGATAGCTGCTAGATGGGCAATGAGACAGGCGAGTAGTGCGAAGGCGGAGACTCATGCCAAGGCGAGGTGGCCGATGGGGGAGTTGTGTTGGAAGTTTGTGGGTTTGGCGAAAAAGGAGAAGGGGGAGAAGGCGAAGCTGTAGAGAGGAGAATTGGGAGTTGGGGGCTAGATATGAATAAATCTAAAAAATGAAGAGGTTTGTTCATCCATAACGGTTAATTCAATAGTCGTTGGGTTTCCCCTCGCGTCTGATTCTACTATGCAAGCACGAGGAGCATTGAGAGAAATACATTTATCTTAAACACCCTCGTTAATATCCTTGGCCAAAATATATTATTTATATACATACCCCCAAAATTCCATCCAGCGAATTTAGATCCTTAAGGTTGGTTGATCTACACTTTTGCTTGTCCTCGTTTTCGGGTTCTCTCTTTTCTCTGGAAAAAGAATGATTGTCTTTAAACCATTTTCTATGTTCTTAATTAACTTTTTATACTACGCGGGCTAAGCGAGGTAAATACAGTATCTTCTCCCATCCGAAAACGCCGTGCCCATGGCTCATGAAGTTGTTGTCTAAAGACCGCTAATTCGAGAGTCTTATGAGGATCTGGTTGAAGGTGGGAGATCGTATCAACTCAGCTTCGTCTCGAGAGTCACAGATGAAGCCTACAAAAACTAAAAAAGAAGGGCAAAAGTCTCCAATACTCAGGAGGTAACTTCCTAGATTTCAACCTACGCTTGCTTTAAGAGGAGCTGTAACAATCAAAGGGTTGTGCCAAAGGCGTGAGACCCAATGGGCCTCTGAAGCTGACAAGTTGTGCTATACTTGATATTCTGTAGTAGAATCACTAGGTGAATAGACCGTAAGTGAAGGATGTGGGGTTCTTGCCTTGCTACCTTTATAGCCTTTTATCCAAAGGGGTTTGGAACGGGAAAGAAGTTGTGTGACTAAGTTGATATTGAATGGTGACAGAGCCCGGACAAGAACATAGGAAGCAATTACAACGACAGGAAGAAACCCGAGTTGAACAAACAACTGGAGAAGAAGATCCGTATTCTGGAAATGGAACTGGCACGGGGCAGGTGGGATCAAACTGCATGGAGTATTGGGAAAATGTAATTCAAAGTATAGGTTTGGTGGAAATATGTACAACTACTAAGTAGTTGCAGTCGTGCATCTTGTTCTAAAAGTCACGGCATGTATATCCTAAAACGAAGTTAATTGCTAGCATCCTTTCTAGGCATTATCTCTATAATGAGAATGCTTTAACGCTTCAAGAATAATATTATAGTGAAACACCGTCCTGAAGTATGAGGTGTGATACAAACATCTTTCAGGCTGGTAGTGAAGTACAGAATCAGTGGAGAGAAAGAAGCCCGCACTCATGACTGACACCAATCAATTTTGATATCTAAATTAGATGAAGTAGACGGTCGGAATCTCATGATTACGTTAATTGTTCAATTTTTCTTACTTGACTCGTTCATTGTGAAAGCGGTACTACTTTTATGGAGACTAACGCTTTGTGGTATACTCGAGTAGTGAGGGAATGTACGCGTTTGAAAGTCAAACCACCAGAGAAGGCAACCCCTTCTGAATCTAATGACCTCGCCGCCTCGCTTAAGGTTATATATACATTCAAACAATCTATTCAAACAATCTCAAGACTTGCATAAAACATTCCATCGAGTCGCCTTGGTGCATCAATTAACCTACTGTGCTGTAACTACCTCCGGGTGTGTGTGGTGTCTGATTCGTGACAGTCTTATGACTCCATTTCGAAAGGTTCAGCTACCAATAAAATTCTATTTCAAAGGGATTTTTCCATGCGCCTAACCGCTCCACGATATGATTTCTGCCAATTTGAGGAGAGAGTGTGAATGTGTGGAAATGGAGTAGGAGGGGTGGATGTTCATCGTTGCTACTTTAACAAGTACCGATCAATAAATTAACTTTACAGTCCAATTTCCCCCAGCTACGTCTTCAATTGTATACCTCTCACTCGTCGCATTTTGCGCTTTGATTTGATGCGTCGTGGTAACAGCTTTTCCATCCTTACTCTGCAAAGTCATCACCGCGGTTTGATTGGTATACGGCACACTAATCGAGCCCGTTGTATCCACCGGTGTCGTAATGACAATACTTGACAATCTCCCCAACATGCCCATAACCTCGACTGCATAATTACCAAGGGGTGTTTCAAACCCCGCTTCCACATCCGTCAAACCCCCGAGATTCGGAGCCACACTCCAAGTCTTCCCAGCACCACTGGTAACCTTCAAACCCGCGCCATGAAACGTAAGTGCAGACGTAGGACCGGTACTCCAGCCATGAGCATGCGAGACCCTTGGATCATTCGCATATGGTGCATAGTGTAAACTACCGTCCGTGGAGTATCCTTCGATAAACGTACTATTCGTCATACGTGGATCATCTAGCATAAAATCTCCCCACATAAACTTGATCATTCGAACGGCGCGATCGGCTCGACCGGCTAGATAATGCGCTTGGATCTCGAAACTGCTGACGAAGGGGGAAACGACGTTACTACCGCCTTCAGGAGCTGGAGCACCGTATTGATTCCAGCGAGCGGCCAGAGAATCCGAGACTAGAAGTGCCCGAGATGGAGAATCTACCAAACCCGAGAATATCGCCCAGGCATTTCCATCTTGGGGATGGAGTGTAGTCAAAGGAAGGGAATCATTGTCTCGATAAAGATTTGTGGCAAAGTCCCAAAGGTTCGAGTTTGCAGCCGACTTGATGCCAGCGGCGTAGTCTGGCCATAACAAAGTCGAAACTGAGTCATTAAGGACCTTTGAGAGCTTCGTGCCTAGGTTGAGTGTATAGTAGAGAATAGAATTCGCTTCGATATTATGACCGCCCATACCGACTCGTAACCAATCAGGGTTACCTACAGGAACATATGCCATTCTCGACTCATCGATGAAACCCAACGAAAAGTTCATTCCTAGCTTGAATTGTCCCCAATGTTCCTGCAGATACCCAAGATCGCCGGTAAACAAATAGTAATCATGGATATCGATGAGTGAATGTAGATGATAAGTAAAACTCCAGACTTTGACTACTGTGCTGAAAGGGACACCGGCATATGGCAGTGCACCTGAAGCATTTTGGAGTACCAATAATGAGTCTAGAGAATTCTTGATGGTTATCATGTCATTAGTTGAGACGAATACTGAGGGACCAGAAATTGCTATATCTCCAGGCCATACGAGACGGTCTCTCTTGGCTCCATCTGTAAGAACACTGGTACCATCTGATAATCACTTGTCAGTCTTGTTCTAGTAGCGCGGGAGAAAATGACATACTAGCAATGGTGTAATTATTCCACCATGCTACAGGCTCAGTGACAGTACTATTTGAGTTAATCACACCCAAATAGACTAAAGAGTTCCCGGCTGTAGGGTCAATAGTACACATGTCATTAGTGTAAGCTCCGGCGTACCATACACGATTGACTTGATCGTCATTGCTATGGAAATATCCCGTGTATGACCTGAGTTCGTTTTCTGCTTTATGAGGTAAAGCCGTGTATTGGATAGTCAAGTTTGAGACTTCAACGGATCCAGAGGTATTGTGGTAGACGTTTAAATATCTAAATCCACCTCGTTGGTGCTGCGTTTCTGCCCTGTAGTAACCACCGCTCGTGACTGGAAACCACAAAGCTTCGTCGATACCTGCATCAGCCGTTGCATCACATCCATTCTCATTGATCCACAGTGAGCTTTCAGTAAAGCTGATCCCGACAAACTGATCCACATCCCTGTCGACAGAGCCAACGTTGAAGGAGACGATGCCAGCAATGTTCTTTTCGAAATCATACGTAACGGCGGAAGAGGAACCAAAACTTGCCGAGCCAGAACACCCACTGGCAGCTAACGCCTCTGGGTTGGTGACCGAACCATTGACATTATACACTGAGGCGGGTATGAGTGTTCGAGAGTTTGGAGTGAGGATGTATTCTTCATATGGCACAGCTGTAGTTGATACCACAAACAAGCCAAGAAGATTGATAGAAAGAGATGAGCAAATCATAGTGAGTATTTGTACCATGAGTAAATAAAATGAACGTGACGGAAAAAGGATTTCTGAGCCAAGAGTAGAAAATCAGAGGTTTCTCTAATTCTATAAAGCAAGTATTCGATATGCTTTCCACATCATGAATTTATATGTATCCAGTCTGCCAAGGAAGTGTTGATCTCTTTTTATCATGTCTCGCAAAGCTCGGTATAATAAGGGACGAACAAACGACTTTGTTCTATTTCATCCAGTGGAGACCATTAGGCCTTGATGATCTTTACCATGAATGGGTAATTCCGCGGGTTTAACCCGCGTAAATGCTCGCATACCCCGCAATGAATGTAAAAATACGGGGTAGACTCAGCATTTGAATACTAGGTATCTGCCGACGTCGGTCCATCTATCAAGATGTGCGATAGGAGGTGGATAGAAAGTTAGTTTGGACTTTAGCATTGGCTGGGTTGAGGGCTCGAACGCCTTCTCATTACTGGGGTCAAGTTCGGATATTGATGAGTGGTATGAGGTATTTGAGCCTGAGAAGCTGTTTGGTTGTTGACCTTAAATAAAAACATTCATGTGTTGTCAGCATGCACCCGAGTAGCCCGAGAGACCACTCGATTATCGAATATGATTTCAAATGTTCAGGAGCTCAAGGATAATACTGATTTCTCTCCCACCCTTCTGATTCTGTTGCGAGTCACCATTGCAATTGAATCTCATATCAACTCTTAAAACTTACTTTGAACGAAACGAAACAAGAGAATGTGATATTCTATATCCGCTATCATTAATAATTTACAGACGTACGCCTAATTGCCCAATCCTTCATGTTCAAACCCACGCATGCCTTAATTATATCACAATTGCCAAATCTGGTCTATCCATCTTCTCGTCATCCATGTTTGGGTAGTAAGGGACGATAGCATCGGCCGATAATACATAAGCGCTGTTGTACAGCGTCCAGTAAGCTGAAATATAGTCAGTACCAATTTCATGGATGGGTAATGGGGTTGGAGTAAGAGTGACTTACGTTGTCTAACTTTTCGTGCTGGATGAAACAGTCCAGCCCAGACATAGTTGAGTACAAGACCTGGGCCAATCGCCATCCTGATAGCTTCAATAGCTTCGACAATACGATCGATAACGTGAGGACTGGTCTCGAAAAGATTGGGGTATAGTAGATTGAGAAGATGAAGCATTGCATCCTCACAACCAAGACCAACCACACCCAATGCTACGTGCTTGACAACAGAGGCAGCAGTCTGTCGATGTACTTGATCACGGTCAATCAATGCATCCTCGAGTAATGGCGTGATAGCGTAAACATAATCTTTAGCCATTTCACCGATATACTCAAAGAGGAAGGAAAGTGATTTTAGAACACCATTTTGAACGTTGAGCTCGGGAACACGGTATTCGTTCATCAAAGCTGGGAGGACTGTGAACGGAGCACAAGTTTCTGCGACGATACCAATAGCTACAGCCGTACAGACACGAGATTGTCGTTCCTGAACCCGAAGATTGTTTAATAGAGTGGCGAGGACATCTTGAGGTCCAATGGCTTTGGCAATGAAACCAAATGTGTTGTTGGCAGCTCGACGAATACCCTTCTTATGTGCTTTCAACATATCTAGAAGTTCGAAACAAATTCTCATCCACTCTCTAGCATTGACACTCTCAGGTCCACGATCAGCGATACGACCGACCAGATCAATGGTATTTTCTTGTACCTTCTCGTGTCGATTTCGTAAAATTGGTGTAAGTCGAGGAAGTAGGTCCTTGATTGGAGGTTGCATTTGGTTGATACCAACCACGGTGACAATAGAACGTAAGGCACCGAGGATGGAACCGAGCACTTCGGGGTATTCTTCACCGAGGTATTCATATAGAACAACACCTAACTTGCCCATCAAAGCATCTTCACCACATTGCTTCATGACCATGGCAATGCGAGAGATCAGGTCTGCCGCCTGTTGTCGGACAGTCGCCGATTTGTTGTTTAATCGCCACAAAATTGTACTGACAATTTGAGGCAGATATGGCTTACACCTCGTACCAAGAGCGTTGACTACAGTTCCGAAGCCATTCAACATAACGATGTCCTCGACACTCTGTTCCTGGAAAGAGTGCAAGATACCGTCAATAAGTCGTTCTTCTAGTCTTTCGCCAATATCTGCAGCACCGAGACTGGCAATAACCTTCTCTATAGTCTCCACAGTCATCTTACGATACGCTTCGCTCTCATCCTTTAAGTTGTTGACGATGCGCTCCACAATCTCACCAACACCGACTTTCTGGCCGAGATCAACGGTTGTTTCAACCACTTGTCTATAGTTACGCTTGTCCAATGCCATTCTTCGAACCCAGAAACTCTTGAAGAATTCATCTAACACGTTCTCCTTGAGATATCCTGCCGTGACTCCATCGGTACCGGCGCATTGTGAAACAACCTTGAGCACAACCTTTTTCATTTCCTCATCGGGAGACGAAAATTCTCTCAAGAGGATTTCCATGATTTGTCCAGTATAGTAGTTGGCGTATTCTTCGTCCATCAAGGGAATGATATACCCAACAGCCTTCAAAAAACCAGCGAGACCCTTTCCGCGCTGTTTTCTAGAAACATAGCAAGTTAGAACAAATTCAGGGGTAATTAGCGATGAACGAAATGAAGTCCCGTCTAGTTGGAGAGGTGTCCAGATAGTTCGATCATATACTTCCTAGGATCCAGTTACAAGAAGAAAGTTATCACGTACCTTGCTCCACTCCATAACGGGTTCAGAATATCATCGAAACTTTCAATACCATAAGGATTTGCTGCCTCTGCTAAAGCTGCAATCGCCAAACTGGTGACAGTACGAACTTTTGTTTGATCGTCGTTAAGATTACCACCGATACAATCAACTAGACCCTTTAAATGAGGAAGAACAGCACATCCCATCAGAATAGGAATTTGTTGAACAATCTTAACACCAGTATGTCTTGCTTGCCATGACTTCTTACTCCTACAAACAGCTCGTAGGAAAGGAAGAAGTGCAGGTATACCTAATGCAGAAGCAACAACAGCGAACGCTCTCGCCGTTGTGTTTCGTACATATTCATCAACATGATCAATATCAGGTCGCATAGTACTGATCATGTGGGCTAAACCGGCGGCTTTACTGAGATTGGAGATAATTTCTCGACCTTCCACTCGAGCGTAGTAATCTTGATCGATGAGCAGCGGTTCGATGACGACCAAAATTTTGTGAACGTAAGGTCTGACAAGGTCATCAAGCTTGTAGAGGATACGGTCAATAACCTTGACTAGCAAATGCCGCTCCTGGTCCTCCAAAGTCTTTTCCATAAGCAATGGAAGAATCTGATTGAACAAAGGTCCGGCACCAAATTGTCTCGCATTATCCGTGAGTTGACGCAAAGCAGTTTTTCGCATAGGTGGAGTACCATTCTTGACTTTGAGTAAAAGCCTCATGATCTTCCTCTCTTTAAGTTCTTCGACACTCATGGAATTTTCATCGCTGCCATCTGTGAGTTTTCCGAAATATGTCATATCCTCCGCCTTGAAGAATTGTAGGTCGCCCACGCCGGGTATTTCTGTTGGAAGCTGCTTTGCCAATTGCCTTCCGCTTTCTGGGTCTTGCATCATGAACCCTCCAGCAGGTAAAGGTGTAGCCATGACTTTTTGAGCAATAGTTCGTACTGGAGCGTAACCAGGTGGAGGTTCTAAGATTTTGTAGCCTTCAGATGGTAACATCATGTCGAGCTCCTCGTCTGACAGTGGCGCATTTCTTGACGAGATATCAGTTCCGAATGTAGTTGGTATAGCTGGACCACCCATTTGTGAGGGATGCATTGGAGTTACTAATCCTTGATTGCCCATGGGGGTGGCGGCAGGTGCTTGATCCCATCTAGACCTTCTCCTAGGAGTTTCATCAACTGCGGCACCTCCTACTGCTGGCGTTTGATCCCATCTCGAACGTTTAGTTTTAGCCTCTGATGATGGTGGAGCCATGCTAGCATCTTCTTCAGTAGCCACATCCCATCTCTTCTTTCTTTTGCGTCCATTTGTGACAGCTTCCGCAGAGCCAGCTTCGTCATTCTCCTTGTCACCGGGAGAGTCAATGTCTTCCTTGGTCAGAGTTGAGTTATGGTGAACAGCTTCGCCGTTCGCCTTCTTCTCCTCAATAGCTTTTCTAACTCTTTCCTCCTCGCGCTCGAGTTCTCTTCGGGCCATCACATCTCGGTAGCTTTCAGCATTTCCATCAGTTCTTGTGGGAGTCAAGACGCGATCGTGCCGACGCTTCTGGTAGTCGGTTTCGCGATCTGAAATTCGTGCACTTTTCTCTCTACCCAACAGAATATCTTCCTCCTCGACCCCATTACCATGCGCGAATTCGTTCATCTGTTCCTTGGAAGCTGTATATTGGCCTACCAATCGTCGGCTGGTATCGGCTTCCTCCATTTCATCATCGTTGCCATCTGCGACTGCGATGGAAGTATTATAACCTGCGAATTTATCAAGGCCATCGCGTTCATAAAGGCTAGTATCGAAGCTTTCTGTCAAGGAGGCCTTGGTGGAAACATCAGTTCGCTGACTTGATGGATCAAACGTCTTCGATCCCTTCTTACCAGCAGAGGCAGCATTCCTCTCAGCCTGTAGCTTCCTGATCGACTCGAATTCGGTGTCGGACATGATGGCGCGTTATAGTGATGCGCATTGGTGTTTGGATGGGATAATTTTGGATAACTGATTTTGTAATCGAGACTTGGAGATTGATAGCAGCCAGAACTAGCTCGTAGTACCAGCCACACGAGGCTAGATTTAGCGCAAGAATCACGGGATACCGGGTACCTTATCTTATGGCTACCCGATTGGGCGAGCTGGGCGAACTGGATGTCCGTTCGAATCGTAAAGCCTCACGTATGTACCTATTCCAATGAAATAATCACTAGCTGTACTCGAGTATATCATATCTTGTCCATATCTAAGTAAGCATGTTGTTACACAAGGTTCTCAAAACAGGTTCTGGTTGGCCTAGGACAAGAAGCGCAATAGGCATACTGACTGCATAAACGAAAGAAAAGGGGAGCTATCGAGGAACCAAGGCGAGATCACAGTATTCGAAATCACAGTATTCAAGAAGTTACAAACTCACAAAACGAAAACCTCTGAAAGTTTTGTGGTACGCAGTATCGCTCAATTTCAATTTTCGTGTCATACATTCGCCTACCCCGAACTCCCAATCGTCTTCTATTCTCATCCTTGGACCTTGAAAGTTCGTCCACTAGCTGTCTTTCTCTCCTTTTCTTCATTCTCTGGACGTGCTCTCCTCAGAACTATTAACTGTTAGTAAAATTAATGTCCCAATCATTCGAAATAGGAACTCACCTTGCAAGAAGTCTGCTGTACGTCTTCGCATTCTAGAGTGAATGTATGCCTAGGAGATATTATTATTGGATTCTGCATTGAGTGTGGTTCATGAGGGTACCTTTGAGGCTTTAATATGGTAATGGAAGTAATCGCGGAACGTTTGGATGTGGGAAATAACTTCATCTCTTCGCTGGAGAGTAAGGTGACGTGGGAATAAAACTGTATGAATTAGCATGGCGAAACCGAGAGTTGGAATATCAAGGCTTTTTGAGCTCACCAAACGTAACGTAGCCAATATCTCCACTACCATTATCCTTTACCCCCGGAACTCCTTGAAGCTCCAGTGGCGGGTCGGTTCGAAATAATACTTGAGGGGCGTTTTGGATGGCTCTTCTTCGAGCATCTACGAATTCTTGAACAAAGACCTTTCCAAATACCCTGTCCGTTTCCTCGCGGAAGACTGTGCTGAATATGACCGTGACTCTGTCGTGGCTGGCCTTGATGTAAATAGCTTCTTCATCACGGTAATGGATTGCCATGACGTCTCCACCTTCTCCGACACCTTGAGGAGCTTCCTCAGATGTGAACTTCGACGCTTCCTCCTGTAATTTATGGAATTCATCAAAGGCATGCTCGAATGGTGCAGCCATTGCATTTCGTTTCATTAAAGATATGCGTCTAACTAAATCATCTCGTGCTTCTGTAAGTAGAGTAGATTAGCATAGCATATGCCATACATTGGTCACCGGTATTCTTACCCTTCTCTTCTGGCAGACTTTCTAAATCAACTAGTACCGAGAAATTGTAGCCACTTTCTGGGGCAACAACATATGGACCATATTCCCGCTCAAGAACCTGCTGAGCGCCGTATCGCAGAAGCTCATGATAACATTTGACCTGTATGGACACAAGGATTTTGGTCTTTGATTCAGGGGTGGAGATGTGGAAAGTAACACCGTCGAAATCGGCTACGGTCTGGTCAATGTTCACCGGTGGTGCTCTGGCTTGAATTAGTAAAGTTAAGGTTAAGCAAGGAATCCCGATTCACACAAACCCTGAAAATCGTTCCGTAAGCACGGATTGAATAAGTACATTTTGGTAATCGAGGAGAAGCATTTTGGTGGTTGGGGGGAGGAGGAGGGGGGAAAGAGACTTGTATTTCTCGTGATGTTTCCAATAACCTTACTTGGGGGATTCAAGCTATCGCTCTCACTCTCCCTGCTGTGTTGTAGGGTCAGGGTTGACTGACGTGGGGGCGGATGATTTAGCTTATAAATTAAAAGCGGCATGATACTTTTGAGGTGGGAGCGGGCGGGAGAGCTTACTTCATTCGGTTACTGGCGCTGCTGCCTTTACAAATCTCGTAAACCATGCTTATCGGCAAGCACTAAGGAATTTTATCGCATAGGTCAGAAAAAAAGTTCTGGTTCTCAAAACTACTTCTGCGCCAGAATGTAAATATGGTTAAATCTTACTTGTAAGTCTTCAAATAAAATAAAAATAAAGCAAAAAGAGTACTCATTTCTAACCTGTCTAATTCTAGGAAATACGAGCATTCGAAATCATTCGGTCTTGTCAATTCAAGCACTTCAAATGTTGTTTGGTCAACAGATGGAGCCGGTGTCTCGAGTCGAAATACAGGTTCGGGGAGAGCTATAGTGGCCGCCAATGAGGAGGTATTATGTTGGGAAATAAAGACAGGAGAACTTTTGAGCCGTTGGAGGGATAATGACTGTAAATCTCAAGTCTCGGCCATTGCGCAGAGTAAAACGGATATAGACATTTTCGCCGTCGGATACGAAGACGGAAGCATTCGATTATGGGACTCGAAAATCGCAACTATCATAGTCAGCTTTAATGGGCATAAGTCTGCCATCACTACGCTGGCATTCGATAGATCTGGAGTGCGATTGGCCAGTGGTTCGAGAGATACGGACGTCATTGTGTGGGATTTGGTCGCTGAGGTTGGCTTGTTCAAGTTGAGAGGACACAAGGATCAGATCACTGGACTCCAATTCATTCACCCAGAGATACCACGCGAATCTAGCGAAGATGAGGAAGTGGTTGATGTTGAGGATGGAGGTTCATTTGAAGGATTTCTACTCACCACTGGCAAGGATGCACTCATCAAGCTCTGGGATATGACATCTCAGCACTGTATCGAAACTCATGTCGCTCAAACCAACGGAGAATGCTGGGCCTTGGGTACTTCACCGGATGGTAGCGGATGTATCACGGCTGGAAATGATGGCGAAATGAAGGTATGGTCTATTGATACGGCTGGTTTATACAAGTTATCGAAACAAGTGAATGGCGCAGTGGAAGCTCGATATCTCCAGGGTCGAGGAATACTACATCGACAGGGGAAAGACAGGGCACTCGAAATTAGTTTTCATCCACGCTTAGATTATTTTTCGGTTCATGGTTCGGAAAAGTCCGTGGAGATATGGAGGATACGCTCAGAGGAGGAGGTGAAGAAAAGCTTAGCAAGAAAGCGTAGGAGGAGAAGAGAAAAGCTCGCCGCAACCGAGAAGTCTGCTATGGAGGGGGATGAAGCGGATGAGAAGGCGGAAGACATTTCAACAGCTGATATTACAGACTTCTTTGTCCCATACGTTATTGTTAGAACGGGCGGCAAAGTTCGATCGGCTGACTGGGTTCGTATCAAAGGTACCAAATCCATACAGTTGCTGATAGCGACTACGAACAATCAACTGGAAGTCTACACAGTAGTCACAAAAGAAAAAAGCAAGAAGTCCAAGAGCGAAGAAATGCCAGATTATTCGAGGACATTATCAGTTGAAATGCCAGGTCACAGAGCAGATATACGAGCGTTGGCTCTGAGTTCGGACGACCGGATGTTAGCATCAGCATCTAACGGTGGCCTGAAAGTGTGGAACGTCCGCACGAGAACTTGCATACGAAGTTTCGAATGTGGTTATGCTCTGTGTTGTGCATTTTTGCCAGGAGACAAAATTGTAGTGGTAGGAACAAAATCTGGCGAACTAGAGTTATTTGATGTAGCTTCAGCTGCTATGCTTGAGACTATCAAAGCTCATGACAGTGCTATCTGGAGTCTACATGTCCACCCGGATGGACGTTCCGTTGTATCGGGTAGCGCAGACAAATCAGCCAAATTCTGGAATTTCGAGGTGTTCCAAGAAGAAATTCCTGGAACTAAACGAACAACTCCAAAATTACGGCTCGTCCATACCAGAACATTGAAAGTCTCAGATGATATTCTGAGCTTAAGGTTTTCACCGGACGCACGTCTGTTAGCTGTGGCACTTTTGGACAATACTGTCAAAGTCTTCTTCGTGGATTCTCTTAAACTCTTCCTCAATCTTTACGGCCACAAATTACCTGTGCTCAGTATGGATATCTCCTTCGATAGCAAGCTCATTGTTACCTGCTCTGCAGATAAGAACATACGTCTTTGGGGTCTCGACTTCGGGGATTGCCACAAAGCATTCTTTGGGCATCAAGACAGTATCTTACAGGTCGCATTTATTCCACACAGCCAAGACGGCAATGGACACCATTTCTTTAGTACCAGTAAGGACAAGATGATCAAATACTGGGACGGGGATAAGTTCGAACAAATCCAAAGATTAGATGGCCATCACGGTGAGATCTGGGCATTAGCAGTCAGTCGAACAGGTGACTTCTTTGTCAGCGCAAGTCACGATAAAAGCATTCGAGTGTGGGAGCAGACTGACGAGCAAATATTCCTCGAGGAAGAGAAGGAGAAGGAATTGGAGGAATTATACGAGTCAACTTTAACAACGTCCCTGAACCCCGATAAGAATGAGGAAGAAGATGATAATGAAGTTGGGGCTGCCGGAAAACAAACAGTTGAGACTCTCATGGCCGGAGAAAAGATTGTCGAAGCCCTCGAAATTGGTATCGCTGATCTGGAGCTAGTGGCTGAATATGAGATCGCCAAAGCCAGTAATCCCAACACCGCTCCTCCAGCCCGCAACCTCCTTTTCATGGCTCTCGGCAATATCAGCGCCGAAAGACATGTTCTCAATACTCTACAGAAAATTAAAGCCGCAGCTCTTCACGACGCTTTACTCGTCCTCCCTTTCTCCACGCTTCCAATGCTCTTCACTTTCTTGAATATTTTTGCCACAAAAGAAATGAACATACCACTTACATGTCGAATACTATTCTTCATGTTGAAAACACATCACAAACAAACGGTGGCAAGCAAGACTATGAGGATTATGTTAGATGGCATTAGAGAGAACCTAAGGAAGAGCTTAAAGAGACAGAAGAATGAGATGGGATTTAATTTGGCGGCGCTGAAGATTGTCGGGGAGAGAGTCAAGGATATGGGAACGAAGGATTATGTGGACGAAGAGACTTGGGAGGAGGATGATGGATCAAGTAAGAAGAGAGGATTTGTGCAAGTTTCGTAGGTAATGCATTGCATTGGGCTGGGTTAGGTAGATATCAAAAATGTAAGATGTACAAAGCTATGGTCAAAATGTTATCAATTTTAAAACGGAAGCTCCGTATCACTCATCTACAAAAAGCTTGATGTGAGAAAGGAGGTGCATTTGCTCATTTCAAATCCATTCCAGCTAATCATTCTCCAAGATCCATGCCTATGATTCGACTCATGCTATGGACATTTTTGCTTCATTCATCCGAACACATTCCACCCCGTCCCATGAAGATTGGAGGAGATAGGGATCAACAGTCGACAAATCTGCGACTCGCAATGAATACGGTCCAAGGCATAAGCATAATGGACCCCGAACTAGTCTCAGTCGAACAAGGTGCCAAGGAAAGATGTCCAGTACCTCCCCTCCGCCTTGTCCCCCTTCTTCATCTTCTCTGCCTCGTTCCGTAATAGATCTAATTGGCATTTTCTTCTCCATATCTGTGCTCCGTCCATTTTAGCTTTAGGCCGGCTTCATCTCTTTCCTTTTTCATTTGCCGCTGCTGACACAAATCATCCAATTTTTTCACACCGTAAATCTGCTACATGCAATTCCGCTTCATCACCATCCTGCCGCGCCTGCTTCTTCTGTTCTAAGATCTCCGATACAAGTTGACGGGCTTCATTTCTTTTTTCTCCATCCTCTTCTTCTGTTCCAATCCCCTGATACAATCGGGAGTGCTTCGTCTCTATCCTTCTCCGCCTGCTTCTTTTGTTCTAAACTTCCCAATTCCAGCAAATAGCAATCTAGGCATCTGACGGGTCCATTATCAAACGGGGCTCCCACCCCATTCATGGTTCCCAAAGGACCCTCTTATGTAAGATTGGCAAAACAGCTTGATCCCTCTCAGCCTGGGCCAACCATAAATTCTCCTGCGCGGAAATTTCTTCCCATTTCTCGTCAATATTCCTCAATTAACGACGCCTTCGCCAAAGTTGGCGTATTGCATCAAATTTACCGTTTCTATGATCCCAATCCTCGTCGCCAAAACTTTTATACGTACCCACCATACGCCCCACATAAATTCACCTTCCCCCTTCAAAAGCAAGCCGAAATTCAACCTAACCTAACTGATCTGACTACCTACCCAACTTATCTGACTACCTACCCAACTTAAGAAGGAAAAAATTGCAATCCCAGCAACTCTAAAAAATGCAAAAGAATAAATTCTCCCATCTCCCCGAGGATGTGGCCAATCCGGCTTTTTCGTTACTTGTTTGTGCCTAACAGGTGTATTAAACGCCTTCCCGACCGAAGTCAAGCTCTTGCCCACCGAACTAATTCGCCTTCTTGGTTGAGGTATTTGTCGTTTACTAGATATATATACCTAGTGTCGGTAAGCGAGGCTGGTGAGATGAATCTTTCCTAGGACTGCTTCGTCCTTTTGCCTCTCCAGGGTTGAGCTTTTTGTTCGTCCATCTCAAGTTGTTCTCTGAACTCCGATGCACGTTGAATTGCTTCGTCTTTTTCTTTCGCCACCTCATCGTCTCTCTCTGATGACGAGCCTTGATTAGACATGATGCAACTTATGTATCGAGCCGGAGACGAAAGTGGAGATGGGGTTCAAGATCTGTCTGGAGATTGAGCACCCAGGAGTGCCTGTTGAATCGCGGACGATAATCAGAACCAGTTTGTTGGGAGGTATAGGTTTTTGCTGATACAGTTTCTCGTTGTCGATGATCTTGGACGTTCTCGCAGGTAATCCTCATGCGTAAGTAAGGTTTCTCGATTGAGATTGTCAGATTAAAAATTTGAACGAAGGCGTGAAAAGCGTTGAGGACTGAAAAGAGTTGAAGGTACCAGTTTAACCTCTTTGATTGACAAGGGATGCAGAATCTGTGATGTATGAGACAGAGATTGAGGATTATTATTCGCCTTCATACTGCTCAGGATATGCAGTTGGAGGAATTCTACATTCTTTCAATCACCACGCTGTGATCCATATTATCGGTTTGTTTTGCTTCGAAATGTGTGCGAAACATCATGTGAGCAAAAAAAGTGAGACATTTTCGAGAGGTTTCTGACAACACCTGTCACGAATCTAGCGAATTCAGAAGTCCTAAACATACTTCATCGAAGCCTACAGAACAATGAAGATTGAAGAAGGGCTTCTCTCTCAAAAGCCCACAATACTGAAACACGCCGGCCGAGACGGTGATCGAAGCCATATGTGATAGTTCATGTCGCCTGAAGATAATCTCTTCTGATCTCCGCCAGAAGCAGCTAGATCTTCCATTGAAGACTTCATCAATTATCATCTTCTCTTTCCAGGCAGGCTTCACTCACGCGCACTCATGATTTATTTTATTCCAGCTCACTGCAATGTTTTGTTGCATGTTCCAAGATTGTCTTGATTTCATCTGATCAGCACATCACTCAATATGCACTTCACTTGCAATACCAAAGTATTATCGCAGGTCTCAACATTCAAGATTGTCTTCACCTTCTTGAGATACTTGGATAAAATGAAAAGATCAAAATCCATGTGGTTTCTAGTTTCATTTCAAAGGATAGATACATTCTCATTGCCACCTCCAATCTTCGATTCAGATCCAAATGTACGCTGAACTGCTTTGTTCCTTTCTTTTTCATTATCCCATCACTTCCCTGTCTGCAAGTCTTCTCTTAGATCCTCTATTTTCAGTTCCTGTCCCAGATTGACTATATGTTGACGCCCCCTAACTTTTTTCGCTGCTGCTTGCATCATCGCCGCTGAACTCCGATCCTCCCGCTGCGCTTTCTATCCTATCTGCTAGTACTCGAGTAACATAGCAGTGCATTCCCCAGCTTCATCATAATTTCTTTTGCCTGACCCCATATCTGCCTCGCAAAACCCCTTTCTTCGTGTGACGCAGTAATCCGCTCTGACGAATCATGGGAAACCTCGTTACTACTTGTGGATCGGATGGATTCAATGATTGATCTCCAGGAACGTCGATTTGGACTAACTGCTGCGGAGTCTGATAGTTGGGGAAATGCATTTTCTGGTGATGTCACAGCTGTCAGTGATGAAACTGGTGTTGGTGTTGAGCTTGGGGTCGCCATTGTGATCTTTAAGTTCATGTATTGTGTGTTTGAAAGCGCCGGAAAATATGCAGCAAGAAATAATTGCAGATTGTCTTCTGCCTTTATACTTTTCAGATAATACGGTTAAAGTCTCTATTTTTTCTACTTTGGTGCACTTATTATGCCATTGTTCCATCAAGTCTCAAAATCTACACTCGAAATAACGTCAAGTACAAAGAATATCAAGGATTACGAGGTGGAAGCATTCGCGAGGACATTCCAGATGAATTTTTCCTCACGAGATATTTCGATATCGGTTTTCGAAAGAAAACATGAGTTCCCCGTAATTTGATCAATAGAACCATCATGAATGATGCATACAATTCCAACTTGTTCATTCCGATATTTGTACTGAATCATCGGGCATTCAGTCTAGCTATCGCCAGTACCTCCTAGGATCACTTATGATATCATAGTTCCTTTCTCAACTTCATTCTCGTCCATACTTTACTTCCATCCACAGCTCAAAGTCTTGTTGTAATTTTTATAGTCCAAGATCTGTAAGTAGGTTCACTTGTGTTGAGTGGTGCCAATCTTCAAGGATATGAGGAATTGACTTTGATAAATATTTTCACAAATTTGTTTGCTCTACTGAGTAGTTACTTCAACTACATCTGGAATCTGAGTCCGACTTGTTTGCCACACGGAGCAGATAACGACTTCTCGAACAAGTATTCTATCGTGGATCTATGTCAACTTTATACTCTAATATCCTTTCAATTTTCTAGAGATTCAAGCATCATAAAACATAACATCCCTTACATTCCTCCTGACATCATTTAGGTAGGAGCCCTTCTGCTCTATACGCAATTCGCTACCCAAATTCTAAATTCTCCCCTTCTATTATCTTCTTGGGTTGAGAGATCGTAGAGACTTTACTCAAGTCGTATCTTGTGTTATTCCCTAATAAAGCCCATCTGTACTTCTTACCCTTACTATATATGACCCTTGGGTTCCACTTCATATACTAACGGACGAACGGGATCTTAGCTATGGACTGCTTCTACAGATTACAGATATTCCTATAGCTGTCATTTATTATCTATGTTTTATCACATGCTTCATCCCTCATCAATCAACCTGACTCCCTTCAAGTTCCAAGATTTGACTTCTTTATCTACCCACCCACCCCTTTTCACATAAGCGAAAAAGGTAACTGGCATCCATGTCAATACACTCAAGTCATAAGTCCAAAAGGATAACCACAACTACTCTTCAAACATTCCAATACGATTTGAACATTGATAATTTATTGAGCATTTCAGATAGGAATATTGATGACTCATTGTTGAGGTTGCATGGAATATTGATGATATGTTATTCATACTGAACCAGAAGAATATCAACAATTCATCATTCGAATTGACTAGGTGATACAAAGTCGCAAATTCGACCATGATTTCAGCCCCTATTTCGCTTATATAGAAATCCCCCTCTACTGTAAACCTGCTCCAAATACCGTAAATTTCGCCTTGCCACCAGTCACCTCGAGCCTCATATTATCATAACATCTCAATCTCCAGTCTTCATTCTTCGAACCCAAACCTAGCCCCTTCTAGTCGATACTCATACATACTCATAAATCCCTTACCCTCTTACAATATATCCATAACCAAATGTATACCAGCAACCTCTTTCCAAGTAACCAGCTTTCTTCGATACCCCTCTACCTATCCCATTCTACTCCACTGCCTCCCCCATCAGGAAAGAGAAGTGTATATCCCCTCCCTCCCCAGCCCGAATTTACATTACAATTAATGAATCAATTGAACATTTCAACAGAGAAACTTCATTTATGAGAAAATTGATTATTTACTTCATCTAAATTAATTTCTAGCGTGTTTTCATGGTCGTTACCACTACCACCACCACCACTACTACAACTACCACTCACTTTATATTCATATGCACCTAGTAAAATAATCAAACCAATTGAATGTAATAGAATTATCAGATATTCCCATCTCAGATATATGGAATCAAACCAAACTGACACAATCAAAGTTTGATCGTCATCAACATTAATATCAATAAGTCATATCCTAAACACTATAACACTGTTGCCAATATAACCATACGATATCATGCTATACCATATCATTATTCCCACCTCACCCTTTCCCTTTCCCTCATCACCCTTTGAATAATTGCATTCACATCGTTAGCATACTGTGGTATCATAAGATCATATCATGATATCTGACATCCCAACAATCTACCCTTTCTCTCCCTCCTAGCTCCCCATAAGCTTTCCTGTATCCCATTCAAAACCCCCTCATTTCCCTACTTCCCCTCCTCACAAAGCCCCTCTTCTCCCCTCATCTGCTCCACTCCCCACATCCCACCACTCCCCCTTCCGCCCCCCAAAAGGCAACCAACCCTAAAAAAAAGGCAACGCCGCAGCCACCCAACACTTCGCACTACAAACCCCAAACGCCGTATTACACGCCACGATCGTTGCTGGCGCTGTTGCACCTAGAGTTGCGCCCCACTATATCAACGTATCATCGTGTTGTTAGTAATTGAGCATTTCTCGCCCCTCATCTCAAATATGAATAAGGGAGAAAGAAAAGGAAAACCAAAAAAATACATACCGTCGCACCCCCCGCCGCATAACAAGCCATTACCACCGCCGCACACCCACTTTGACAAATACCATAAGCGATTGGACCTGCGGTCGCTGTACCCATGAGGGTTGAGACGAAAAAGAAGAAGATGAGGAGGGATGATTTGGGTTTCATTCTGAGAATTTTGGCTTTGTTTTTGGGTATTGGGTATTGGGTATTGGGTATCGATCGGTGTTGATTTTCGGTCTGCTAGTTATTGAGAATGTGAAGAAGTTGATTTTAAAAAGGTAGATGGGTAGACTGGTAGACTAATATATACCCAGCTCTAGTCCTTCTCTCCTTCTCCTTCTCCATCTCCTTTATTCTACCTCTACAGTCTACAGTATCGTATCTATCAATCAACAACAATCACCACCACCACCACCACCAGTTAGTTCTTTTCTTTGACGCAATCATACTCATAGCCACTAGACTCCTGGACAAAAAAACGAGGCTCTTGTAGAAACTGATAACAAGATATGCGGGATGAGGCTGCAGCTGCTGTAATACTCTTTCAAAGTAAATTAAAATTTAAGACAAGATAAAGAGCTAACAATGAAAATGTAACATCTGTTTGTATTGCGCTATGCATGGTTGGGTATTTTGTGAGTCTATGAAAATGAAAAGAGTATTGATAGGTACTGTAAAAGGAAATCATTATGCTGTTGTTCCATCTTATTCATCCTCCTTCCTATGATTGCCTTCCTTTCCAACCGTGGTCTCACCTAACGCCAGATTGTGATAAAACCAAAAACATTATTGGTCAGTAATGTTATCCACGTCTCATCATCCCATCCAATTCAATCACCTCATCTACTCACCCCTCATCTAAACCAACTCCCAAGCCGCCACCCCCCCGAATCCCATTCCACACTTTCCCTTCTTCTCCTCATACTCCCTCTTGCTCATCCCCCTCGCATCCTTCCCATTAACACTCGTAATCGCATACAAACTAATCGTTTGGCCCCTTGCCCCTAATTCTCTGACATTGACATCCACCCACCACCAAAATCCATCAAATTCAAAAGCTATCATATCCTCCTTCCTTCCATCTACACCTCCTATCTTGAGAATCATACAATATGGTTTACCAGATCCGTTGCGTTCAAAATCGTAATGTGTACATATCTTGGAGAATTGGAAACGCATGATTTCGGTTGATGCGGGTGAGGATTGAATATTCTTTTGAGGGGGTGTGAATGAGGTTTGAGAGATACCATGATGATCCTCTGGAGAGCCGAAAATTTGTAACGATTCACCACCGATATTTCCAATGAAATATTCCTCCCAGCTCAAGATTCTTCTATCATTTCTGAAGAAATGTGCTTTATCAGCTGGGAAATGTTTGAGACCGAATTCTTCATTCGACATAGTGAAGTAAGATGAGATCAAATTCTTGTTGTATGTTTGATTGTTACCTAATTGTCCGGATCCCCAGCATGCATCGATAAGTTTCCATTCTCCTCCATCGATACGAACTGCATTCCAGGCATGCCCACCAGGATTAGGTGGCGGGCATGACTCTCCTGGTTGAAGGGGTGTATATCCGAACCCTTTTCCATGACCAGTCACCATAATTGCTTCAAGTCCTGCTTTGAGTGCAATAGCCGTAAATAGACCAGCGTACCCACCACAAACAGCCAATCCAGTCTTGATAGTATCGGCTGGAGTAACATTTTTGACTCGATTCCCGAAAAAGGCACCTGTATCATAAGCAACATTATGGTGAAGCCAAACGAATATTGCACGAGATTTATCAGTAGGTGAACTGAAAGAGCGACAAAGAACATCAGCAAGATATCCTGTATTATCAGAGGATCTTGGAAGGAATTCTCTAGGATATTTTAATGCAATTTGATCCGGGCCAGAAAAGTCTCGACATAAGAGACAGCCCGTTGATGACGGTGACGGTGACGATGACGATGACGATGATGCAGTTGGAGTAGCACTTACAGCTTTTACGTGAGCCGAAGTTGGTTTGGATCTGAGGTTAATAGGTGGTGGCACCCCTCCAGATTTGGGTGCATCGCTTGGTGATATTCCAGTTTTTTCAATCAAGAATTCTGTCATAGCATCCGTTTCGTTCTGGTATTGGTACTTTTCCGGATTGTCCCCGTTGCCATCAAAGAACATAATGGTTGGATATCCTGGAATACCATATCTTGCGATAAAAGATTTATGTTCATCGACATCAACTTTCGCAATCACAAGCCTGTCAGAAGCAAAAGCAAAATCCTCGGCAAGTTGTTTGTAATGGGGATCCAGTTCGACGCAATATTTGCAATAGGGAGCATAAAAGTCCACGAGAGCAAATTTCCCCGAAAGAATGATACGATCGAAATTATTGGCGTTCAGTTCTTGGACAGCAGGCCCGGGGGTCCTATTGTATGTAGGTGCTGGCCTTAGTGCAGGATTTGGTGTTTCAGTAGACTTGTTGCCAAAGCCTATAGATAAAGCAGAACGAGTAGCAGAGGGAGGTGGTAATCTTCGTGTTGGTAGAGCAATTTGCTTTTCTTCTTCAGCATTTTCAACGGGTCTCGAAGGCACTTTTGGTGGCCCACTTGGTCTTGGTGGCATTTTGGGTGGCATTTCACGATCAACGACTGTAGGTCGTTTAGAAACAATGGGATCTGACCTTGTCTGTGATATAGATTTGTTAATTGTGTACTAACAAGAAGGTTAAAAGCCATGAGGAAAATCATGATAATTGCGCTCGAGACTTTGAATTCAATTTGAACATTGAATTGAGAATGAGAGCAGAAAATCATCCGCCACCTGAACCAAAATCTATGAATAGTATAAAATCTATTGATAATACTTACAGAAACCAGTGGCATTTTAGCCTTCTGCTCTAGTCTTGCCTTCTCCTGCAATTCTCTCCTTGAAGGTGGTAAAGGTGGAAGTTTTGCCATATCTAAAGGAGGGGGCAACATTCTCCCATTCGTTGACCCTATAGATGTTCTTGAAGACACAGGTCTGCCATAACTATTCAAAGACATGGCCGAAACAGTGGAAAGTTGTGAAGTGGTCGAGTCCCCTGAACCTCTCCTTACTAATTGTGTAGATGCTGAGGCTCTCCTCGGTGGTAGAGCTGGAGTCGAACCTTTTCTCGTGGGCAATGGAGGAGGTGCATTTCGACTTGGCAGAAGAGGACTCTTGGCATTATTCGCTGGAGTATCGCGAGCAACTGGAGGGAAACTGGCTTTCGCGCCAATTGGTTCATTAAATGGTTTCTGGATAGCAGAGGAACCATACGTGAGGATTGGAGGGTTATTGGCAGTCTTTGGTCTCGTAGGAAGAGGAGGTCGATCGGAACTTGGTATAGGAGGTGGTGGTGGTCGTTTGGCTACTGTCAAAGTATTATTTTGAGGGACGAAAGCATTCTCTGCCTGTTGTTGCTTCAATGCAGCAATGCGCTGCGCAAGGGTGGTAAACTGTGGTTCTTCGACATCGGCCATGATGTGCGATACAATTGGGGAGTAGGTGACTGTAGTATCTAAGATAACAGTGGAAGTATTGGTACTTGCGAGAAGGTAGGACCAGCGTATTGCCTAGATACTTCACTCAATGTACCTATATTATCACGACGAGTCTGTGGCGGGTAAACGACAGGAAGATAGCATGAGAGAGTGTGAATATTAAGAAAGAGTATTGCAGAAACGAACGAGTAATGATATTTATTGTATAGACATTAATATTATTATATCGAAGGATTCATCACAGCTACAGCCGGTTGAATGAGTGGAATCGAAATACATCAGCACAAGGCTGTGGTGCGGCACAGTCAAATATTATTTATATATAACAAGTACTCGAGTGGAGAGAGATCATCAACTATGCTTGTCCGAGATTCCAATTGGGTGGGAACAGAATAAAGTTGGTAGGTATGTCTTGGCAGGAACAAAGGACTGAGGATAACACTAAGATTAGTTGTGGGAAATTCCATCATCTCTCCAGAGATAATTGACTTCAAGTTAAGTTCAATAGTTTGAATTCAAGAACAGTATAGGTCCCTCCAAGCTCCAAGAGCTGATAGAGAGGGATATCTTCTTGATACTCGAGTAGAAGCCATCAATCATCAATTATCGACCATCAACTATATATAGCGAGCTATGGGGGTTTGGGGGGTTGCCCCCATCATAACCTTTAATACAATCAAACAATTTTATTAATCACAATCATCAGAACATGACGCTCCGCTGGCCCTCCGGGAGCCACTGCCGTGGAGGCAGAATATTTGGAATATTTATGGAAAATTGTTGATTGTGAGACTTGTTTTCATTGAGAAAAGAGACTATTTCCTCCCATACCAGATAGTCCAGACCCTATCTTCTACCCATAACTCCTTGACATCCAGCTGAGTATAGTTTAATCCATAACACCTGAATCCCTTGTACCTATTCCATCCAGTGTTTCTTCCGTGACAGGACCAGTCAAGCCCAATACGCCGATTATGTATTTATACAAGTCCTTTCAATCCATTGTCCAAGATTGACTTAAGGTACCGAGCATGCCTGTTCGGTCTTCGAGATTCCCCCCAATAGCGAGTGAGTGTACTTTTCATCTCATTTCTACCCTCAAATTCCTGCCGTATGCCTCTACAATCCCCTTTCTCCCAGATAAAACACTCTGGCCGCCCGCCCGTCCCTTCCCCAACCTTTGCTTACCCCCCCGCCCCCACCTCTCTAAAATAACAAATCCAAACAACAACAACAAGCCAATCCACCCAGACAGGCTGTTAAGAAACCCTCCTTATTAGAACCTCTCTGTTGTTGTCCATATCCCTGCTGCTGGTATCCATAAGGTTGTTGTTGGTATCCATAAGGAGGATTTTGTTGCTGATATCCCATTTGCGGACCTGGAGCATAATATCCTCCTTGTGGTGGATATCCTTGTTGAGGGTATTGTTGACCTTGAGGAGGATATTGCTGACCTTGTTGAGGGTATTGTTGCCCTTGTTGAGGATGTTGCTGACCTGGCAGAGGATACGGTTGTTGGTATCGTTGTGGTTGCTGTTGCTGTTGCTGTTGCTGTTGCAGATTTTGAGTTTGAGGTGATGGAGAAGGCTGTATGTAAGCTGCTTGAGGAGCGATGGGTGCGAAAGTTTGAATGGGAGCATCCGAACCATAAGCTGGTGGAGGTCCTTCGTATTTTTTAGACATTATTATCGACCTTTTGAGACTTTGGAAGCTTAGGGATTAATTGTTTGAGACGGTTCCAAGTAATTGAATCGGTCGGTGTAAAGTGCCTTGTAGACAGATATGTAGATAAACAAGTGAACCTTTAGTATGATCTAACTCCAGATCAACGTCATACAAAGCTGGCCAAGTTACCCAAAGTCTTGTACAGTTTAGGCCGAAAATCCCGGTATGGTTGGTGTGGTTATGGTTTCGTACAGCAGATCTGAGGAATTAATAGTAAAGTCTACTTAATTTGCTAAAACCAGAAGCTGATCAAAAAAAACAATATGAATATGAATATGAAAAGGAAAAGGAAAAGGAAAGGGAAACAAAGGAATTGGATATGGTTCGGAGTTGGTGTTTCTGTTTCTGTTTTTGGGTTTTACCTTCTGGTACATTTATTGTAGCAAACTTTGGCTTATGAGACGAATCAAACTTATACTTGTACCGAGGTTATATATGTATATAATGTATATATACTCGGAGTACTCATCATGGAAGACTACAAGACGACCCCTTCACCAAGAAAGATTGAAGCAATAATGTAAAGACATTTCTCTTCATGATCAACAGAGTTCAAAAGAGACAAGAAAAGAAGAAGAAGCGATTATTGCCATGCCAGGTGCTGATATTGTTTTAGTATGGAACCTCGCATCCTACCCACTGCCCTCAACCATTCACAGATCTCAAAACAGTATCAAAATCTCGCCTTATCTCAATACCTGTTACCCCCAGAGAGTTCTTCATGTCGTTCTAGATTGCGCCCAAATCATCAAAGGTACAAAATAACCTGACTTTGAGGTTTTGAGAGCATTAAACAAGTATATGCATGAAGTTGTTCGTTGGTATGAAGGATTATCTATCTTATCTACTTTAGGTTCTATTTCCAACTCCCTTCCAACTTTTCCCCTTCTTTTCTATTTCTCTCTACCTTTCCTTTCCTTCCCTGCTACTTTTTCCTTTCTCTCTTACTCCCTTCCCTTCCCCCCTTTCTCTCCTTCGTATAATATATATATCTTCAACTTAATTATTATTCCATCGTTCATTCATTTTTCTTGTATTCACTTACCTACCTAGGTAATCATTCTATTTTTAACACACATTATTATCCTAACCCCTCCATTTTGATCCATCGTATCACCCTGTCAAGCTCAGACCAGCTTATTATACTCGAGTTACCAGCTCAATCGTAAAGCTATCAACAACGCAATCCAACGCAGCACATGAAAACACATCACATCTCCGGGCGCATAGATTTTAGATCAAAGTCAGGAATTGCCCCCGTCCCTGATGCCTCGAGCGTAATATCAAGATTGCTCGCAGGTTCATCATCAGACATGGCACCTATTCCTATCCCTCTTCCTCTATTTTCTAGCAGTTCGATAATGCCAAGGGACGTTTCGCATTCAGCTTCGTTAATCTCGAGACCGATAACACTCTTACAGCCCATCTCTACAATTCTCCAACCTAGAAATGCGCAACTATCTTCTCCTTCGAAATTTGCGACCCTCTTGAACCGTCTAATATTGCGACAAACTACGTATAGTGACCCGAGCATAATTCCTTCTACATATGGGAGCCAGAATAATTCTCCCTCGCCCGGCACAATTGTTGGTATAGTTTTGGGATCGGTAGGAGGCTTTTTACTCCTTCTCTGGCTCCTATATACATGTTGCACATTGGGACGTCCGTCAGCCGCGCGCTCTACAGTTACCGACGATGTAACTGTCCGCGAGACTGTACGGCGGAGATCGCATAATTCACACAGGAGTTCAAGACCGCATAGTCGAAGAGTGACCACAACTGAGAAGACGGAGATCAGACGACAGCGAAGTCCGAGCCCGCCTCCTGTTAGAATTGTGAGGGAGGAGGTGAGACGACAGCGAAGTCCAAGTCCGCCTCCTGTTAGGATTGTGAGAGAAGAGGTGAGACAAGAAACGAGGAGGCCTCCACCTGTCGACAGAGTGATTGTTGAGGAGAGAAGGGAGGTAAGGAGGAGTAGAGAGGAGAGAAGCCCTAGCTCAAGTGGTGGGGGTAGTGCTGAAGTTGTGGTAACTGAAGAACATGATCCACCAAGAAGATCGAAGAGTAAGAGGGAGAGAAGGGAGAGGGATAGTGGATTCAGAACAGTAGACCCATTGAGCTTTGGAGGTGTAGTTGGTGGAGAAGGGAGGAGGGGCGAAAGGAGGAGGTAATACTTGGACTTAAGCGATATAATGGAGTTGGGAGGGAGATATTGGGGTAAAGGTGGAGTATGCGAGGAGTTGGGGAAGTTATATTGCATGACTATAATCACGAGAAGGACAGACCTCTCGACCATATATCCTTTCGACAGATCCACAGACGGGAAATCACATTGTGTACCGGTATTCTGGAGCAGAAATCATTACTATCGCGGGAAAGTGGCTATTTGAATTGCATCTCATTAGCCAAATCTTACGGGTGGACAAACCTACAAGGTGCTGGCTGGATATGGCTTGAAACGATCAATATATGGGAAATGATCTATGAAGGATGGAGGACACTTGTATGTAGCATTAACGATGAGCAATTTTCGAACTCTACAAGTTATCCCAGAAAGACGTGGATATGGATGTGGCCGTGTTGATATTGAGGCCTCGGTGTTTGTATTTCCCCATTCCGTTCCCCTGAAATAGCCGTGATCTATTAGTAAGTAGTACGAGTAAATTAATTCCTACTTCCTAGGCCTATACTACAAGGCTCACTCAAACCCGCTTCTTTCCCCCATTTATGATTGATCGTCCATCAAGCCATAACCTCTAAAAATCAGGCTTCAATTGCGATGTCGGCGTGTCAGCTTTGGTATGGTATTGGTTATTGACTCGTTATATAGCCAAATTACTAGGTAATGTGCAGTTACTGGGCAGTGTAGAATGACCAGAATGACTTAACTACTAGTGATAGGCAGGCTGAAAGGAAGAATAACAAGCGAAGGAAGGCTAGGAAATGAGAAGGAGAGAATAAGAGAATATCTTTTTTGGTATTTTTAGTATATTTTATATTTATACTAAGCATCCAATCGGAGTTTTATAATGTTGTGGGGTTTATGCATGTTTTATAGTTGACTAAGATCAGATGTGATTGTCAAAGGGCGTGTTATCGACATCCTGACAAGGATTCATAACAACCACATTGAGTTATGAAGATGACTGTTCTAGAGGAGATCAGTGAAGTCGACTTTTGATATGTTTCTATTCGATTAAATCAACCTTTTCATTCTTACATTTATCTGTCATCCATCTATAATACAACATATACGCCCTTTCTTGGATTTTTATCAATATCTTCAATTTCCTTTGCCATATCTTTAGGAGAGTGGGTTGTATCTGTATCTACAGTATACCGAAGTACTCAATTGAGTCTTACAATCCACCCAAACGACCACCACGCCCTATAAATGACCACAATTGACGAGATGGATGAGTTTTTTAACTTTGATGATGCCACCGATTCACCTACTGATCAATATGATTATGACTTTAGTCATCTCAATGCACTTTCAAGTGCAGGTCCTTACAATATCGACCTAGCTTTTGCAAACCCTGAAGCGGATGAAAACTCCTTCACGTGTCTGCAACACTTCTCTGCTCCAGAGGAACAGCTTTCCCAAGACTTCGGTAATGCAATAGTCAATACATCGACACTTGAAGCACATGACTTCCAAGATTTTCCAAGATGGATTGATGGCATGTCAGAACCTACCAAACCTTGCACACGATGTCGACAGGAAAATACCCATTGCAAAGTTATCAAAGAGGGTTTTCGCAAAGGATCCTGCACATGTTGTGTAGCTTTTGCGAGATCATGCAGCTTAACACGAGATCTCAATATGAGGAGTAGAGAAACCTATGATTATCGTGCCTCGGGTAAGATTGATTGTGCTGTCGATGGTCAGGGGAATCATAATATTAACGAGGAGGAAACCATGTCTCCAATCAAGCAGTGTGAGTACTGCAGAAGATGTGCTCAACCGTGTAAGGTATTAGGAGATGGAGAAAATCTCGCTTGCCAAAGCTGCTTGGTATTGAGTCGACCTTGTAGCCTGGTACAATACAATCGTTCTGGCGATTGGCAAATAGCAGAGGGTCGTTATTCTCAAGCTAATTCTCTCATATCGCCCATGTCTCCATTTGAAGATCACAATTCATACTCAGCATCTCGAAATAATTCATCGACGGATTTGCCGGCCCTTAAAACCTCGACAGAAAATCTCAAAAGGGATGTTGGAGACAATAGTTCAAAGGTTGGTGTGAGATTTTCGAGACAGTCAGTACGGATCCTCAAGGACTGGCTAGGGTTACATCATCGTCATCCATATCCAACAGATTCAGAGAGGGATGCTCTAATGTCCAAAACTGGATTGAACAAAACGCAAATCACAAACTGGCTTGCAAATGCACGCCGTAGAGGAAAGAGCAGGTCGACTATAACTCCGCCAACTGTGGGCAATCATGCAAATGCCATGGACATCCCAAGGAAAGCCACCCCTGCATTAGAACACATGAATCCCTTGGAACGTTGGGCGCACTCTCCTCCCGAACACGAACCTGCCTCAGCCACAGCTATAGCGAAGGCCGTCACGGCCTCTAGCTTCGACTCTGGTCTGGACAGTCCATACACTAGTTACGGTGATGATGGGTCGAACCGATCTCTTTACAATGCATCATCGACTAGTAGTTTGGGAACATCTCATTCTAGTGCTGGATCATTTGCTTCAGCATACTCTCATAGATCTCGTGGATCCTTCGGCTCTTTTGGATCTTTCGGTAAAACAGGTAAACGTCGTCGTCGTCGACAAGCACCAAAGCCAGCGAAGACAATGGCCGCAGGTCCCGCTCGTACCTTTCAATGTACTTTCTGTACCGAATCCTTCAAGACAAAACATGATTGGCAGAGGCATGAGAAATCTCTACATCTATCCCTTGAGAGATGGATCTGTTGTCCTAATGGACCTATACAATACAACAAGGAGTACGAACGTCCTGCTTGCGTTTATTGTGATCACCCCAACCCACCGGCAGGTCATGCAGAAGTGCATAATCATTCAAGTTGTACCGAGAAACCAATTGGAGAAAGGACATTCTACCGAAAAGACCATCTACGCCAACACTTGAATCTTGTTCATGATGTGAAATTTGTTGGTTGGAGTATGGAGGCGTGGAAAGCTCTGACACCAGAAATACGATCTAGATGCGGTTTCTGTGGAATAGTGATGGATTCTTGGACAGCTAGAGTTGACCATCTGGCCGAGCATTTCAAAAGCGGAAGAAGTATGGCTGATTGGAAGGGTGACTGGGGCTTCGAACCACAGATTCTTAACATAGTTGAGAATGGGATTCCTCCTTGTAAGTATTTTCTTATCCTCCTCAAATGCATTTTGCGTTCGTGATTACTGATGCTGTAACAGATCTCATTCACGCAGAGCGGAATACTATGCTACCTTATGAAGCCTCCCAAGATATCTTTAGTGGAGAGCGGACTCCAGAAAATCTGATTAAGAGTGGCCTTATTCAATATGTCAATGATAAGGTTGTGCAAGGCATAACTCCGACCGACGAAGAGTTGCTCGCTATATCCCGCCAAATAATCCGCAATCTGGACGCCGTGTCTGATGCGCAACATCATCCTGAAGGTCCTTGGTTACGAGATATGATAATATTTTCCGAGTTGGATAATTGTGAGACAGATGAACAAGATGCGCTCAAAACGCCACGAACAAAACCATTCGATACAATTCGACAATCGTTGATTGGTGCAACACCATCAATGCATCAATGTCCGAAGGAGCAAGCCCTACGGAGTTACGTTACTTCGAGGCAAATGCTTGGTCTGACTGCTACGGATTCCGAATTACAAGTGGAAGCATGCAGAATTCTTGATGAAGCAGAGTTAACAGCTGCAGTACCTTGCAAAGGTGCCGTTTCTTGGTTCAAGTATCTGATAAATAATTCGACTTGCTGGCTCGCAAATTTCAGAAGACGTGCAGGCTTGCCTAGGAGCTCTGAAATGGCCGATGAGTTCATAAGGTCAAAAGACGAAACATCTATTGATCATGCAATACACAACTACGCGAGACTTGAAGCAGAGTTGAAAGATTATGTACAACTTCAATCCACCTTGAATATGGAGCCATCAGATTCAGATCTTCAGCGACACGCTAGACTCATTGTTTATGGAAGCGATGATCAATGGAATCAAACTTGGGCTGACGATCCACTGTATCTTCACATGTTCAAGACGAGAAACGGTCTTGCGCCGGCCGCGGAAGATAAACCTTCCATTATGTTTCCAACAGCTATAGATTCTCCCGAGCAAGCTGCATCATCTCTGTCACGAACTTTACATTGGGAGCTGGAGAATATCGAGACTCGTAGTCGTTCAGGAAGCAAAGTAACTTCGCCGAACATGAACTACAATCAACCGGTTCATGCCCTCAAAGCTTCGAACCAACCATCTACAAACTCTAATCCTACTCAACCTCTAAGATACTTCCTCAACGATGCAAATTGTTACAATAGATTAGTCCGGGAACTATCCAGATTTGTGGCAAGATGTGTATCACCGAACAATCCCAATCAACATGTAAGTCCGTTTTGTTTCTATCCACTCCATTTAACAATACTGACCAGCCGCAGATTCCATCGGATGCCGAACTGCAAAACCAGGCTCGTTGGGTAATCTACGATGATGATGACCCATGGAATCAAACGGCAGCTGATAATGCAGAATGGCTGATGCGATTTAAACGCGATACTGGCCTATCACCCCAAGGTTCTGGTCCTGGTCTTCCCACCGGACATCTCTCCTGGAAGATCTCATTAGGCGGTTCAGGTTTCAGTCCACCTTACCTCAATCCCGGGAAAGATGTTAAGGCATGTGATACCGAAGAGTTAGAAGTCAACCTTGCAAGGATGGACGAAAGCGAGAAGATTGTGAAGTTGAGAGGAGAAACCGCAAATGGATATATTCAAGGTTTGAAACAACGATATAAGATGCCCGCACAAGTTTTCTGTTCGAGGGAGTTGGAAGAAGCATTGCTCGATTTGGTCAAGACGGAAAACGAACAAGGACGCGTTCCGACCGATGAGTTACTGAAGGCCAGAGCGAGAGATGCATTGAATGTCTCCAATACAGCAGCGGACGACAAGGAACTGTTGGAGAAATTTAAAACACATTATGGAGTTACTTCAACACAAAGACAACAGGATCACTCACCACAATCGCAGACTCAAACATATCAACCACAAGCTCAATCAATTCCCTCATTTTCCACACAACAACCTCTGGCCTTTCTTAACGATGACAACCTACTAGCTTCTTTCGATGAAGAATTACTTAATTCATCTGATATGGAATTGGGATTGGATTTTAATACATCACCACTTACTACCATGGATTTCCTCTCGAATCATTTGACGACGTTAGGACCCATCACTGATTCAAACTTGGTTTCTGTCGCTCCATTTACTAGTGTACCTGAAGGATCAAACATGAATTTCGATATGAACATGAATTTGGGATTGGGAAATAATGATGCGGAACCTTGGGCAGGGTTGCAAACGAGTGAAATGAATGGGTTAGAGGGATTAGATGGGATGGAAGGAATAGATGAGGGATCATTAGATGTGGAAGGACTTAATGAAGAAGAAATGAATAAAGAGGTTGAATATGCAGAGTTGCATAAAATTAATACGGCAACAGCGAGTCCGTGGAGGAGGAGGGCTAGTGAAAGATTGGCGAGGGGTAGGGATATGGATAGGGATTTGGGTAGTTTGGGGGAGGAGGGGGTTAAGGGGCATAGTTTTTTGAGTGGCGGGAGGGAGAGGCTTTGGTAGGAGGGGGAGGGGGAGGGGGATATAGAAGAATTGAGGGATGGGGGAGAGGTGAACTTTGTGTATGGTTGGGTCGATATTGGAAGTTTGGGAATTGAAAGGTGTTTGGATGATGGTTTGATTATTATGTTATAATGATTGATAAAACTTTATTTATTTGTATACTCGAGTAGAAGAACTTTGGAAAGAAGGATGGTATGAAATCTAAATGAATAAATGAATAAATGAATAAATGTCGCTCCGCTGGCCCTCTGGGAGCCACTGCCGTGGAGGCTTCTGGTGATGGGGGATTATAATATTTGGAAATGATACGAGTATAGTGCTAATGATAGATTAGATAGAAGGAAAGAAGCATCGATACATATTATTTGTTTATATATCCTTCTCTCTCTCTCCTCCTATCTCTATAACATAACATAACATCTCAATATCACCTCAATCATCAACATAATTAATTAAATCCTTCATCAAATCCACTTTAACTCCCCCCCCCCCCGCATTTCACTAATAATAAGAGTCCCTCCCCACAATCAATTCTAGACCCCTACACGGGCTACCCCACACACAGCCAACCAATCACAATCATCAGCCTTGTCCTCCATTATTATCTAGGTACGCATCGCGCAATGCCCCAAAAGATCGTCCTCATTCGACTTTCCAAACGATTAAATCCATTTCGCAAAATTTGGCATACCGAACGATCACAACGAATTCTGGATTGGGCTGGGTTGGAACCTTGGTCTGAGGTTCAGATTGAAAATAGGAATACCAAGAATAAGAACAATATGGAGAGTAAGTTTAGAAGTTACTGGGATTCAATACATCACCGGTATCCATTTCTTATTTGAATACTACCTATATCTAACATTTCTATCAAAACACAGAACATACCGGTAGCACCGAGAAGGAAATATTCAACGATAGAATGTCGGATAAGAAGAAGGGAGGTCTTGGTCTGCCTATGGAATGTGAATCGGCTATTGCTCAATATGTAAGTTGATGGATTGCTTAAGTTTATGTGATCGCTTCATTTTGCGTCGCATACTAACGCTTTCTTCTTCTATTTTAGTTACCAACCGCCGATTTGCTTGCGCTCTCCCTCGTTTCGAAGCATTTAAGGGATCTAGCAGCAGAAGAAATATATCGAAGCTTCCATATTGTCTTTCCAAGTGAAGAACATGATAAAGTTCAATGCCCGGTCGATAGTTTGGCGGCGGGGTTGAACACCTTCGTCACAAGCGATTACAACTACTCCAGACATTTAAAGGAAATCATACTTGAGCCTCTACTAGGAGGCGAAAAATCAGAACAAGACTACCGTGCCTATCTATACGATACGACCTGTGGGAAATTCTTGAATACGATGTTGCTCTTGACTTTGCGCAAAACTGAGGCTCTTGAGACTTTTAAGTCAGTTGACTCCGCCAACAATTATATGATTCTTGCTAATGTACAATTTCTAGATGGGATATTCGTGTGGAGCTGAGTAAGGAGGTTCTCAAAGAATTACATCGCATTGACGCTCTACAGCATTTTCATGTTCGAATGCAAGCTGTACGCTCAATCTCTGCTTCTCCGACCAATCCAAGTCCAACTTCCTCGACGTATAACGCCTCAATACCCATTTTCCCTCATCATCTCAGTGTAGTCCAGTCATCAATCACAGCAGCGAAGACAAAACAAAGTGGATCGGACAGTCGGAGTACAGTCAACAAAGGGATGTCTCGAACTATCTCGGGGTTCAAAAACCTGAAGACTCTCTCTGTCCTTGATATGGATAACTTGCATTATCTATCCGAAATTCAAGAATGTATAGAGAACTCATCGACAACTTTATATTCACTGAAATTGTCTTTTTCGGAGGAACTTGCTTCCAGATCCAGAAAACCGTCTCCGCAAAGTCTTCCAGCTGACGATGTAACGGAAACCGAAGATTATTTCGGTCCAGTGGTACAAGCCCCTGGCTCCTCACAAGATGTTGAGCCTGATACAAACAGTTTCTCAAAGGTGTTACGAGCTGCGCAGGAAAGAAGAGCACATGAAGCAGCTCTGGGAAAGATCTTTGGTATTGAGCCATCAAGTTCAAAAGGCGGTGCTGATTCGACTACTCGGAAGGAAGGTGAATCAGAGCGTGAACAAAAGGGAAGCAAAGGGGAGGCTGCGATCGTAAAGATGTTTCTAGATATACCAAAACAAGCGGCGAAGTATATGGCTGAACAAAACTTCACAGTGCCTGATGATATAAGAAAGAGCGTCCAGGCATTGATCGAGAAGGCTTTACAGCCCTGCGTTGAGACCTTGAAAAAGAGAGATGAACCTGCTGATAAGCTAGACAGCAGTGATACAGAAGAGGTCAGTGGGGAACAATCTAAATCATCAATTGTGGTCAATCCTGTAGACGAAGGTACTATGGACGTGGTTGAGTCTCAAGATGAACCCAGTCTTTTCGACGAATCGAAAACAGCAACAAAGGCGGCTAAATTCAAGGAAATCGTAGATCCAGATGATATCGATATCGAAGAACCGGAAGCACAAGAGTTCATGGAAGATCTCGAAACTCTTGAAGGCGTCACTACTGGACCCGAGACTAATTCTGAGACGGTATCCATGGAAGCACAAGGACATCAAGCCTCGGAGGCTGTTGGTGAGACAACTGCTCCGGAACCACTTCACATTTTGGGAGTTGATTCTGCTGAGAAGGCTGAACAAACTTCAAAGCAGGTTGATACAAACAGTAAGGGAGAGCCAAAAGGAACCGAGACTCATATCAACGATGCCAATAATGAGATGAGTGAGTACATTCGAAAGACTCGTGGCCTTGCCCTTAGGAGCTTGTCGATCTACCTGATACCTCTGAGAACTTCCGTTATAACAAAGGCTATCGACATCAGCGTATTAAGGAGTATCACTTTACTTGAAGTTGGGGGCCAAACTTCATTCTGGAATCTGATAGCACGCGAAAACAAAGTCAATCCTCTCCCGCTACATGAAATTTACACAGACCACGTCACACTACCTTTTCTAGAATGCGTCGGGCAGCTTCGAAAAGTTACCATGTTATGCATGCTTGAACGCCCATCAAAGAAAAAAGTCGAAAGCACAGCTGTGAGCACAACAGTCACCATGGCTCAAATCCGAAAGTTGGTGTTAAAGAAGCATGCCCCAACATTGAAGGTCCTGTCCATACACCAGGAGAAGCGTTCTCGTCTAGAATCATCCTTTGCGTGGGATCTTGATACCAAAAGCGCGGTGTTGTTATGTCGGTCAGCTAGAAATTTGGAGGAATTGGCTGCTGCCTTCGATGTTTCAATAATGGTATGTTCTTCCCCTGACCCCTTCCAGTTACAATCTGTCTTGCGACCCATTCTTCTTCTGCGACACAAGAAACTGCAATGTTTCGATGTTGTTTGAACGCTGAAATGTTCGGGTTTTCTTTGAACAATCAAACGTTCCTAACTCATGGGACAACACAATGCTAGCTTTTGCAAAGTTGTCAAAGTCCAACATGCGAATCTTTGCATTTCACTCGTAAACTCAGAAGTCGTCACTAACAGTCATATTAGCACATCATCAATCAAAACCTCTCCGGGCTCAAGAATCTCCGTGCTCTTCATGCCATCGATTTCCGCTCCGAAGATACCTGCTTCTGGGTGTCGAGAGAATTTCGGAAATTCACCGTGGACAGTATTGCCCACAACCCCGATTGTAAGCTCGAGTATATTGCTCTTAAAAATTCGATCATTCGGCTTTTTCGTCGCGTTAAACGGTGTCCGTTGCCTAAATTGAGGGAAGTTGGTCTTCTTTTTGGAAAAGCTAAGTCGCAACTTGATTTCGCTTATCAGGTGACAGAGGCAGCTGCTGCAAATGGTGGAAGTGGAAGTGGAAGTGGAGCAGCAGGACAGTTAACCGGTTTAGATTTAGAGGGACAAACGTTGGACATGGCGTTGGGGCAATCGATGATCGAGAATATTCTGGACATTAACACGACAGAATCACCGAGCTCGGAGGATGAGGATGATTATGATGATGAGTTTGCGGATGAGGTTGGTGTGGGTAGTATGGGTATGAAGGTCGAGAGTGTTGATGGATTTAAATTTCATGATATTCAGGGGGTCAGGATTTTTGAAAAGGATGTTGTTTGGAAGAGGCTTTAGGCTTTGAGGAGGGGGGTGATTGGAGTGGATGGTGGATGGTGGATGGTGGATGGTGGATGGTGGATGGAGAGTGGGTGGGGGGTGAATAAATGGTTGGTTAGCCTAGCTTCTGGGTTTGGAATGGACCACATTAATGATTAACGGATAATGAGCAGCGATGGGATGGGAATGGGAATGGGGATCAAAATTGGAGTATACTGCTTTCTTGTCTTATTACACATGACATGGCGTTGATAGTGGGGTTATGGAATGATATGGTATGGATGGAGATGGGTAGGAGGTAGGAGGCTGGAGGCTGGAGGCTGGAGTAAAATGGAATTGGGAATTGGGAATGGAAATGGAAAGGGGGGTGTTTACATAGCAGTTTACATAGCGATTGATGGGCAGAGCTGAGCTGAAACTCTAAACTCAGTAGTCTTAGCTAGAGCGAAATCAGATGAATTGAGATGAGATGAGATGAGATGATTTGAGATACTGATGCTGACTGATTGATGCTGATTGGTGCGTTTTTGGGGTGCAAGTTGTTATATTGATTTGTGTTAATTTGACTTGACTTGACTTGACTTGACTTGACTTGACTTGAGTGAATGAGGTTGATGCATGATGTGATGTGGTTGGGGGGTGTGGATGTGGATGTGAGGGTTGTAGATATAAGGGTTGTAGTTGTGGATATGAGGGTTATGGATGTGGATGTGAGGTGAAGTGAAGATCAATCAAGATTCGTTATATTTATTCACTATTACCATTAAGATACTCGAGTAATCTACTAAAGGAGAACTGAACCCCCCGAGATCCGCTTGAGGACCTTAAAGTTGGAAGAAACTGCCTAAGACAGGACAGTATTGTATTATATATTCGTTCTAGAGTATACTATCTGCTGAGTAACTTTTACTTTTGTAAGACTGGTCTATTATACATGTGTACTCAAGTATACTCGAGTAGTAGATAGAGTCTTCGCTTCTGCTAATTAGGTATTGTGGCTTTAGAGAGATATAGGTTGATAGATGGATGGATAGATAGATAGATGGCCGTTTTGATTAAGAGAGTGGTTGCGGTTGCTATTAAGGAAGGGGGTGGTTGTTATTGATGGAATGATATGAGAAAGGGAGAAAGGGACATTAGAGATACTAGAGTGAAAATATTGCCCTTGATTGGTTTTGGGGGATGTGAAAACTACGAGTAGAAGTAAAAGTAAGAGTAAAACGAAGCAACACGTGATACGTAGAGGATATTGTCTTATGTAAGCCCATGTGTTAATACAGAATCCTACACTACTATATATAGTACCGGTAGTACGATGACGATACTGTACCCCTTGTGTGTTATGGATATACAGCTCTTTACCCAAACCCAAAACTATTACAAAACGCCCAGGGTCAGCATAACCATAACCATAGCCATAAACATGGATACTATTTCCTTTCCATACTTCAGGCCTGCTGAAGAATTGCCAGCACCCCTGCCAACTATTTCAGAGATCTTAGCATCGAATGATATCATAAAAGGAACAGACACTTGGGCAACTAGAAAAGTCGTACGTATTAGCGAGCATTTCGTCGTCAAATATGGCAAATCCAATGATGCCATAGAGGGTCAAAATCTGCTTTTCCTGGAGCAAAACGGTTTTCAAACCTTTGTTCCCAAATTGTACGCGATGTGGAAAGAAAAAGACGGAACACTGTTTCTCGTAATGGAATGTTTGCGTGGTGATACCCTTGAAACATTATGGCCGACTCTACAAGAAGCCGACAAAGATCGCATCCTCAAGAAAACAGCAAGTATTTTCACTCAAATTCGAGATCTACCGCACAAGGGATTATTTGGCTCGGTCGACGAATGTCATATGCCACATCATCTATTCTGGTGGCCCGACTTTCCACCAAATATCTCGGGACTATTCGCCAATGAGCGGGCCGCCATTCAAGGTCTTTTAGCAAAATCTCGAGAAAATGCGAAAATGAACGGGCGACAACCTTACTTTGCCGATATATTCGAAGAGCAATTATTGAAAGGTCTGGTGATGGATAATAGTCGAGCGCCTGTCTTCACTCATCCTGACCTACAGAAGAAAAACATTCTGGTCGAAATAACGGAAGGCGACAATGATGAGAGGGATTTTCACGTCTCACTGATTGATTGGGAATCCGCGGGTTGGTATCCAATATGGTGGGAATACTTTGTTGCTTTTATTGCTTTCAAGTGGCAGGATGATTGGTGTAGGAAGGTGATTAAGGTTGTTAATGCTTGGCCTGCTGAAATTGCCCTCATGAGAATGGTCTATTATGATTGGTGGCTGTGAGGTCTACTTGCCAACTAGATCAGGTGTCGTGTAAGGAGAGTTATATGAGGGATGGAAAGGAGGTCTGGAATAATATGATACGGATAAGTTGAGACAAGAATATAAAATTCGAAAGGAGGTCAAGGGATTTGCAAAAAGTAGAATGGGGAATAGGGGAAGCGAATATATAGAGAGCGGAAGAGGTGAAGAGGTGAAGAGGTGAAGAGGTGAAGAGGTGAAGAGGTGAAGAGGTGAAGAGGTGAAGAGGTGAAGAGGTGAAGAGGTGAAGAGGTGAAGAGGTGAAGAGGTGAAGAGGTGAAGAGTTGGCATAGTTGAGGAGGTAATAGCGTCCTAGAAAAGTTACTAGGGATGAGGGACGAGGAATTAAAATTGGCATATATTGATTAATCGGGGCTAGTTTGTGAAAAATAGTAAGCGGACTCGGAAGATCTATACTAGTAGTGAATTATTAGATATTTTATCGGTTATTATCATTGGGAGTACTTCATCTGATTTATGCTATAATGTAAAATGACTGAAAACTCGAATAATTACAGGAAAGAGTACTTAGATGCTATATTCCAGTAGAGAAGTGCTAGAAAATGATATATAAGGCTTTGAGCATTGTGCGATGCAGGTTAAAAATACAGAGAGGGAATGGAGAGGACATTAATTTGAAGGACTCGAGGTTCTGTTCCTTGCTTCAAATTACCAACCCTCTGTATGCTCTAATAGTCTATATAGTCGCCTGAAAAGTTGAATGTAATTGAAACATCAATAACTCATTATATATAAGAAATTGGTAGATGAATAATGTATTGTGTAGATGAAACTGTTATTTCTGTTGGAAAGTATATATCTACTAGTACAGTGATTGTACAGATACACAAACTTTTGATTCTAACAATTTCATTAGAATATCGTGTAAACAAAATCGGAAACTCAGTGTAAATCCCCAAATATCGATTCTAATTACCTTTTTAGTTACTCAAAACCCGTATCTGCATATCCGATACTTTCATTGAGCGATTTCATATCGCCCCTCCTTCATTAGTGCTAGCTATCCACTTACTCCAACTTTTCACTCTTTCACCCTTTCACCCCCTCTACTACTTATACTCTCCATTTGACCATTAAACCAAATATACATATATATATTCATAACATAAAACACCTACCTTATCTATCTACCCTATCTATTTATCCCATCCCAACTATCCCATTCCATCCCATCCATCCCATTACCAAAAGATATAAGATTTACTTACATAGCTACGTATCTACATAGCTACTCCACTCTCCTTCTTCTCCCTCTCCACTCTCCTCCTTCTCCCTCTCTTCCTTCTCCTATCACTCTCACTCTTCTATAAAACCCCAGTACTCGCACCTAGAGACTTATCCACACATATTCCCATCCCCATCTTCATCTCCATCTCTATCTCCATCCCCATCTCCATCCCCATCCCCATCTCTACCCCCCGTCCCACCACAATATACAATAACGTAACGTAACATAACACACAACACAACATACATTGGGAATTCCCCATAACCAAACCCCAGCTATCTCACACCACCATATGACACCACCCCAAAATTACAACATTACACGTTCCACATTACACACACATAAACCATTCACCATTCACCAAAGACCCAATCGCAAGATTTCATTTTCGTGTTACATTACTAGTGCTACATTAATACCATACCTGACCTTGAATCCCCCCCAAAAATGTAAGATTACATTGTCTGAGATTAACGAGTCGTACACACGATGAGACATCAGCACCCATGATACATGTAACCGCACCTGTGCCCCCATATATACTTATTGATACCCATACCATACCCAAGCCCCAGCCCTTGTGACGCACACCCTGCATACCATCAAGTACTGTACCCAAAAAATGCATATGAAATTATTGTTTCGGGAAAGAATATCTTGTATTGTAGAGTATTGACCACATGCTATTATGCTATTGATAGCTATCGTATCGAGTTCTGCTAACTTAACTGCAATATAAGATAAGTTTACATATGTATTCCTTCCCTCGCGCACCATCTGACAATGTATGAATAGATAGCCCATGTATGAATATGATAAGAGAAGACATGAGCGGGAACGAATGGAAAATTGAGTGTCTAATGTTGAATGAGACATGAGGTGAAGCGGAGAAACGATCACTCGCAAAGCTAATGCCGAGTCCTAGTGTCGCGAGAGAGAGAGAAAAGGCTTGTTTGTACGTAACGTCGGCCACCCCGTGAAAATCCAAATCATGCACAACCAACGCCGCAAAGTGGTGTATTTTGAGGATCGATGTCGAAAATTAGTGCGGGTCGATGTTCGAGTATTTTAGTTCTGGTTGCTGAGATGACGGCGCAAGATGGATGTGAAAGCTAAGGAAATGGGTGCGTGATCGACGGATCAGTAATGCTCCATTTTATGGAGAATCTGTGTCTTTTTGGGTGATTTAAAGAATGATGTTGGGGCAGATGGCCAAGTTGCTGAGGATGTTGATTCCCTGTGAGCCACCGCTGTTAGAATCATCGTCACAATCGGGCTGGACAAGTAAGATAATGAAATATAACATGGGTAGAGATAAGACTTACGGGGGCAGTGCCGGTGTTAGCGCTACAGCAGGCAAGCTGGCCGTTGCACTTGGGTGTCGTGTTAATGATGTTAAGGATTGGAATTGGGATTTCTGCGCCTATGTCTGTTGTCAGCGGGAAATTCTGGTCCAGCCCATAAAAGAGATGGGTAAATGTCAAGAGATTGATGTCAGGACTTACAGTTCAACCCCAAAAGATTGGATAGGAGTCCACCATCGCCGGCTGATGTGACGGATTGACAGCACTGGATTGTTGAACCTTGAGCACATTGTGCACCGTTATCTCGAGCCCAGAGACCATTTTCCATGGGGCTTGCAATGACCATCGCGGCCAACGAGAGAACAGCAGTAGCGAGAGTGAAACGCATTTTGATTGTAAGGAGGGTGGTATTGACTTGGGTACTTGACTAAATAAGAGCGAATAGAGGTGAGCGAGAGTTTCTTTTGAAGTGAGTTTGTTCAGTGAATGTGAAGCAAATGTGAGTTGATGAGTTAATGAGATACAGGGTGGAAGATGGAGACCTTATATACAGAAAGTCTCCAGAGAGTAACACTAAAGACTTGAGCAAGAGCTATCACCTTACAGGAAACAGCCTATTGGATCGCCAACAGGCCGAAATATTGAAAGTAGTAGGTACAACCCTTCTTCTCAGTGGGACAATGTATTCAGACTCCAGAGGAAAGGTCCTTTACGCCACTACTCGAGTAGAAAAATGCTAATTGTCTTGTTGCCTGTTATACCGCCCTATCACGGAACTGAGTATTCCTATCCTCAATTTTCATGTGAATCATTTAGATGACGATGTTTCTTACACAGACGAAAGGAAGGAACTATCGTGGCAAACATGACCATAATGTGCAGGATTCAGTGTACAACCCCCGGAAATAGGCCAAACGAGGAGAATACGCAGAGAAGGGCTATCAATGCGCTTTTCATTGTGACGATGCACTACATCAATACTGAGCTTTAGAACAAGATATTTAGCCACGTTGTGACATTGCATATACTTGGAAATCGAAAGAAAAGTTCAAGAGAACCAACAACGATAGATCTTCGGAGTCTCCATAGGTCCCCGGGAAATTAATATCAAATTGTACATCCTAAATAGTGGCTCAAGGCAACACTGGGGTACAGATTGAAGGAGAAAATGAATACATTTACGCCGCTGAAAATATGTAGAGCGCGTGATGCTCAATTGCCATTATTCTCCGATCAATTAGTCATGCCAGAGTGACCCCAAACATTCGATTCCAGATTTATCAAAGCCAGTTTGCCACTGAAATATTGACAAGGAGAAGTTCTCAAAGAATGCATAAGTATTCAGAAATTTTTGTGAACATCGCTTGTCTGCAAATATCCTGCGTGTAAAGAATGCACGAAAAGTATTTGTTTTCAATATGAGCCTAATTTGGACTCCAAACAGTCCACCAAACGCCAACATTGGCCGCGACGATCAAATCTAACATTTTCAAGCCCTCGTCATGGATAATCAGTTTTCCCAGTTTTGCGCGTTTGCCTCTATTTCCGCCACCTGCTTTCTCCTGTCCAATACTAAGGTCCAATCGATCGACGTTATCGTTCGATATTGTCAGGTCGTCTAAAAAGTTATGTAATCTCTGTGCCAGGGGCGGAGAACCTTCTTCATATGACGAGCTAATTGAGGAAGGTCTTGGTGGTAGTGAAGAAAGATCTTCCCCATTACTTGTATGTGGGGTAGCACGAGACGTTTGATGCGGCTGAGTTTCAGATGGATGTTGAGGGCTAGACTTAGATAGTCTCTTGCGGAAACTCCCTAGTTTTCGTGTGAGTTTAGACGATCCAATCTTGACTTGAGCTGCAGCCAAGTCCATTTTCTCTCTATCGAATAAATCCGAACTTGGTAGATTGAAGCGAAGCTCGCTCACAGTCACCGAGCTCGACGAGGAGGCCAGAGCGTCGGCGGACACTGGGGCTGGCAATCTGTGTCGACACCGTAAGGACCGACCCGCGCCACCGGTAGAGAATGTGCAGGTACCTCCCCAAGGACTTAAGAATGTGTAACCCTTGGCGCGAGAATTCTCGTATCCTTCCGTGGACCGATTATCTGGATCAGATTGCTGTGGGGCATCCGAGCTACCACTGCTATTCCTGCTGTGATTTACCGAGAAATCAGATATCGCCCTTCGATGTTGCTTGAAGGTTTTATTCCATGAATTAGCCCATTCCATAGAGACTTGACGGTGAAAACCTGATCCGGAGACCCCAGCTTTTTGCGTCACTGATGTGGATCCTTCATTTCCGGGAGGTTGATAATTAGCTCCTTGTGACTCCCGACTCGGATTTGTACCACCGAGCTTGATATTGCCTATCGGGTTAGTGTGGTAGCGGAAATAGTTATAGCCTGGCGTTGTGATATGCACAGAAATGTCATAGTAAGGCTTTTTAGTCGCCGTCATTCCTTCCGTGGGAGGATTTGATTTTCCTTCAACTATGCCGACATTCCATTGGCCGCCCGAAGTTGGATCTCGTCGAATAATGGTTATCGAAAATGCCTTTGCGAAATCGTCGATTGGTTTCGGCCTTTCGAACATCGTATGGCTACTTTGAGGTCGGTGTGAAACTCCCAGGTCATTGTGATCAAGACTACCAATTTGAGAAGACTCTGACGTGAATATCGAACTCTGGGGCGTTACTTTCGAGGGAGGCTTTCTGTTGACGGTATCGGCACGCACAGGAGGATGCTGACCTACCGACCGCCGAGATGTACCTGCTTCTGTCACCATTGGCGTATTGGCGAGGCTATCACGCGGAGTCAAGATGACATCTTGTCCCGAAGTATCTTCCTTTTGAGTATCTAGCGCAGGTACTTGTTGTCGTAGGCGCTCTGGGTTTAACATACTTTGCCTATTAATATCCAGAGACTGACCTCTAAAGCTATCGGGCACGGGTTTTCGGGGTAAAGTCTTCTTAGATAATGCCCGAGAAGGAATGGGCTGCTCCTCGGGTAAGAGTTGGGCGTCCTCATCCGAGTTTAGATGCAAGTAATATAAAGAGCTTGCGATATCCTCGGATGTGACGTTCTTGAGTTGTGGCTTCAAGGTAGTAAGGATGATATCTTTCCTCAAAAAAGTTAGTCATGATGGTTAATACCCCATATTCTTCTTAACGCACCATTACTACCTGGTACTCGAGCGATATAAAGCACCAGATTGGCCCTGTTCCGCTCGGTTGGATTTCGTGGATACTTCGGAGGGTTCCCAGCAAGTTGGGTGAGACCAGAAAGCGAGTTTGCTTCAACAAAGTCCTGAGAAGACATAGTTTTCCGACGTTTTGAGACAAAATTTTGAGATTGTGTTGAGGGAAAGAAGAAAGCTCTTCTTTTTACACTCGTGTTCTTTTACTCGTACAAGTGAATAATATTCAGCCGGGAAGGCAAAGCAACGCGTTCGCTAAGCCAAAAATGAATGAATAAGAACGAGCTGATTCAAAATGCTCAGCCAGCTTGAGAAAGAGTTTTTGATTATCAAGGGCTTCGGGGTTTGGCCTTTCACTTATGTCAATGTAATTAATGTTGGGCAGCAGAGCATATGTCCCAGATATGTCAGGGAGAGAGATTGGTCGAGGTATCTTAAACTGGGATAGGATACCGTATAGCGAAAAGATGGAAAGAAAGCTGTACAAGTTTCTCTTGTCAAAGTTGTAGCTGCGGTAACGATTGCCACGACATGATAAGTTTGATCCACATATTTTCTCTGGGCTACCCAGGTGTAGATAAAATAGATAAAATAGATTAAATGAGAAGATTGAGAATGAGTCTGGAAAGATCGTGATCACCCATAAGCTTGATTCCGTGAACACTTTTGAAATCCCAACCCATAAATTTCATTCCATTTGCACAGCCGCAATGTGGATTAAGTGAGGCTGGGCTGACGTGGCTGGTGATAAGGCTATGAGCGAGTACGATTATATATTTTTTATTATATTAATATTACTAAATAATAGTTATTATGCCTATGTTAGAATACTTTGAAGTATCTTTCTATTATTATAATATAGATTAGTACATAAAGAACAAAAATTAAATAAACTGTTTTCTCGTTTTCTTACTAAAGAAGTAGCATTCATTTATCTATAAGAAAGGGACCTCTCGAGGCTCCAATGAAATTTAATCAACCAATTAAAATTGACCAAAAGTTCGCGCACTAGGAGTTAAGAAATCACGAAAATTTAAATTTGGTACAGATTATCCGTACTGAGGGAGAAAAGCTTCATACTTTTTATCTCCATTTCACACACAGAGAACAGCTTTATGATAATTATGTTATTTTGATCCCCATTGGAATAAGAAATCATCGCACTATTTTTGTTCGAGTTTTATCACCCTCTTATTTCTATTGTAATTTGTTTGCCATTAATTAAAGATGGCAGAGAGCACTCTTCAAGTTTGTCTTCCTTTCCCCCGCCTTTCAATCTTACCTATTAACCTTTTTTCTTCCAGGACCGATTGCGAGAGCATGCAGAGGCATTTGATGGATTGCTTTCCCTGATTCCGGCGAAATATTACTATGCCGAAGATACCACTGTATGTAAACAATTCAGTTTGGTTTCAATTGCCAGTGCCAAAATGCTGATTGCCTTTTTGCCTATATAGGATCAATGGAAAAAGAAGAAGCAAACTAAGCAAGAAGCTGCTGCGGCACGACGCGCAAAGCTTGACCCAGATTCTGCAAAGACCGCAAAAGATGTCATGGATGAGCGAGCAAAGAAGAGGAAATTGGAAGAGTCTGAGGATATGGAGGATGGATCCGAGGTCGAGGGTATCGAAAAAGAATTACCGAAACAAGGATTGAAAAAGGCAGTGGAGAAGTCAGCAAAGAAACTGAAAACCGATACCGAATCTACCAAAGCGACACCCAAATCTGCGGCCCTGAAAGGCTCAACAGCCAAAAAAGATCAGAACCCCGAGGAAGAGGCAGCAAGATTAGAAAAAAGGAATCAGAAGGAAGAACAGAAAAAGGCAAAGGTAGCTAAGAAGACAGCCAAACAGAAGACGAAGAAGGAGGAAGCCGCCAAACAAGTCGTTGAATTACCAACGGAAGATATTCCTGCCAGTGAGTTGACCACAAAGGATAAAGTGGCCGATGAAGACCTTAGCAAAGAAGCTTCCACTACCAAAGTCCCTACTAAGAAGTCCAGCGAGCATGAAATCGCGGCAGACGAGGAACCAGAACAAGATGCCGAAATCGGACATTTTGAAGCTGAAGGTCTAGAGGAGCCTGAATCCTCAAAATCCTCGCCGCCCTCATCTACTTTCTCAGCACCCAACGAAGACGCAACTAGCGGAGGTACATCTACATCCTCTACTATACCTCCCACCACCACTCCCAAGCACATTACCCTCCCAGCCGACCCCGAAATTCTCCGTTCCAGATTAGCAGCTCGCATCGAAGCTCTACGAGCCGCACGCAAAGCATCCAACCCTGACGGTACTCCCGTCCGCAACCGTCAGGAACTCATGGAACAACGTCGCAAGAAGGAAGAGCAACGACGAGCCCACAAGAAAGAACTCCGCCTTCAAGCCAAGATTGATGAAGAAGCTCGACGAGAAGTCGCTTTAGTATCAGCAAGAAGTAGTCCGGCTGGAAGTTTACTCAGCCCTCTAATTCGCTCCCCTGAAAATAATTTTGCATTTGGAAGAGTCGCTTTCGGGGATGGACAAGGTCTTAACGAAGACCTAACTGAACTGAAATCGATACCAAAGAAGAAGGGGCCACAAGATGTCAACAGTGCACTAGCCGCAGCAGCCAAGAAACAATCTCGATTAGAAGGCATGGACACTGACAAGCGCGAAGGCATTGAGGAGAAAGAACGTTGGTTAATAGCGAAAAAGCGTGTAAACGGCGAGAAAGTCCGAGACGACAGATCATTACTGAAGAAAACCCTTAAGAGAAAAGAAAGTCAAAAGAAGAAGAGCGCGAAGGAGTGGGGTGAGAGGATAGACGGAGTCAAGAAGGTGGGAGCCATGAAACAAAAGAAGAGGGAGGAGAATTTAAAGACTAGGAGAGAAGGGAAGGGTGGCAAGGGGAAGAAGGGAGGAAAGGGTGGAAAGCCAGCGGGAGGTGCAACAAAAAAGAAGAGTCGGCCGGGTTTTGAGGGTAGTTTTGGGGGCGGAGGGAAGAAAAAGTAAAGGGGTGATGTTGAAGAATAGGAGTTAAATGGATGAGGGTGCAAAAACATAATAGAGTGAGGGTGGTAGGAAAGGAAATAAGTAGAGTCACAGACAGCTTCATACCATGAAGTGAGGTCGAAGAGAGGAACCGTCCTGATCCAGGCAAACGTATGGATGGATAGTGGTGTAGTGCTACATTGGTCAAGAAAAAGAATACTTTACAATACCATCTACAGTTAGCATTTTTGTCAAAGATTTGAGTCTGAGAACTTTGTGAGCATATGACATGATGAATATCTTCTATATCTCCTTGACATATATAGTAGCTCCGATTTAATAGCGGGTTAACGAATAAACAAGAGAGAGAAGTTATTACTTACTGTACGAGTATAGAGAAAACACAACGGGGGTGACTGAAGATACCTAGTATCTAGTAGTAGTATCTTGACTATCTAATTGATTGATATAGTCTGTGATTTTGATTATATTTATAATTTTAATTCTATAAAATATATATAATGTTGAAAGTCGTCAGTACAGCAGTGAATCTGGCTGACTAAGCATGGTTACTTATTCCTAGAACTCTCCTCTCCTCTTCAATTCTTTAACTTTATAACAAAATATCAAGAGATTAAAGAGCCATAACGAACTATTCTCTAGATATATTATAACTTTCAACATATAATATCTACTCGAGTATATTGGATACAATATCATTTTTTACTACTACTAGTAGAGATCTTATATATCGATTTATATATATCTAGATTGTATTCATTCATATACCTTTGTCTCCCTTTTTCTCATCCCTCTCATTTCTCTTTCGTATCTCATGCTTTTCTACTCGAGGTACATAGATATATATCATATACTCACTCATATATACACATACACACACTTAAAACCACATGATTTTTCAAAAACTATAATTACATGAAACCTTTTAACTTTTAACTTTCAATTTTCAATTTAGTGAAGAGACAAAAAGAAAAGAGAGACAGAGATGCATCACATAACCTAATACAACATAAGCGCTCTTCAGAACAAGTACAAGTAAGTCTTACCAAGTCAGATTCAAGCTGCTCAAGCTCAAGCTCAAACTCAAACCCTTCCCAAAAACCTCAAAAATTTCAAGAATGTAAATATAATATCTGATATTTGATGTTTTTACTATTACGACACGGTCAGAAGTAAGATTTTTCTTCTATAAGAAACAAACTCCCATCCGTCTCAATCAATTCGCTGGTTCGATCGTCCTGTCCTACATGCTGCCGCTGCCGCTGCTGCTCATTTACTTCGTATCTGGCCCCCAGTTCAGAACAGATGAGTAAGATCAAACTTTTCTCTCCCTCCTGTCTCCCTGTCTCCCTTTCCCCTGCTTCGCTGAACTAGAGACTAATGCCCCTACCCATTTCCTTCCTCCCTACCAATGGAATGAAAATAAATATTGCACTGGTAGCATAGCAAGAGATCTCATTGTGTTCATTTGTTATAATTGTGTTTTCCATCCATCGTAAAAGCCGTTCGAGATGAGCCCGCTCCGCCAACCGTGCTGATATGTGGTGGTGTGTGAAAAGGAGAAATTATAGTAAAGAGTCCAAACGAGTGAAGACACTTAGACATGCGGCTACGACTTCGAGTTGTAGCTCTTTATCATTTCCATTGTTCACCTCCTAATTGCGGATTAGTATTTGTCGTTTAAGATTTTTGATAGGGGTAAACAGAAAATGATACATACATCCGTAATAACCTGTCCCAAATTTGCACCGATGCCTGCTGAGCCTCCCGCTCTCTTTCCAAATGGCCATTGACTATACTCTGCCAATAACTCATCGACTTGAGCGAATGCTCGTTCTCTAGATTCGTGGCCGAGTGATGCGAGGGCATTCTCTAATACGTTGGCTGCATATGCAGCACACACCATGGCAATTGTTCTGACATATCTAAATTCGAGATTTTCAGGGAGAAACTGACTGCCGGGGAGGACAACCGTTCGTTGTGTAAGGACGTTTCGAACTCTTCTTCTAATCTCTTCCTTTGCTCCACCGTCTGCCACAGGATGTGTTGCCATATCGAACAAAAGGAAGTTTTTCTTCTCCGTCCTTAATATTCCTTTATCGACCAATCCTTTAGCCAATCGTTCTCGGACTTGTTTCAATTGGTATCCAATCTTCATAAGATTCCATGTCTCGCCTGGTAAATGATGTCAGTTGTTGAGACTTTCCAGATTTGCGAAATTGCGATTTCTTACCACTCATCAAGTCGATCCATGAACTAACACTCATCTTCTCACTCGCTTTCATCATTTTCAGCGCTTCATCTAAAAGCACCTCTCCTGTCAAAGTATCATCGATGACCTCAATTAATCTGTCCGCTAGGGGAAATCGCCGCCTCGAAGAATCCTTCTGCATGCTCACGCGCCCTCTGAACGCCAGCTCAATGACAATACATCCACGAAGCGCATATGAAATATTATCATTCCAGAACGAAAGATATCCCTACAAACGACATTAGTACTCGTCGCAGATCCACAAAGCACCACCTGTTCAGATCAAGCCACCTACTTGCTTATCCTTCAATCCCAGCAGCAGAACCTCCTCCATCAGCGTCAATTTAGGTTGTTTGCTTCGCTCAGCGCTCTCACTAATATCTCTTGGATCAAAGGCAATCTTGTGTCCATTCTCGCCGCTCTCATATGACGTTTCTGGACCGCTGGTATCGCGTGAATTGCCAGCTTTGGGCACCGGTGATGCAACACGACTCGATTCCCCATTTTCTGTATCGCCAGCCCCTGCGCCGCCTCTTCTGCGTGTGAGTCCAGAAGACATTGGTTGTAGCGCGAGATCGATTGTGTGTGTAGTATTTTATGTAAATGTATGATTTGCCGTAAGAAATTAAGCAAAGGGGGATGGATTTTTGTCCTCTTTGCAGTGAGACAGCGGCGTTACCGCTCACAAAAGCTATTCCGCCAGTTGTTTATCTTTCCTTTTATCGATGAATAAGTTGATTTCGAGGTTCTAGATTCTTAAATTCTTCTTTTCCGTATCAATAGTAAAAATGTGGGCGGGGCAGATGGGTGGTTTGAAGGGTTCGAATTGTTCTGTAGAGCTTTGAGGTGCGTGGATGAACAGGGATAGCCCAATCAAACCACGCTAAGATTTTAGAGAACTTCTTTGAACCGGGGAAGTGGAAAATAATGATGAGGGCCATGAGGGAATGGGAAAGTTTTTGATCAAAGGAATAGGTAACTTGAAGGACTTCAAACTCGATATAATTTTCATATTTTTTCATATAAGAGGAAGAAAAAAAAGGTTGTTGAGTAAGATGATCTAAACATTTTACAGGTGCATAGAATCAAATCACTTCTATGAACGCATTGAAGCTTGTACAAGTTCCCCCCTCCCTTGTATCGCCGCCCATTCATGATCCATGAATCCCCATTATCTTTTTTTTTATCTTGACCGTCCTCATGTTATACAATTTCAAAATCTAGTGAGCTATAAAAGCTGTTAGTTATTCCGTCTGCCTAATAAAATGCTCTCATAAACTAACCATCTGGTTGGTGGAGGATATATTCGACGGCTTGGTCAACTATCAGAGTTTGTTAGATTGTTGCTTCTTTTCAATATTCCCAAGAAAACATACCACTGAGGATAGCATCCGCTTCCTTATCTGGGATCTCAATGCTGAATTCCTGTAACCATATCAGTCTTCAGTCCCCTGTTATGAATATCCTGTACAAACCTCCTCAATAGCCATAACAACCTCTACAGTGTCCAGGCTATCCAACCCAAGATCATTCGAGAAGTGCGCACTTGCTGAGAGCTATCAAATGTCAATTAAAACGTTCTGGCCCTCGGCTCTATCAAATATTATACCTTCGTTGGGTCCGCAACCTGCAAATCATATTAGTACTTTCCCAGTCAAACATTCATCGAGCGCACTCACCTTGTCGAAGTTGCTCAGTAAAGATAGAATTCTACCCTCAACCTCTCCCTTGTTGAGTCCGGCGGCTGCGGAGTAGCATCTTGCAGCTTGGAAAGCTGACGGGGCGAATTGAGATTTTGTGACGAAAGAACTTGGGGCGATAGGACGAGCAATTGCTGCAGGTCTTTGGACAGCTTTGCTAACAGCGCTGCGGGCTGATCTGAGAAGAGCGGTTCTGAACATATTGATATGCGGAGAGTATTAAAAGGGACGTCCGTGAATAATGCGGTGGTAGATGTGAACTTGATGATGGAGATGCGTCCCAGAATGTTTAGGTCTAGCGTATTTTCGATGCACGTGATTGCAGATGCGATGATGAGTTTGAGAGAGGTATCTAGAGTGAATTTGATTGGTAATAATTCAATTTAAGAATGATTAGTGTTTTTCCGAGGACTAAACTTGACCTAATTACGGTATTTAAAAGATAAAACGAAATGGTGGCGTATGGTGAAAGTGTTCTACCTTCGGCCAATCACAGGAAGTCATTTCGAAATCAAGTCTTAAAGTTCCGTGAATCCTCAAAGAATATATAGAGGTCCAGATCTCTAATAATCTTGCCACGAGCAACCTTTCACAATGGCAACGACAAAGCCTATAACTATGCTCGTGGCGCGCAGTCGTCCAGCATCTACTTTCACAGCTTCAACAATTCGCACCTTTACACCCGTCGCACCCAGAGCAACTTTCTCAACTTCTCAATTCCGAGGCGCCACCCCATCTGGACCTCCGCCGCCGGGCTTCAGACTGCCAAAACCTGTAAGATGGGACCAGAGTAAGGAGAGCACCATGGATAAGGCGGGGAAATACTTTCTCATGTCGGAGATGTTCCGGGGCATGTATGTGGTACTGGAACAATACTTTAGACCTCCGTTAGTTCTCCCATTGAGTCTTAACCCCTCTATCGCAGTGGCTGATATCTCGCAGATACACAATTTATTATCCTTTCGAGAAGGTATGCCATTCGAATTATATCGGGGTGGCGACGAATGCTTATCGAGTATAGGGTCCAATTTCTCCGCGATTCAGAGGCGAGCACGCTTTACGAAGATATCCTTCAGGAGAAGAACGATGCATTGCTTGCAAGCTTTGCGAAGCTGTAGGTTATTCTATTCTTACGAGAAGTGGCGGATCCTAATATCGTTTAGATTTGTCCTGCACAAGCTATTACTATCGAAGCGGAGGAGCGTGAAGATGGAAGCCGCAGAACAACCCGCTACGATATCGATATGACAAAGTGTATCTACTGTGGTTTTTGCCAGGAGAGTTGTCCAGTCGATGCTATTGTGGAGTCACCAAACGCCGAATACGCTACAGAGACGAGAGAGGAGTTATTGTACAACAAGGAGAAGGTATGACCATATATATATATATATAGTATTGGGGCTTCTTTATCATTTACTAACAATTCTACAGTTACTGGCTAATGGAGACAAGTGGGAGCCGGAATTGGCAGCAGCAGCCAGAGCTGATGCGCCATATAGATAACCATATTTTATTTGTTGTGAGGGTGGGATACTGTACATACCAGAGGCGATTATTCGAAATGAAAGTGAATGGACACAGAAACTGTCATGACCTATGTCACAAAACACTATATATGGATTCGAATTATGATGTACGGCATGAGATGTAAAGACTCTGCAAGTGCAGATATAATCCACTCCTGAAAATGCACGTATCAACTTGTCAGATGAGAGGTCTTTGTCAGGCTCCTCTGGTGGGCCTTGGCTCTAAAGCCAATTGTATTTAGCCTGGTTCGAGTATCTTGTTTTAAAGTGTCTTCAAAGTACCCGTGGTCATCTAACTGGTCGTTCTCGAGTTGGATACTCTTATCAACGTTGTTGAGGCTGTAGGTAAATATCATTCGTCAAAGTTCAGATTCGCCTGAAACATCCCAAAACTCGTGCCTGCGCATATCAGACAAAACGAAAGCAATGCTTGTGCAGTCTAAAATGTTGAAGACCCGTCTCTACAAAATAGACGTTGCGATTGTCCTTGTGGTGATGAGCTATCCACTAGAACGGGGAAAGCAATGACCAATAAATCTAGTGATCACCTCTATTGTCCTCAACACACTAACTATACTTGCACATTGGTTTCGCATGTTTAAAAATAATCTTCATTGTATACTATCCAAAAATATCACTGTATCTCCTCTTATTTTGGTCAGATTCTTAATACTATTATCATCTCCCTAATTGGTCGAATCAAGGACAATCAACATCAGTTTCCACACAGTGGTATATGCACCAATTAACGCCCCATATCCTATCAAGTGCTCTTGGGATCAGACTACGAGCGATGCTCAACGCTCTGCCATCACGGCCCATGAATCGGTGATGTTGGCCTCTCATCCAAGCTCGCATCTAGCCCATCACAAGTCAATAGCCAAAATAATCTACCGAGAACAATGCTTCTAGCGGAAAAAACTCTTACATCGACTATAAAGATATAGCTTTTGTTTATAGTCTCTTGTACGAAACGTCTATAAGATCTGTGAACGGTGCAGCTTTGGTATGGAAACTCGGGCGAGAATATAAGAAAGGAAAGTTGTTGGACGAAGATTCCGGTCATTTCGGAGTTGATTCAATGAAAAGGCGATTTGGGAAATAGAAAATGTGTTAATGAGGGCAGAGGTATCGGTAGTTGACCACAGGGGAGGCTCATTGGAAAGTTATCGAGGCAGAACACCGACGTGGAATATTATTTTTGTCATGCGGATGGAGGGGAATGGGTATCTAGGAACGATTCGGGCTCGTGGGGGGACCATATTATGCAGAGAGGTGGTCAAAAGTTAGTGGTGGGGGTTGCAAATGCGTGGGATAGTGGGAAGGAAGACGGGAAGTGGGAGGGGGACGACTAGAGTATCCGGCTTCTCACAATCAAGCAGTTTCTTCAGACACATCGAATTTGGCTGAGGACACGGGGAGAAATCAGCAGGCTTAATTCGAAATCCCACAGTCACGGTCACCTCTTTCAAACCGGCAGGACACGACCCAGACTTTCAAGTTGACAATGAGTATATAAACTTCCAACACTCACACTACGTCAGAATTTTGAAGAAAATACACCCGCATTAGACTCAAAACCACGCATGTCCATTTCCAAAACAACTCTGACAATTATTCTCAAGTTTCCAGCTCCTCTACTTCGAACGAGAGCCTAGCCTATCAGGGCTTGAGAAACTGTCAGCAGAGAATGAATCTCGCTATCCTTCTGTTTTCATGAGAGAACTTGTGTTCAGGTGTGCGTCAATATATCGCCGGCTAGGGACCTCAATAAACCTACTTGTCTCTTACAAATTACAATACCGATAGATACAACAGCAGTTTCCACACCAGCACCCAAAAAACTCTCTTATCTACCGTGCAGACAACTTGGTCACGAGGATTAGATTATCTTACTGCTTACAACTTACAACTTACAACTTACAACTTACAACTTACAACTTACAACTTATAACTTACAACTTACAACTTACAACTTACAACTTACAACTCACAACTCACAACTTACAGCTTACAAAATGCAAACCCACGAGCCTTCGCATAATTGGGCAGGGAGGGGCAGAGCTTGTTTTTCATGACGCTTCAATGCTTGCAGCGACCGACAGGTACTGTCTAATATACAACAAACAAAGAAGTCTGGGATCGCGCGAATGGAGAATCTACACGTCTACAAACATATACCTATGGAGAAGATGTATGCAATACCAACTAAACTAAACGGAAAATCATTCAGTCAACGAAAAGGAAAGCACAGCACTGCACAGTACGCATATATACTCATATAGCACCTAGCTTCAACAACACAACCACACAGTATTAACATTGGACATTGGACGACAACATCAACAAATCGAAATCGAAAATGGAAACGGAAACGGAAACGTGGGCCTGGTTAAGAGTCAAGAAGCTGAGAATCGTGTACGATTTGAAAGATATGAAAGATTTGAATTCGAGAGATCCATATACCGAGTACAGAAGTAAACAAAATATCCGGCCTGTATTGTATATCTTACTTACTGAACTGCTTTTCTTATACAGTAAGTTAGACTATAATTATAGTTAGATTATAAGTCATGACTAAAACACCGACTTGGATTTTGTAATTTTGTAGATATACTCGAGTAGATATATAACTTAACTTAACTCAAACTTGCTACTCGTACCCGAGAACCAGTACATCACCTTATGAATGAATAAATCTCTTACCCATTACAATCCATCGCACCTTATTAACCTCTCAGTTGGTCGAATCATGCTTTAGAATATCAGAACTGACTCCGTATTCACTTCATCATCCCCATTATATGAAACGAGCACTGATTCATATATTTTACAATGACTTCGTCGTTCATATACTTTGCGATTGATTATTCTACTGTATTAGGATATCTAAAACCCAAATTATCTAATTCTACAAACAGTGCGAAACACCCATCCATTTCTACAATTCAACTCGATCAACACATGTGTACATCATACATTCATACTTACCCTTGACCAATCCGTGCCATTAGCGCCCAAAACACAAAACACAAAACACAAAACACAAAACACAAAGACCAGCACAAATCCCCCAACACTAGCATACAAAATTCCTAACTCCTAACATTCTCCATTCACCATCTACCATCTACCAATCAAACCCCTCATCATGCCACCACACACGACGACCCTTCTCCACCCAATTCCCGACGTATGTCCTCAGCTCTGCTGCCATTCCAGGAGGTCCACATACTAAGATCGCGACTCGCTCTTCTGTACCTTGCGCAAATGTCTCGTTGATGATGGCGCGCAAGTCGGGGCGCGAGTATGTTATGCTTCCGCTTTTATTGCGGGTGGGTGCCATGGTGTGCATTTCTAGGCTGCTGGAACCGGGAGTTGGAGTTGGATTGCTGTTTGGGTTGAGGGTTTGGGGACTCGTGATGTATATCTCTATACCATCTTCGTGGGTATTTTCGACTTTTGTTTCTTTTCCTTCTTCTGCTTCTTCGTCTGACGAGTCCGCATTCGCGTTTGTGGAAGGAAACGGCTTGGATGATGATACTGCCCATGCAGATTCGGCTGAGTCTCTCATGACCCAGATCATTCTTACATTGGCGTTTGCTCTGCCTTCATTTTCCATGCTTTCTTTCACGGCTCGATAGATGGGGAGAGTGAAGGTAGCGCCGACGCCACCAGCTATGAGTAATACTCTATCGAATGACTCAGCTAGATTAGGAAATTTTCGAGAAGTTCCATAGGGGCCTTCGATATTGAGTGGTGGACGAGCTTTACCGAGGTGAGACAAGGATGAGAGGGCGGATGTGGTGGGGCCGTTGAGAGTGCGGAGGGTTAATGTGATGTGAGGTGAGGGGGTATCCGAGACGGAAGCGATGGTGAAGGGGTTGTACAGGAGTTCATGGAGATGGCGACTATACTCGGCAGTTGTGGGAACAGAGGACGGGGGAATGGATAGGTAGATGTGTTGACCTGGTGCGTATTGGAAGTCAGAGAGTTTAGAGGGAGTGATTGGAACAGTGACTTTGAGAAGAGAAGTTTCTGGAACTGGTTGAATGGTAGTGAAAGCTGTAAAAGTGGTAAGTTTGCGAATGGCAAGGTCGATTACGAAAAGGGCGACTGCCTCAATAATGTAAAGGCGGAGAGGGGCGGCGTGAAAGAACAGAAGGGGAATTATGGCGAAGGCGACAAAAAGATGAACAATAAAGAATACCCGATAAGACCAACGACGGACAGTTGCCGAACTCGTGATAATGAGGAGGTTAATAAGCTGGAAAGAAATTACTCCGAGCAGGACTACGGGCGTTGTGAGTTTCTGGTATAAAACTCCCAACTGGACAAAGACATTCAAATACCAAGTGGCGTGGCAAAGAAGAAGAGTCCAAATGACTCGACCGGATGTTCGGTGCCAGATATTGAGCTGCTCGTGGGATGATCCAAATAGCACGGAAAGTGGCGAATATAAAGACTTCATGGACAATGCATAATGGGCAGGGAATTGTGATGCCGCAACTACACCAAACCGTTTAGTTATATGAAAGTAATCTAGTATACCATTAGCCACTGTTCAATAATACACTGTAACAAATACACTGCAACAACATCTCAAATAAGCAACAACGAATTTCATTCTTGTGATATACATGACATGAAAGCATGATCATTCTGAGCCATCTGAGATTGCCCTCTACAAATCTCTACTCGAGTAGTATACGAATAATCCCAGTAACTTTACTCGGACCAGTACTCACTCAGCACAACCATCAACAACCGCCAGAAACACAAAATTCACATACCATCACCAGTATTATGCACACACAAAAACCCCAACCAAGTCACCCACACCCCTGCAGCGATCCAATGACCCCTCTCACCCCAACCCCTCCTAACATCCCCCCCTAACCACCAAACCACATTTCTACTCTTTCTTCCCCACGCCGCTCTCTTCGACACCCTCCTTTTCTTCAATGTGGGAGAGCTGGGAACAGCCGAATAATCAACTTTCGATCGTTGACGTTCGGAATATACCCATACTGCTAATCGATACAGGTTATAGAGAATGATGGGGACGAAGATTGAAAGTTGGGCGTAGATGCCATAAAGATCGAGAAGGAGACGTCTTTGGGCTTTCTGTTCGTCGGTGTGATCGAGAGATATGCGGTAGGGCCAGGACATGGCGAGGGATGATTATGTATATATATTGTTGACGACTCGTGAGCTTAGAAGACGTGTTTGTCAAACGATTAAATGTCTAGCCTCTATTCAAGGTCCTCACTCGACTATATAATCTTTCCCGAACACATAAATTCTTACACTAGGCGAATTGGACTTTTATGTTCGATATTATTGCTGTCATCTTATAGTCCTGGTCTGACTTGTCTCTGATCTGATATCTAAATTCGTAAGCACTATTCAACCAATGGCTGGAAATATAATACTCTAGTTCATTTAAGGACTAGCTAATACAAACAAATATAATTATCCCTGCTTGAATAGACGAATAGATGACCCCAACTCCAGGAAGACGTCAGTATGCGGAAAATTAAAATGCCACTAATTTGAATCGCCATCTTTTCATTTGGAATCTGTACATCACAACATTCATCCCATCTTCACATTCAGAGGGACAATTTTGAAGATATACCACCAATGCGATGAGTACAACCACCATGCGCAGTATGCGCACCTCAACCAACATCTTCCAATCAACCCTCAAAAGCCAATTCCAATTCCAATTCCAATTCCAACCCACGCTCATCAACCCCTCAACCCAACGCCCTCTCCAAACCAACACACAAACCGACGTCCCCACCACCAGCGCCCCTCCCGCCCACGCCCTCAATGGTCCCCCCCTCTACCCTCCCCGCCCCCCTCAATCTCCCCATCCGCGAAGCCAATCAAGCCTTCTTTTTCAAATACGCCTTCACACTCGGCAAAGCCTATGCCACCTTCTACAAAACGGGCGTCAAAAACATCTACCACAATTTCGTCGCTTCACGGCATATCCAGACACTCATTGACGAAAAATATCAATCGTCCATCTCCTCCGCCGCAAAAGCTGGCGGCATATCGCGTGCGGATTTCCAGCTCCTTACTCGCAATCGGCACGATGTGAAACGGGTTCCTCTATTCGCGCTCGTGTTTATGATATGTGGAGAATTTACGCCGTTGGTGGTGCTTGCCATTAGCAGTGTGGTACCATGGACATGTCGGATTCCCAAGCAGATAAATGCGGATCGCCTAAAATTGGAGGAGAGGCGGAAGACGAGTTTTAGGAATTTGACGATGAAAACGCCGGTGGCGGGGACTGGGGTGCAGGGTTTGCAGCGCATGCAGTTGTTGCATATTAGTTGGAGTTTGGGGTTGAGTAGCAGTATGTGGGATTATATCGGAGGGAGATTTCCAGGATTACCGAATGGGATACTGAAGAGGAAGGTGGCTAGGAGGGTGGAATATTTGGAGTTAGATGATCGGTTGATTAAGAAAGATGGGGGTGTAAAGGCTATGGAGGAGGAGGAGCTGAAGATGGCGTGTGTAGAGAGGGGCATTGATGTTATGGGAAGGGATGTGCATATGTTGCGGATGCAAATGAATGCTTGGTTGAGGTCGAGCGAGAAGGTCTCGGTAGAGACTTTACTTCTGACCAGGTGAGTTAACAGAGATGAGTTTGAAGAACTTGGAATGGCTAGACTAACCACTTTATCAGACCAGCAGCATGGCCCTCGATACCTAAGATGCTTTAGATACTTACAATCGACCATCACGACTGACCATCACGACTGACCATCACGACCGACCATCACGACCGACCATCACGACTAACTATCACGACTTGTACAATAGCACACGAACTTCATGTCTAGATTCACTCCACTTCTATTTCTTATCCATCAACAGGACCACCCCCAATCATGTACAGCATTTGTAAGACAAGAGGAAAGGCAACCATACTTCCCACTCGACTTCACTCAGTATATCTAAGACAGACATAGAAATAGAAACATATCTGTATTGTGAATTAATTATTTATAAAGAGCAGTGATGTCTTATCTACGCAACAAGTGATTTGTCCTCTGTTCTCTTCTATCCATTGATATCTTCTCATCGCAAACCCTCCGCAGAACATACATCATGCACGTCGTCATGCCCGTCATACAAGTTAAAAAAATCACAACCTCTGCCATCATAATAACGCCCATTGCCATGCCACAAACCGCCGAAATGCACATCCAATGAGACCGACCATAGACCATCAACGTATTGCACACTAAAACGCCATTCCCATATGTAAGTTCAACGATGGCTTCCCAGATGAAAATAATAAACATCGCACCCGAATCCACCATTTACTGTCTATATCTGGCCAATTGAGCCATGATAGCCTGAACCTGCTGTGCGTCTTGTCCATTTTGTTGTGCAGCTGGCTGTCCATATACAGAGCTATTTTTATAATTGTCGTAGGTGTCGGCTGCTGTTTGTAGCATTGGTTGCTGATAAATCTGTTGGGGTACTTGCTGTTGTGGTGCATAACCACCCAACAAACTCATAAGGTCGACTGCCGAGTTTGATGCCACAGCTGGTGCATTTTGTTGCATAGGCATGTTGTTCAAAGTACCCAGCAACTTCTGCAAAGTGGGATTATCCAACTGTCCCATAATATTTGCAAGATTTGGGTTTGATTGTGCTACTGACGCGGTCGCTGGTGCTTGGTATGCTGGAGTTGGATTTGGCGGGTACTGGGGTCTTTGAGTTGTAGTTTTCGCACGTACAACAAGCTCGGCAGCAATTTTAGGTTCCAGATCTTGATATTCATCGAATCGAATGGCATTGATGCCACCTGAGCGATCAAACACTTGGAGGGGTATTTTACTGGCGTTTTGAGATCTCATATCGAGTTGAGAAACAGCGATGACACCTTCAAGGATCTGTCTACGAACGACAGCTTGAAGAGGGAGTCGAGGGCTAAGGAACATGACTTCGGTTTTGACACCTCGTCCACGCAGTTCTCCCTCAACCCAGGAGACAAATCCTCGGTCTAACTCCGCCATGAGAATGATCTGGACATCAGGAACCATTGAAGGGTCGCGTCGAGGGATTTGAAGTGTACCATCTTCAGTAACTTCACGAGTTCTCGGACTTGGGCTTCTCTCTCGATAGCTGCCACGATGTGCGCCTGAAAAGGGAGATCGTGAACGACGTCTATCTCTACTGTCGTACGAGTCATTGTTACGAGTAGATCTGTATTCGTCTCTGCCTCTATAACCTCGACCTGGCGATGGCGATCTACCCGGTCGATAGTCATCGCGTGTCCGCTGATTTCCATGCTGGTTTCCATGCTGGTTTCCATGCTGGTTTCCATGCTGACTTCCATGCTGACTTCCATGCTGGTTTCCATGCTGATTTCCATTCTGATTTCCATGCTGCTGTTGTGATCTATGGCGATCATTATGGTTGTAGCCAGAGCCACGGGCTTCAAACTGGGTGTTCCGATTACGACCTGACGTGCTTCCCCTAGTATGTTCGGGAGTTTGAGACCGTCTCCAGGATTGACCTACAGTATGGTCCTTTCGCGTGTTCTTCTGCGCCTTGGAAATTTCGAGGTCTAAATCGAAAGATATTAGTCTAGCTTCCGGGAACGAAATAGAATGACTTACGCATCTTGCGACCCCTAACTTCCTTACCCTGCTCCGTCTCGAGTGCGTTATAACAAGCTCCAGAATCATGAAACTGAACAAAGCCAAATGCTTGTTTGATCGATATCTGGGCAAGTTCGCCATACTTGTGAAAAACATGGAATAAATCCCGTTTGGTAAGTTTTTCCGAAGGAAGGTTACCTGAAGATATGTTAGACGTTGGATACGTTGGATACGTTGTGCCACTGAATAAGACTTTCTTACCGATGAACAATCTTGAGCCTTTTGGGAATCGTTCCCAAAGCCCCTCGGTGACATATGTTCGTTCTCTGTCAAGAAATTCATCATAAATTTTCTGAACTGCTGGTCCCCAAGGTCTGTCATCATTATCATGTCCATCAGAGGATAGGACAGATGGCATGCGTTGGGATTGTAGATAATGTTCTGGGCTGTTCGCGTCTTGATGGGAATGATTGAAAGAAACAGAAGGGGGCGGGGGAAGTCCATATCGGGAATCAGTAGCGGTGCCAGGAGCACCGGCTGCAACTAATGATGGTGTTACACCAGGATGATTATAGAAATTGGGCTGGTGCGAATAACCTGAACCTCCAACATTGTACTTATGGGGATCATCGAAAGAAGTATAATTGGGACGTTTGGGGATTTGTGTAATTTGTGGACGGGGGGGAAGGCTTGCATGGGTAGGCAGACTTGAGCTACCTTTTGGAGGGGCATTGCTAGAAGAGGAAGAATTTGGGCGGGCAGCTAGTGCATTAATCTCGGCATTGGCAGTAATATTGTCCAAGAGCTGCTGGATGTCTATCTCTCCATTTGAATCCTCAGAGTTTGTGGGTTCCGTCTTGATAGTGGGACTTGGAGAATGATCAGAGCTTGGGGCAGCTGTGGACTGAAAAATCGAGGGGATATTAAGAGAAGGGATGGTAGGGGCGGATTGGGTTTCTGGGCCATTCTGGGAATCAAATGTGACAGATCGACCGTTGGCAAAAGAAGTAGGCAATTCGCTCGTTGGCACTGTGTTAGAGAGACTGTTCGACTCTTGGTCAACTGCCTGTGATTGATCGTGACTATCTGAATGTTCTTCTCCATCAGAGTCAAATGTCATGGCATAATCATCGCTTTCATCCGCCTCCTCAGTTTTCACTACTGTTGTATCCTCATCCTTCTCATCATATGCATCCGAAAACCGAGTATCGGAAGGCGAAGAATCAATTGCCTCAGGATCCATTGTGAATTCGATAGTCTCCGGAATCACCAAGGGGACCTCGGATGGTTCATGGGTCGTTGTCATGTTGAAAGTCGGATCAATTTGATTTCGAAGAACAAGGATGTCGGATGGATTAGGGAGGTGAACCGGAAGTGGAGAGAGTGGTGATTGAATTGTTGTATGAAATTCAGGTGCTTCCGAAGTCATAAAGGTCTTTGTTATGAGGGCGGAATGCACACAAAGCACCAAGGTTGAAGATGTCTTGTGCTAGGAAAAGATACAAACTGATTGCCAAGTGGCAGATAGGAAAACTAGAGAGATTTGTAGATAATTTGATAGGCAAAGGCGATGCAAGAGAAGTTTTCAATCAAGAGCTGGCAGATCTATGTAAGATTTGACAGCTTGCTCGATTGAAAACTTGGGGGAAAACTGCAATCAAAGAAATGTTATCTGTCTCAGAGTATCAAAAATAACAAGATGGTCTTGATGATGAGGAATATGTTTGGGTTGTTTGCTGTTTGCTGTTTGCTGTTTGCTGGTATCAAGTTGATGGTTTCTTGGGTATGTTGTGTTGAAATCAAAGAGGTTGTCGCAAAGCTTTGATTTCAATAAATGACTTGAGAAAAGAAGAATTGAATTAATTTGGTCATGCCAAGAAACATACCGCTTTGATCTAGCTGTTACTGGTTATTAGGTAATTCTTCAATTCTCCTGGGTGGGAGACTCGGATAAAGTTCAGATCTAATAATTGTGTATGCTTATGTAACAACCTTGAGCCATTAACCCCATCTCACCCATTTATCCAAAGTTTCAAACAAATGTAACAAAACATTTGGTTATAGAGACAAGCGTCCATCTACAGTGTAATTGCTTCTTCAGTGATACAGAATTTAGTTGTTTGCCAATTTATATGACTTTCCTATGCAGGTGAGCCATTGAACCTTGTTAATTGTCAAAGTGACAACAGCATTCATTCATACAAGTAAAGGTTTTACACTCTCAAGTTATCAATACATTATGCGTTATTCAAGTACCTTGGTTAGGCACACAGTTAAGCTGCTGCAATCATCTTTTCAAGTTGCTAGGCCGAGTTATCCCTTATCTTTTCGAGCACGACCACTAGTCTCCAATCTAGATCTTCAGGGTTGTAAATCCTATTCTGTTCAATCGACAGATGAGGCTGAATATGAAGTTGCCAGAAAATGGTACTCCGAGTTCAATAGTTCTACCATCCCCAGAATGATTGCCACAACAACCTATGTACAATCTGGAGGTCCTGGTGGTCAACACGCAAACAAGTAGGTCCAGATCTTGGAACTCCGCAGTACAAACTTCAAAATTCTAATTGCCTTCCAGAACATCTTCAAAAGCGAATACAATTTGGCCGATGAAGACCCTGGAGGGTCTTCTACCATCAATAATATCGAAAGGACTACGCCGCGGGACACATTTTGTAAAGAGTACTGAAGTAATTCAAATTCAATGTGATAGTAGTCGGAAGCGGACTGAAAATCAGGAGGAGACACATCGAAGGTTCCAGGAGGAAATTAAACAGATATACAAAACAACAGTTCCCGGCAAAACCTCCATTGAGCAACAACAGAGAGTGAAGAACTTGTAAGTCATGCTTTTCTTTATTTTGTGTATGTCAAAGCAACATCAATTTTTGAGATTTATACTTCCCACGCAGAACCAGATCTCAAGAGGGGTCCAAGAAGTTCTTCTTGGTAAACCACATGAGTGGTAGTGATATCAGAAAGTATCTTCAGCAGCTCATGAAGACAAGCAAGACAGAAAGCATATCCAACAGCAATTGTTTCATGAAGGGAAAACTGAGGCCAGACAAGCTGAGAAGAATAAAATTAGGTGGGCTTTGTGGTTTATGTCTGGGGGCACTTTATGATAGCGGTGAAATTCAATGGCGTTCAGGTTGCTGCAACATTTTGAGTTTTATTGGAATGCGCTAACAGATTCGATTATAGGCAATCTTCTGCCAATATAGCGAGATTGAAAATGAAAAAGCAGCATGCAGATAAGAAGAAGTCTAGGGGCGGTGGTAAAGGTGGAAATTTTTGAAATACTGAGAGACAGGTTTATTATATGGTATCGTCTGGAATGTGCAGCTATCTTTGGGTATCATCGTCAATGAATGGACATTTGCGGGAGATGGAAGCCTGAGTACGGTACTGGATTTGAATCGCGCGGAATCTATTCAAATGATAGCCCAGGCAGCAGGGCAAGCGGAATCTGCAGCTTGTTGTATGCTTCAACTTCGAGATTCACACCAAGATTTTCATGGAAGATGAAGACTTCACCGAGTACGATACCAATTGGCTCACCGTGCAAAGAATAGTGCATATATGTATCATATTTCAATTACTTCAGAGCAGATTTTACACATTATGTATTGGTGCTTGATGTGGCTTCTTTAAATATTCATGTATGGGGTATGGAGTATGGAGTTATGCATGGGGATCAAAACCTGGTATACAGAGTAGGTAATCTTTCAATCAGTCCATGTTTGTGGCTGAGATATTGGGCTCCGCTAACTTTATGTACTGGTAGGGTATAGGCTATTTGAAGAAATTATGAGTTCAATACATCAATGAATTACTGATGAGAAATGTTTCATCAATTTCAATTTCAACTGTAATTCGATCTCCGACAGTGAATAAGCCATTTGTTGATCAACAAGTCCTAGTAATAGTATAAAGGCAATACTGAGTATGTAACAAAACCCGATGATGATGATGATGATGATGATGATAAGATTCTCCATATATAGCATAGCACCAGTGATCTCGACTCGATCTCGACTCGAGGATATAACAGCAAACCAAGCAAGGGTTAATAACTTACATACCTAGGTAGGTAAAATCTCTCCTGAGTCTCCTCCTGGTCAATAAATCAAAGAATATCACATAACTAAAACCAACAGCCATATATTAAGTCTTACTCGTATATAAAATAATATTCGAAGCCTTGAGGGTATCACATCGATTCAACTTAGTACTCTTTGTATAGGTACAAGTATAAGTATAATATGTTCGGGTATCAAGATCCAGATCAAGATCAAGATTGTGATGGGATGTGGGATGAGATGTGGGATATGGGATATGCATCTATGTACTCGAGTATACATACCCAGGACACAAAAGAAATAGTGGTTGTGGTTGTGGTTGTGGTTGTGGATAGTATATTATATCTTGAGGTGAGGGAGGTGAGGTGAGGTAAGATGAGGTGTGTTTAGAGATTCGTGGTTAATGATTAATGGAGAGAAAAAAGACGATGATGAATAGAATGGAATGGAATGGAATGGTTATGCTTGGCAGTGCATGTAGTCACTCACTGCTCAATACTTGGTTCGATCGAAAAGGGGGAGGAGGGGGTTGGTAAGAGATCTATTGCCTTTGTGTTGATTTGAAGAAGGATAAAAGGAAAAGGAGAAGAAGAAGAAAAAAGGGGAGAAGAAGAAGGAGGAGGAGAAGAAAAAGAAGCAATTCTATACTATTAAAAATCTAGGGATTTCTAATAAAGGGTGATATAGATACTCAAGTATAGAGAGTATAATCCTCACATTACATTGCACAAACTCGCACAGTACAAAACAAATGCAAAAAGAAGTTTCGAATCCATATCCAAATCCAAATCCAAATCCCAAATTCCAAATTCCCAAATTTTCAAATTCAAGAATATAGATACCCCCGCTCGACTAGGAAGAAGTAAGCTTACAAAACTAAACTAAACTAAACTAGAAGAGAACTATTACTGTATAAATACATACCTACCTATTTACCTACCTATCTACCTACCTACCTACATATACCTACCTACACATACCTACATACATATCCACATACAAACATCAAACCATCTACTCTAAACCCAAATTTTCTTTTATATCCCCAAACTCTTCTTCCCCAAACCCCAAACCCCTAGCCAAAAACCCTACCCAACACCCAGCCACCCAGCACCTATCTAGTACCCACCCAGCCAGCCAGTTGAGAATTGAGATTTAAGAAATGAGATTTGAGAAATGAAAATCACGCTGTTTTCTCTCGGGATAGATTGGATCGGATTGGATTGGATCGGAGTTAAAGTTAAGTTAAGTTAAGCCAAGTTAAGTTAAAGTTGTATTCAGAGTGTAGATTACCTGTGGGAAGATATTAGCTTGTGGGGAGAGAGAGATATATATATATATATATCGGTTATTATACAAGTAGGTATTTATTTATTCGGGTATATATATTACTCCTTTTTCTCTTTTTTAGATCTCTTTCCTCCTCTCCTCTCTCCTCTTCTCTTCTCTCACTTTCAGATCTTTCCCCTACACCCTTACTCCCTTCTTTCTCTCTCTCTCTCTCCCCTTCCCTTCCTTTCTTCCTCTTCCTCTTTTTCTTTTCTTTCTCTCTCCCACCTCCTCTCCCATTCCCTCCTCCCTCCTCTCCCCTTCAGACCTCCTTCCTCCTGCCTCTCCTCCCCTGTCTCCTCTCCCTCTCTCCCCTCCCCTTTTCCCTTTCCCCTTTCCCCATCACCCATCATCCATCCATTCATCCGAATCTGAGTCTCAACTTCTCAATACAAAGCAAAGAATCTCAAATTCTCAATCTATACTCCAACCCAACTTCTGATTCTTATATCATATCACATCACATCACATCACACATATACATACCCACATACACATACCCACACAATTAACATCACAATCCACATCACAATCAACATCATCACAAAACCCACATTGTTCAAAATCAAAGTCCACTTTTTTCATTTCGTTTCATTTATTCATTCAATCAATCCTCATACCGAGAAACAGATCATATCATCTTTCATCTTGTTTTCTTTCTTTCTTTCATTTCAATTCATTACTTTCAACTACACTCCCTCCCCCCTTCCCCCTCTAAAGAAGCGGGATACTTCTTCCACCTCCTATGCATCTCCTCTCAAAGGTCATTCCAAATCCAAAAGTCTAAGATCCTCTCATCTCATCTCTTCCCATCCTCAATTCGATTCGATCCAATCCGAATCAAGTCTATAACGACCAAATGTAATGTAATCCCCAACCAAAACAACAAGTGTTATGTCATTCTGGAATTCCATCTATTAACCGAATCCCACACTCATTACATCCATCCATGACATTAAAAACCTTCCTCATTCATTCACCCCATCATCACAACCAACAAAGAAGTAGAAAAGAAGAATCGAAGAATCTATGTTCAGCGAGAGACTTTATAATGAATTCCCATAAAAATAGAGATTATACATAGCGAGCCCAGCACAAACTTTTCTCTATAAAACTCCCCGAGAGAAGAGGTAAAAGCGGCGGTAACTCTAGCGATAGTTTGGACGTTTTATTCACATAAAGTGGGCGAATAAAAGAAAAAATGCCCATTGCCCATCATCGACCTTTTGGTGGTGTGTTATGGACAGTAAGAAGTGAAGTTAGAATCGAAATAGTAGCCAAGAATCGCTTGCCATGTCGAAATGGCGCAACAAATCGACATGGTTTATCGACTCCGGCAGTATTATCATTATTATATACTGTAAGAAACTCCTGTATCCAAAGCTTCGAATGGTATGGTTCCGAACGGTAGTTAAAAGAGGTATATGTACAAATGTTCGAACCGACCAGTGATCCAGGTAATGTCGGGATTGGTGGTCGAATTAGGGTAGAAGTCGCTCATATGCTAACGCCGTAACATGATAATGCCGTAAAATCATGATGAGAATACCTCCTAACTTGTGAAGTTGAGAGATATTACTCCTGTCGAATGCAATATTATGGTTGCAGACGTGAAAAGATCACTTAACAATAACCTCACTAAGCTCACTGTCTGAAGCTTGCGATGCCAAGGTATCGCCTTCCCATGCTGATCCATTCTCATCAGTTGGGCTTCTAGATCCAGAAGAGAACGAAGAAGATGATCCCATGGTCCATTCATCGCTGTCGTGACGGAAATCTTGTTCGAGGACTGCAAGTCCGTATTCGTAAATACCGGTTGGTGCGTCGCCTCTCTCAACATAGTCGTAGTCCCAGCGAAACATCTTGTCAGATTGGATTCTTGGCAGAAAGTTGGTTTTGGAGATGTAAAAGGCAATGGCGGCAAGGAAACCACCGGCCACGAGATCAACGGCGTAGTGGTGAGATAGGTACATTGTTGCCCACCACATCCACATAGCATATCCAATAACAAATGGTCGTAGTTTTGGGAAGCAATGGCTCATGAAAAGTGCCTCCAACACTGCATTACCAGAATGTAAGGATGGGAAAGCGCCAAATACTAGCGGTGATGCGGTGAAATTCGTGGTATACATATCGAGACCAAATAGCAAGTCGATTCGTGCAAGTCCTGCAGGCGATCCTTCCATAGCATAGTTCGCAGGGGCAAGACCATACAAATTCTCGTACCACGGGGGTGAACATGGGAAAATAAGTTGAATCGCAACTCCAATAATGTTGAGGTAGCCGAATGTTCGTGCAAAAACTGGCACAGTACCAGGAGGACCGAAGAGGAACATCAAAGCAGCCCAGACAAATGGACCTCCAAAATGTAGAATACCGTAAGGTAACCATGCGAGGACATCGAGAGCTACATTCTGGTGTGCCGACAGAATATTGCTAATATTTGCTCCATAAAAGATGTTTTCGAGGGCAGGTAGGACTTTAACCCAGATATGTGGTCGGTATTCGGCAGGGATGAATCTGTAAGGTTGGTTAGAACAAAGCGGTCTGAAAAGGATGGGATATTGAAGGAGGAGTATATATGACCGCTTAGAGCGAGCGCGTAGGCAAAATCGCAACGAAAAGTAGGAGAGGTTTGCATACCGAGCATTAAAGAAGAAAACCAGCCAGGTGAAGATTGGGAGAACTGGTAAGAAGAATTGCCTAGTTACGGGCATCAGAAGTGCAAGCATCAAAAGAGTCGCAGCTCCAGTCTTCATGAGAGGCCCAGGAGCTTGACTGATTGAAAGCGAGAATATCGCAACAATGATCAATATTAAATATTGACCATCATAAACCGACCATCTATGCGATCTTAAAGCTCGTAGTGTATCTTTGGGATTAAAGGACGTCTCAACTGAAGCTAACGATGAAGCCGGAGATAAATTCGAACGGAATTTCGACCTTAGCCTCCGTCTAACTCTGCGAGGAATAGGATTTGGTATCGACGGCCATGAGAATGGCATTTTGGATTTGGTAAATGTTGGTGAAGTTGTCGAATAATAATTTGTATCCGGCATCGCAAATTATGAGAGGAGGTATCAAAGTATAAATGAGGTTGATATTAGACAAGTTCCGACCTTTTTTTTTTTTTCGTTCACGGTGAGGCGTTTTCGACGGGATTGGCGGATGGGGGAGGGAAAAGGGAAGATAGCGGAGTTGAGGAGTTGAGGTATTGAGGAAGGATGCTGTTTTATAACTGTCGGAATCTAATGATTTATCTCATGAAGAAGATGTTGTTGTTGTCGTTATTGTTGGTTGATTTATCAAATCATAGAATTGTAGTGTAGTAAAACAAAAGTTACAAAAAAAAAGAGTAATGAGAGGATGAAGGTTGTTGATGAAGGAAGAGGCGGATGTGATGGATGTGATGGATGTGATGGAAGCAGCGAGATTCTGGATTTGGGAGTTTATAATAGGTATGGGTTTATGAGTTATGGGTTATAGCGCAGATAACTAATTGAGAGAAAGGAAAGAGGAACAACTTTAATATATGGATTATGTCAGCTAAGGGAAAAAAATATCAAAAAGAAAATTGAAAGACTGGATAGTATCATCTTATGATATATAATACTATAAGGTTAGTATTTATTTATTTATTTTAATATCTATTCTATCTTGTTGTTTATATGGATTTGACTATGAATACTGTTTGAATATTGTAAACCCCTCTCAGAGATTCAAATTCGGAACAAGAAACGAAAACGGTCGGAAAGAACAACAGCAAAGAAAGCAATGAGAACACAATCATAACTTATTAGAAATCTGATCTGACCTGGCTTAGTATAAGTTTACGACCAATAATGATCAACTGCATATAAGATTTTCAAGGGTTGCTATGGAACTTACAAATGCAGCGCGAGAAGATATAAAATTTAAAATTATGTGAACAGGGTATATTTTGTGGATTAGATACAAGCATGTTTGAAGCAGCGAGATTAGGTAGCTATGAAGTTATGAAGTTTTGAACAAAGAGGAAAATGATATAGGAATATACAAGAGCTCTTGAGGTTTATATATTCTATCTTCTTATATCAAATACTAATTGTTCATTGACTACCAGTATATATGGAGTAGGTATATCTCCTCACGAAACAACTAATTGAAAAGTCCAGTCCAGTTCTTATTTGTTTTATAGACAATTGCTGCTTCAAATTAATGATGCATCACAGATTCATACCTAGGTAGCTAGCCAAGCTCTTCCAATATCATATACAATTCGCTTGCATAACTTTTATGTTGTGTAATCAAGAGAATCCGGAAGGGAAATGTTCCAATAATATGATTGGATATATCCGAACTTCGCCATATCAAAATCTCAACCCCTTGTAATATACCGTCTATCGTTTGTTTATTGGTTTATATGTAAGCGTGAGGCTTCTCGAGATCATTATTTACTAACTTAACTTGCTAGATCATAGAGGGGATAGAAGCTATAGTATAAGTATTGTAGCCCTCAGTAAACAGTCCCTGCACCCAACGTAGTCAGTAGTCGCGTCGAATCGATCTCTAGATTGCATAGAGCACGTTTGACATTCATCCCATCTCTTCGCACCGCTATCGTATCGCTACCGTATCGCTCTTGAGCAAGATATCTACCGGTAGTTTCACTAACAAACACTCACTCCAAGCTAACCAAGCCACACCACTACGAAACTCCATCTATCTGCCGGTATAATAGGTTTTTACAAGCACTCCAGGCATGCTTTTATATCATGATCATAGCAGGGTCTTCAACATGGATATATATTCTATGCTATACTAAGCTGCTGCGCCAGTGATACCAGTGTTTTCAGTTGATGACTTATATACATACATGTCTTGGATGATTAGCCACCCACCCCCCATGGATGATGGGAGCGCGTTTAATAATTCTATGATTCTATAATGAGGATCATCCTGTTTGATTGCTTGTTATCGATATACGTTCTGAATAAGCTGAATACGCTGAATACGTTAAATGTGTCTCACCGTTCAGGTGTTTCGCATGTCATGAATTAGAAGTGGTTTGAGTTGATTGTACCTAACTTTAAGACATTCTTGACAAAACACCAATACCAAGACTGATGATGGATGATGTTTATAAGAGTGTTTCTTACAGTACAGTAATGTGATGAGCTATAAAACCAATATATTACTAGGTACACTTACTTGTTGTTTAGCAGTTCGCAATACTACGGTAGGTACTGAGCTTGCTTGCTTGTACTGTACAATGATTCTACCGAAGTTCCCGGAGCTTATTACAGTAGATATTGAATCCAATCATACCTAAACATTCATTCCTCTGTATCCGATGCCACCACCACCAACCCACCTCATTCTGCATGAATGAATAACTACTCGGGGCAGAGAATTGGAATCGGAGATGGAGATACCGTATGTAGACTTCCTTATCCTTATGAAACTACTCGAGTACAATATATCAAATCTATTAATCCAAATCCTTACCGGTATCTTAAACATAGTTAAATCACGAATACAGTACCTCGTGTACGAGTACAACCTCATGCAAACAATTTGCGCCTATAATCGATGTTCCCTCCTCCCTTATAGTATCACCTAAACATATCTACATATATGTCGGGACTTTCGGAAAGCCACGGTATTTTCATTGACAAGATACCGGTAGACCGATGTATTTCAGTTCAACACTTGCGTGACTCGTGACTCGTGAGAAGCTGAGGTCCTGACTCCTAAGCATCGTTCGATACTCCCTCCGGTGCTTCCACTCCACTCCGCCGAGGTCCACCGATTCTTAAAAGAGGTGCATCTATCTACCAGCAACCAGGAATAGTTGTATCGTCCATAGGACCAGTGGACCACATCCTTATATATCCTTAAAAACCCTCTTTAAGCTCCCCTCAGTTACCCAATACAAAATATATATATGGACTGCTACTATCTGCTACTATCTGCTACTATTAGATTAGATTAGACTTCACCGACAGTATAGCAATCTTCAACTTCATGCATACCAGTACCGGGTACAGTACAGTACCATAGCCGCCAGCACTTAGAAGTTAGCAGCTTCTAAAATTCTAAAACCCTACGTAAAATCCCTGTACCATACCATATAATTTCCTACCGGGGCTCGGACATCGGAAATACCTAGGTACTAGGTAGGTACAGTTCCCGTTTGGCGGGCAATTGGATTCTCCGTATGGCGCATCTGGTATTTTTTTGTCATGCCACCACCATGCTATGCCACCATGCCACCCCCTTCGCTTTGATCCATGAATCCATGGAACTGGGTTTGAAAGAAAAAAACGGGAAACGAAACTTTCAATCTCATATACAAATAGAGTACCAGTACCGAAGTATCCTTGCATAAGGATTTTATGCATACCGGTATCTACATTCATTGAGATCAAACTCCCCAGTAGAGAAGGAGCTATTCTTATCCAGTTCTTCATCTATTTCATACACACCATCGCTCTCTACAAAGTATGATCTATCTTTAAAAGTACTACAGTACATGACAGACCTCCCAGTCCCTACACGCGCAATTCTCAACCATACCCATCCATGATCCATCCAACTTCAATACCCCTATTTCTCTCTCCTCCCTCCTCCCTCCCTTTTGCATCATTTTGTCTTGCAAGTTGCCACATGGCACACATCGCATTGAATTTCGGAAATCAATGAAGTGAAATGCGATCCTTCATATCTCGATAAAGCCTTATAAGGCTTGGCCGAACGTTGAAGATCTTTTTTGATTGTTGAAAATCCACTTTATTTAATTCATCTTGTAAAATTCTTCAATATGATTAATAAGATACTGTAATCAAGCTCATGCCTCCTTTTATTTTCGCTTTCTGTCTTATCATAGTACAAGTAATACTGTACAGTATAGATAAGATTTACTATAGTTGGTAGATTATTATTATATATACTGCGATCCTCAATTTGAGGATTGGGGATTTTCTTTTCCACGATATCCTTACTTACTGTATAAGAACCCCTGGCTCGGTTGAAATAAAAAGGGGGCGGGGGCGAAGGATTTTCATTATACAAGATAGGTGGGTAATCCTACCGGTATTGTATTGTACCCAATAACATCAATCAGCAACCTACTTGAAGTAAAGATTAATCCCATTCCATCCAGTAGAATCAAATAGTGCGATATGCAACAAAAGAAAAGATACACGGGGGTGCTGAATCACTGCTGATACCGTATATATCAAGTGACTTGGTAGTGTCCAATCCTATTAATTGATTCCTCTCTATATATCCTATGGATGGTTTTCTTTTCTATCATTTGATCTAAATCATCTGATCTTGCTAAATAATAAGACCAATTAAATTTCAGATATGCAACAAAAATTTGTATAGTGATTATAGTTTGGTCAAGTGACTAGATGTACATTATTGGTTGGATTAGGGGAAAGTAGTTTTATTTTCACGCAGAGTTGCCAGTGTATGGGGTACTGATTCAGATGTTGACTATAGAAAGTATATCAACTTGAAGTTCATGTAAGATTACTTTGGAGTTATATAGGATACTGATTCAGATATCGATTATAAACAAATAAACTACCGGATTTATATATCCTTGATATATAAAAGGTCCTCGTAGGAAGTTGTCTATCTCTTATACTATATTTCATTTGTTATAATATATTTCTTTCTTACTAAAAGCCTTTCGATAGATGAGAAAATAAATACTTCTAGATATAATATCTTCCAAAATTATTACCAAACACCTAGCTAGATACTGGCGAGGTGATGCACATGGGACTTATAAGAGAGAGAGAAGTAGAAATTTGTATTCATTCCCTCGTTATATTAAAGAGTTTTCTTTGAGATAAAGGAAGATGAAACGAGGTGAAACTTATATGCTATTTAGATTGGTATACTCGAGTATCTCTCCCGGCATATAGTTACTTTTCGGTTTTTATTGATTATCGATATATAGAAGTTAGTATAACAATGATGTTTATTATACTCGAGTATAATTCATCTAGATATGATAATATAGCTAGCCTAGTGCAGCTAGAATCTATATCAGATGGGTAGTTTGTGGATTATAAAGGCTATTTAGTTACTACTAGTATTCAATAGTTCGAGATTAGATTGAGGTATACTCGTGTGTATTATAGGCAATATAATGTTTTTATCTGATAACTCTATATACCGGTGTTATACAAAAGAGACAGTTGGGGGGGGGCGGGGGGGAGTATAAAGTAAAGTCGAAGAAGAGAATGAATAGAGGTAATTGGAGGAAGAGTAGTAGGGGAAGTAGACAATAGTACTTATACCTGTATAGTCTACTATCTATTATCTCCTTTTTTATTCTCATACTTTATCTATCTCTCCTTCATTAAATCATCAATTGTATAAGTAGTAGTAGTAGTAGTAGCCGCTCGTAAACACAGCCGCGAAGTTAAAACTAATATTCCCTATATTCTCTATGTTTTATTCATGATACAATACTGTACAGACTCGAAGTTTAAATCGTTAGATAGATACTAAGTATAGTATAGTATGATATAATACACCCGCACGCTTACTTGCTTTGAGTTTGGAGTCAAATTCTACTCTCACTTAGCTAGCTATTTGGAAACTCAAAGCAATTCATTCATGATTCTCATATTATAAACTATAAATAAATCATTATCATATCATCTACACCTTTTCCTTTTTGTAAATCCTTACTTGTAGTACAGTATATCAGATTAGATTCTATAAGTAACTCGAGTATGAGTATAAGCATTGTTACTAGTAATATATATATATATACATCTCGTGGTTTAGTTATATTATCATTTATTCTGTTGTATCTTTGAACTTGTGCTCGTATAACTTGAGTATAATTGAGTATACTTGAATATATATAATGCTACTCACCTCACCCCACTTCAGAGACTCAAACCGTGACCTTGACGCTTCGAGTCTCGCGATCATGATGCGTTATACATTAGGTTGTGATTTTCAGATTTATAGTTTCGTGATTGAACGAATGAATAGATAGATATATGAACTTGAAAGTAGGTATATATATATATGTCTTCACGTTATAATTACCGAAGTATATACTATTGAGTAGACAAGTAGTGTGTTTTTAATAAATTGTATTTGTATATTGAGTTTGTTAGAAAGTCATGGGTACTACGGGTATCACGGCACTGCCCCTCTTCTGTATTCACTACTAGCGTACATCTTGTTTACTTATACGCTCAACAACATAGCTTAGATTCTGTACCTGAATATAATCTACATACACTTCTGACAGGTTATAAAGCCCGTGTTGTCGATATCTCTACGCAACTTGCAATATCAATCAACTTAAATTAAATAAAACCTTTATTTATCCTCTTTGTTTATATGTTCCTTAGCTCAACTGGTCAATATAGCACTGTCAAAACCCACTGATACTCCAACTGTAACCAATACAAATTGGGGTACTATCGTCATCTTCAACGGCGACAACTGGAATGAGTTCTATGAATCATGTCTAGGTGCATTAGCTGCCGCTGATGCTCTAGCTATTATTCAAGGAGATGAAGAAGAACCAGATGACCCCTTTGATATATCTTATATCACAGATCTTCGTATCTACAAGAAAAAACGCGGAAACGCTATCTCCATCATCAACTCTACAGTTAACTCTGTTTATTGCTCTGTTCTTGTTCCTTTTCTAACAATATATAATATTATTAACATATGAAATAAATTAATGGAATATAATTACACAGTTTATCCTCAGTATATTGTTGAAGTCAGAAAGCAATTTCACCTTGAGGACTTCGACCCAAAAACATAAAATTTATGCCAACTCCTTGAATACCTTCTCAATTATCAAAGCAAAACCTTTACCAGCAATAAAGCTATCAGTGATTAAGAAGTTTATACACAGCTTATGAACAAGATCCCCAAAACAAAGCTGGCAAACCCAGAGGAACTTTGTCATCAACTCCAATCAGTCACTTCAGGAAGCTATGGTCACACTGACTATTGCGGAGAAACCCTACACAGCGACAGCTAACTATGCTGGAAGAGGTAAAGGATGTGGTGGAAATCGAGGCGGATGTGGTTGTGGTGGAAAACGTAATGGATATCGTGGAGGATCCGGCGGAAATGGAGGAGATTCAGGTGGTACTTCTAGTGGTAAAGTTGAAAAGGTTTCTAAAGACCAATGTAGATTCTGCCTCAAGGTCATTTTCAGAAGGAAAGGCTAGCCTTGCTGTAGGAGATCAATACAACGGTACTATCTATACTGGAGTTGCTATGCGTGCCACTGATTCAAAAGACAACACCTGGATTCTTGACTCTGGAGTATCCAATCATTTCACTGGAATACTAGAAAATCTTGATCATTTTCAGTATTGGAAGGAGTCAAGAAAAGTAAGAGTTACTGATAACATCTGTATTATGAGCATTGGATTTGGCAAGACAAAAATAGATTGATAAATATTTGATGATATCTGGTATATCAAGGATTTCAGATCTATACAACTAATCTCTATTGCCCAACTAGCAGATATAGAAAGCAAAGTTATATTCGAAAGGGATTCAGGATTATACTGAAGATCTGATTAACTCCAATTCGCTGTCAAACAGTCAAAGGGTTCCTATATCTACCAGTACACTACTATATTCGATATAATACATCTATTCCTCAACGAAGAAGGAGAAAGAAACCTTGACGAAACTTACACAGAACTAGTGCACTATCATCTTGGTCACCTTAATTACAATCAAATGGACAAGCTTAAGAAGGCATTGGTTGGCCTGAAATTTGCTAAGAGAGTTAAAACGAAAGGACAAAGAGTATGTGAACTATGTCTCGCTGGAAGGATAAGAGAGCAATTCAATAATCATACCCTTGTTTGTACATCTATGAAAATCAGACGACTCCATTGCGACTTATCTGGTATACTCGAAATATCGGCAAACGGAAACAAGTATTTCATAATTCTTGTTGATAATGCTATTAGAGTCATTTGGATACGTTATATACCAGACAAAGCAGCTGCGATAGTGATTCTAGTCCTTATAGGCCTAATTGCTGAAATCGAGAGAGAAACGGATTCCAAAGTTGTTTTATATATGCCAACAATGGGAAAGGAGAATTCGCTACAGCTTTTCAGGTGGAAATCAGGAAAATAGGAATTCAGTTTAAACCTTTACCACCAGGGAAGCATTCTATAAACGGTGTAGCAGAGAAGAAGATTCAAGACGTCAGTGCCAGGTCAAGGAATCTGTTAGCACAAGCTGGAATGCCTGAAAACTAATGGGAAATTATTATCAAACACACTGCATACCTCATTAATAAAGCACCAACTAAAATACTACCCTTCGGAGAAGCTGGATAGCTAACCTTTTCTATTACTTCTTTTGAGATATATTACAGCAAACAACCGGATTTTACCAAATTGAAGGTTTTCGGCTGCAAAACTTTTTCATTAAACCCTTAACAGTCAGGAAAACTTATGAAAAAGTTCGAATCACGTATACTTTCAGGAAACTATATGTTTGTAGGTATAGATGGCAATCATATATATAATCTCCTTAACTTCAATTCCAGAAGAATCATTAAGATAGCAAACACTAATTTCAACAAATACAGATTCCTTTTCAAAAAAGAATCAGAATCAAAGAATACTTTACCGAAAGCTTCGAATATAACCCCTATCATAAACAAAAGAGACCCTCCTTATCTAGTCGGGAAATCTAGGAAAGTAAGGATACAGGGTTCCATATTTGCCAATCTGTCAGCGCGGGATGCACTACAGGAAGATTCATTAGAATGGAACATTTTACAAGATTTAGTAGAACAGGAAGTTTTACAAGACTTAAAAGAATAGAATGTTTTACAAGAATTTAAATGCAGATACAGTCAGAAATTTATTGAATGCTAGTTATAAATATCGATTAAGGAAGATCTTCAATAACAAAGTTGTACAACAAGTAAATGCTTTGAAAGTTGTTATTCAAGATACTAAAGGTTCTAATCAAGAAAATGATTCAATAGTGCTTTTTGAAGCAGTTGAACTAGAAGATACTATGCAAGAGAATGCTCAAGTATGGATGGAAGTAATAAAGTCAGAATTGACTAGTCTTAGAATCAATAGCACTTTTGAAATTATATAGGGTAAGATTCCAAAAGGTATGAAACTATTTAGTTCAAGGTGGATCCTACAGAACAAACTTGATTGTCTTGGGCACTTGGCCAGGCGAAAAGCGAGGCTGGTTATCAAAGGATATATACAACGCTCTGGCATAGAATTTGGAGAAACCTTTGCAGGAGTTAGCAGGAATTCCATATTATGTACTCTCCTTATAAAAGCTGCGGCTGAAGACCTTGAAATCGACAATATGGACGTTGACACTGCTTTTCTGAATGAAAAGCTCACTGATGCCAAAATACTAATGGAGATCCCACAATACTTCGAAGAGACTTTCCCAGAGATTAAGGAGATACTTAAGAAAGACCCTCAGAAAACCAGAGTTTATTTGAAACTTAAGAAATCACTCTACGGGTTAAAACAAGCTCCACATGTTTGGTGGCTAGTTGTGAAGAAGTTCTTTAAAGAATTGGGACTAGTCGCGTCTTCGGTAGATTCAAATCTCTTTATTGGACAAGGAATCTATATTCTTTTATATGTAGATGATTTACTAATTGTTAGCAATCGAGATAATATCAATAAAATAAAAAAGTTGGTTGGAGAACAATGGAAATGCAAGGATTTGGAAACTACAGATCTCTTTCTAGGTATCCAGATAGAGAGGAATCGCCCGAAATGTTCATTAAAGATTCATTAAATCAATTATATCAGGAAGATACTTGGACGTTTCAAAATCTATGGTTCTAAGAAACAGAATCTGTTTTTACCAGCTGGAATATCTATAAAGAATGCAGAGGATTCTGAACTCCTAGGAAAGGATGACAAAAATCTCTATCTGCAGATTATAGGATCAATAATATATCTAGCAAACTGTATTCGCTCTGATATTTCCTATGCTGTAGGTCAATTAGCATGAGTTATATATATTCCTAGAGAAAAGCACCTAATTCTAGTAAAGCACCTTCTATAATACCTTGCAAACAATCCCAATATTGATATAATCTACTCCAATAGATCAAAGGAATGATCTCATGAATACAATGCATTTACAGACTCGACATAGAGTTCAACAAATAATAAAAAGTCAGTTCAGGGAATAGTTATCATAAGATATAAAGGAGCTATAGTTTGATCTTCTACAAAACAGAAGTTTATATCGCTGTGTATAGTGGAGACAGAGATTATTGCAGTTAATAAAGATACAAAAGAATTTGTATAGATAAAGAAACTTATCATTGATCTGAAGGAATGCCTAGAAATTGAGCTATTTATTCCTACTCTTTACTATAACAATGAAAATGGGGTAGGTTAAATAAATAAAAACAAGTTTTATAGCAAGACAAAGTATATTCAAATCAGATAGCACTATATTCGTAAAGATATAATTGATGCAAAGCGAATATATATAATGTAAATCCCAGGAATGGAACAAACAGCAGATATATTCACAAAACAACTTACCTACCTGACATTTTGCATTTATAGCTTAGGATTAGGTTTGGATTTTGAAGAAAAGTAAGAGTACTCTTATACTGCAACATGATAAACTTAATTATGGGATAGTCGAATTCTACAGGAGATTAGATATAACGATAATAGCAGGGCTATAGATCGTTGCAGGAGTTAATGAAACTCTAACAATTAGATTGAAAGTTGTGGTCAATTTGGTCAATTTATTTGGTCAAGTTGGTTAATTTTCAATTTAGTCAATTTAGTCAATTTGGTCAATTTATTTGGTCAATT